CACTTTTCCCGGGTCCGATTAGCGTGAAGAAAATTATTAAAGCTGGAATTTTGCAAAAAAACGTGGCAATGCTGTGATTTAATCGCGCTCAGGGGAAATAATTCGTCATGGAGCGATAACGTTAATTCCGAAACTGCCAATCGTGGATGTGATGCGGTACACCTTTTCAAGACGAATACGAGGCTGAGGGCGTTGCTGTTGACTCGATGATCGATTGCTCCGCATAGATTACGCACAGCTTGCTTAGCAATCTGTTGAAACTCCGCAAAGGATCTTCGTTGTTTATTTGAGGGAGATTGAGGCTGTGGTCTGATTTTTAAGTTTGAGGTAAGGGGCGCGATACGGACATCGCTATCAGCTGGGCAAAACAACACGCTCAGACAATTTAGGCAGCTTATCAACCATCCACCCGACAGCTCAAAGTCAGCTTATTTCTCAGGTGCTAGTAGATCTTGGTATGTAAGTTTAGGTGTGTTGAAGAAGAAAATATTAGAGGCCTCGGTAATGCCGAGGTATCTACGCTTCAGCACCAGTTCCTCTATCATCTTCATCTTCAGGTAGTACAGAAACATATTTCAATTTATCTCCACCTCACTTGCGATACGACTAGTCTTATGAGACCGTTGATGGCCAAGCAAAGATAGCAAGAGGTCGAGATATACAACCTCACACCACGCTGAACTTCTGAGGTTTAGTGGCATACAGTTATTGCGCAGCGTTACCTTAGCTAGCCCAATCATCTCATCTGAAAGTGACTCGCATTAAACTGTTACATCTAGTTCCCGATATATAAAGCTCATCCTAAACAATTCATAACAGAAGATCAACTCTGCCCAAGTGAAGTCCACTGATCCTTCTCAACGTCTTCTCGAATTCGCTTAGCATCTTCTGGCGAAGCTTCAGAAAAGTGATTTATATCATCTAACCATTTCTCTTCCTCCTTTGTACTAGGCCTACCAAAAGCCGCATTGCGGTAAGGATAGCGACCAAATCGCGCAATGATAGGCCAGTGAGCATCCAGGATCATGCACCACCAGTACGTCCAAGCTGCCATACTGATAGCACCCTCATCGTCTTTTGGCGGGCTCTTGACAACCTCTCTTATGAAAAGCAGATCATCTTTCAAGATCATGTGCCTTGTCTCCCGATGCGGATCCTTTGTTCCCGTGTATTCTTCAACAGCTTGACGTAGATCGTTTGATAACTCCAATCCAATCTCTTGACTCCCTAGATCCTCGGCGTGAAGGAAAGGAGCTGCCCACATGACCTGCGTCGAAATCCAGAAGCTGAAACTAGTGGCGCCGACATCGTCTTTCCATCTCTGCCATGAATGCGGACGTAGATGGTGAGGTAGTGCGTACCACTGTCCGGCAAGACGTCTTGCCAGAGGTCCAAAGTAGGCAACTTGCCAACGAGCTTCGATTCCAGTTAGGAGGATTCTTGACGCTTGATCAAGAAGTAACTGAAGCCCGAAGCATTGTTGCGGGAATCCTGGGGAAGATGGTTCTGGGAGAAAGGACATAAGGTCAAGCTCCATGGGAGTTGGGAGTATTCCATTGTGGCTGAGGTGACTGAGTGCTATAAGTACATCTCGTGCCTTGCCTTCTTGGCATGCTTTCTTGAAGTTTCCGCTGAAGGCGTCTGACTGGGCAATAGTGAAGTCGAGGCCTTCGGTTTTGGAATAAGGCAGATAGGCATCCGTGAGCTGCATGAGCAGATCGGGAGTAATAAGTAACTTCAAAGAGGCGTGGCTTTCCATTATGAGATAACCTTTCCTGGATGTTTGGTGATAACCTTGTGTGAGCCCATATTTGTTCACCTTTTGATATGAAGCGGGGGCTTACATGTCGTGCTGGAAAAGGAAGGTCGCATTCGAAGTAAGCATTTCAACTCCATATCCGGTGTGTACAAGAGCTTGCTCCATTCAGATATGGCAAAAATGGAAACACCACTTACCTGGTAGAGAAAAGGCAAAAAAAGAGATGCCTCGCTATTGCTCGCAATCGTTTTATAGGAACAGCCCGATGCGGGGGTCGAACCCGCAACCTTGAGATCGCGTACTCGTAAGAGTCTCACGCTCTACCGATTGAGCTAACCGGGCGTGGCTCTGATTGGTTGAGAGCACCTGCTCAAATTTTGGAATACATTCGCTATAATGAAGAGTGGCGTGGTAACTTGGGCGTCGGAACAGTGTATCTGTATGCCTGGATGGTTGTTTAAACTTAATTACTGACGATCACTTTCGCGGCAGCTCTATGCATGTACTTTAAAAGATAACTATATAACGAGGAGATTATTTCTATGTCCTGGTGTTGGGGAAAATATCAGAACTGCTCCAATGTGGCTCAACAGCGGAAGATAATAGTATTATTGTCTATATTTTGAAGATTTATTATTTAAAGATGACTATACGATTTTCAATTAGTAAATTCAATCTATTGTTCTACCCACCTAAGCAGCAATTTCATGAGAAATATCGGTTTGTCAAAATTGGTGTTAGACCAAACAGCACTTACCCTGCAGCGCCAGGCACCTCGAGGGCTAAATGACTACCTCCTGTCTTCACATCTCCTCTCCATATTTCTGTTGTAGCCATTTAAACTCACCTCACTGCAGGTCAGTTAAGACAATCGATTGGCTGAGAAAGCGAATGAGTTCCCCGATCACTTGTGCACGCCTCAAGCCACCATATTCAAGCGCCGTTCATTTCCGTTCAATACCCGACAAGAACGGTTAGCGTCAATCAAATCGCATTCCCGAGTGAAATTTCCGTAATGAGCCTCATTTGACATGCAACATAACCTTATCTCAAACTTTGTGCCCGGATCTTTTCACTACCCTGGCTGGAGAGGCGTCAAGTGCCTAATCTGCTGCCCAGGTCAAGCTGTTAATGTGCTGTACCTACTGTTGAGACCTATGAGAGCGGTTGGTTCCCTCCAACGTTGAATCTACGCGCCACTGAGCAGAGATATTCTTCAACGATTCAACGTTGAAGTCAGGGATTCACAACTAGATACTGGATTTGAAGTGTTCGCACGTTCTCAGAGAGGTTCTCAATCGAGATAAGTTATCTCCTTCCATGTATGTCCAGCTTGAGTTTAAACAAGATTTGTGAAATGTGATTGCACACGATCTGGAGCAAACAGAGTTCCTCCTATTGGTGGTAAGCAAGATCAGATTACAATGACAAGAATAAGGTTTCGATCAGGTATCAGAAAGAGGATGGTGTAAGGCGAATCTGACAGGGGAATTTCAACAAGAGCCAGGTACTTGGAGCTCATGCCTTAATGTTTCGGCACCAGATCATGTAATTGTCCTCGACAACCCTTTGTACATAAAGACCGATTTACTTATAAGGCCATTGTACTAATAGTTGATAGTTTTACGCAAGATGAACCTGATGTTTTCCAACGAGTCTTGGCATATAGCATTTATGCCAACAGGAGCTCATATTGCCAAGACTGAGACAAAAGGCTGAGGCTGATCCGGGCCACTCGGATGCGAAGTGTGGCCACCAAGAATGTTGAACACGGATGAGACTTAGTCCTGGCCTAGACTCGTGATTACTTACAAGATGATCTAGATCATGAATCGGAAGAGGAGCTTTTAGTCCGCCCTCGATGATTCCTGCGAAAAGACGTTGGCCTTGGCCGAAATCTTCGGGAGCAGCCGAGAACTCCAGGGTCATGAACACGCTCTTATACAGAAGTAATCAATCTGCAGACCTTGCAAATAAGTAGTCTCAACAGAAGGGCAATAACAACATGTCGCAAGAGGTGATTTTATATTACATCACGTAATGGTCATACACTCCGAAAATGGACTCCTGTGTAACACAACCTCATGAAGCCCTGAACAGTCATTGGTTATTTCCGGTCACTTATCACAATTTCCAACGCCACGGTCTCGATGCATGAGATCAGCCACAGATCGACTAGACGGACGCGGCCAAATCTCTCCGCGACTAGCCAAACAAAAACGTCTGCTGGCGCGATAGTGGAGCTTTGACTCATCCTTGTGTAACCTCATCTTAAAAGTCGTCTGGAATGTATGTACCGGTGAATAAAGTTATGCTCGCTGGGCGGCCGCCAGACTTCAGCTATACTTTATAAAGGTGAGAGATGGGAGAGAGGTGGGTTTAGGGCTTTGGGCTAGCAGTTGACCTGTTAGATAAGCTTCTGTCAAAATCGTAGCTTGGTGGACTAGGGAGCTGGCTTCCGTAGTGGAGTATTATTAGTGTAACGTCAGGTGCCCAAGCTGTGTGAGACATCATATCCACCTGCCAGCATCTGAATCAATCTCAAGTCTCGATTTTGGTTGATCGGTCTACAAGGCATTATCACAATGGCTTGATTTGTGTGACAAAATGATACATTGTATTTGTTTTAACGCCTATGATTATGCCCAGAGTCAACTTGCTATATCCGTCTATCCCATTGCCACTTACATAAGATCTGCACATCTTCTGCATAATCTTCAACGTTGGTGGAAGTCCTGAACGGGACCTTGCATACACGCCCAGGCACACAGGCACAGCACAAATCCCACTTCACAAGCCCTCACTGGTTGCGTTGCTTTGCACCCCATAGAAATAATAGTAGTTGGTCCTGTCATCAACAACAGCATTCCAACCACAACACCCTGAACCAACAGGGTTCTGAACCAGAGTGTCTCTTACACAATGCATCTGTAGGAACGTGCTTGACAAGATGGAAAACGGCATCGATCCGCTGCGGGTGTGCCCGCCCTGGCATGAAGGCTTCCGCCTCAGCAACCCAAATTCAGCCTGACAATGCTCTTTGTATACGCACCGGATTTTCTGCATCATTATTACAACCTGAAGCACAGTCTGAATGCGGATATGGAGGGCTGATCAGCAGTGTTATAGTCCTCTGGGAGCTCCTCCACGCGCGTGTTGCTTCAACTTAGGTAACTGACCTTGCGCGTATACCATTCTTTCTCTCATTTACTTTTAATGCACAATTAATAAACTGCTTACAATGCGGTCTTTGTATCAGGTGCTCAGGCACCTACTATTCGCCAGCCTAACGCGTGCCCAGTTTGGGGTTCAGAATGATAGGTCAGTTCTCGGTATTAACAATGAGTTCTCAGGTGTATGTTACACATATGTTTCGGTCTATCCAGTCCTTGCCGATCCCGATTATATCACCATCACAAAGCCCTACAGAGGCTCAGTAACAACGCAGTATACTGTCCCACCACAGGGCGATGAGCCCGGTATTGTTATTGTTGAACAGCCAGGTGGTTCTTCGGCGCCGGAGAATGTAGTCATCCCTGCGACGGATGATAAGTCTTATGTTATTATTATTAGACCGCATTCAGGGCCGAATCCGATTTCTGCGCCCATTACACAGGTTGTTCCGCCGAGAAGTGGACAACCGGGGCAGATTATCATTGAGACGCCGGAGACGCAGACGCCAGGTGTGTTGCAGCCTCTTTCGCTTGAGCCAAAGGAGTTGACTGGCTATGTGACGGTTCTTCGACCGTTGACTGGAACATTGGCGTCGTTGCAACTTATCACAATTTCACCGACTGGGACAAACCGTGGATCGGTCATCATCAATGTCCCGACATCAGCACTCAACGGGGGAAGCCTTCAAGGTCTTACTCTGGAGCCTGCACAAGATGGTGATTATGTCACTGTGATTGAACCAGCGGGAACAGGTTTCAGGGGAACTGCTCCAATTAGACTAACAGTACCACCAAGCAACGGTAACCCTGGTACTGTCATCATTCAAACTCCTGTACCTGGAACTCTTATGCCGCTGGCCCTTGAGCCTTTGACCCCTAACACCTTGGGTGCCTTGGGACTCGCCGGTCAAACGATCACACTTCAACCAGCCGATGCGACCAGCTATGTGACCATCATTGAACCAGCCGAAGGAAGCGTCACACCGACAGCACCTATCCGAACTACTATTCCACCGACTGGTACCAAGCCCGGAACTGTGCTCATACAAACACCACCGGGTTGGAATGATGGGGGAGATGGTGCCGCCTTCCAACCGACACGAACTCGTCCGCAGGGCTCGGTATCATATACGACTATTACTCGTGGTGTGCCCATGGGGATGGGTGGATCAGGGAGTGGTTCCGACAACGGCTCAAATGGGGGATCAGGGTCTGGCGATCTCTCTGGCGATGTCCAGGGTCAACCAGGCCAAGGCGGCGATGATGGTTCAGGGCCGCGACAGACTCTCACCATTCCCCCTGAGGGTGGAAACCCTGGTACTGTCCTTGTTTTGACACCCGAAGACCCTAATAATCCGCAGACTGGCAACAACGGTGGCGGCGATAATGATGCCCAGGCTACTGGAGGATCTAGTGATGGGAACCAAGGGGGTTCGGGCTCATCTAGTGGAGGAAATGGCCAGAGTGGAAGTGAAGGAAGCTCCAACAATGGAGGATCTGGAGGGGGCTCCAATAGCGGCAGTGGTAGCTCCTCTGGACAAGGAGGTAGCTCAAGCAATGAGGGCTCCTCCGGAAACGACGATGATCCCGTAAAAGGCGGCGTTCAGGGCTCCGGCTCTGAATCGGGAGGCAATGGTGGTGACGGTGAAACCGGAAACGGAGGATCTCCAAGCTCGAATAACGGCAATGGGTCTGGAAATGGCGGGCCATCAAGCTCCGATGGAAGCAGTGGCTCAGGAGGAACCCAAGGCGGTGCTCAAGGTGGTTCCAACACCGATGGTGGCTCTGTTGGCAGTGGTACACGATCTGCTGGCTCTTCTTCGAGTACCAAAGGCTCTTCTAGTGGCAGCTCTGGAGGCAACGATGGCCCAACATCTGGAGATACAGAGTCTGAAGGTGATGGCTCAGAGGGCGGCTCGGATGCTGGCAGTGGAAGCTCTGGTGGTACTGGAACGACTTCTGGCGGTAAAGGTTCTAGCGGAGATGACGACGGTGACTCTGGATCAGCAGGAAGCAACGCTGGAGGGGATAGTGGTGCTTCAGGTCAGTCATCCTCATCGCGAAGAGGAAGTACTTCTCGCCGCCCAAGCACTCGACCACCAATCGTCAGGACATCACCCTCAACCTACGTCGTCACATCCAGCAGCACTGTCTTCACCATCACCGCTAATGTCGTCGAGACTCTCACTGCTGAACCTCAGAGGACTCGCCGATCAACCACTAGCGGCGGCCTTACAGGTGGAGTCGAAGGGCTAGGCGGAAGTGAAATTGCAGCTACAGAAAGTACGACATTCAGACGCCCTTCAAACAGCCGGTCTACAGGATCTGCGGCTGATACTGCTGGCGGAGCTGCTTCTGGCACCGAGTATAATTCCTCGCAAACTACACAGGCTCCTGGAAGTCCTTCAAGTACTAGACAAGCTGGTGCTTCGTCAAGCTCGGGATACACTGGTACTGTTGATACGCGCGTTCGTCCCGGAGGCAGTGGTCTGAGCTCTACACGTAGCAGAACTTCGACTTCAGGACAAGCTTCTAGACCTTCAACTGGCGAGACTACTATCGTCGATAGTGGCCCTGCCATAACAAATGATCCTGGCTCAAATGCAGAGGAAGCTACTTCATCCGTTGGAAATGCCGCCCAGAGCTCATCTACCCGCTCGGCGCAAGGGTCAAGTGCCTCTCAATCTACCAGTGCGCAAAGGCCTGCTGCAGAAACTTCTTCGTCAGATACTCGTTTTACGGCGAGACCTGCTGTCATATCAACTAACGGTGGTAATGCTGAAGCTGGAGGAACATCGCAGGCCTCGCAGATAAGTAGCAGGGCTACTAGCTCAGTATCGGGCTTTGTCGAAGGAGAACCTGGATCAAGCGCGGCAGGAAACAATGGCGGTACCGCTTCGGAAGACGATGAGGCGACATCCCAGGCATCACGAGCTTCCAGTGGATCACAGTCAAACAGCGCTGTTGGCACAGGCTCTTCATCGGTTTCAGCAACATCTAGCGCTGCAACACCTGGAGGCACATCGTCCGGTGCAAACACCAGAGATAGCGGTAGCTCGTCAACATCAGGAGCCGCACCCGGGTCTAGGACTTCAACTGATTCACGCGAAGGCTCGCCCGTGGAAAATGCTGGAAGCTCCCAGTCTGACGCAGCTCGAGATCCGAGCACGGGTACATCAGTAGTGTCGCACACCATAGGCCAGAGCTCAAGCACCTCCAGAACAAGTGAGGAGATTAATTATGAGACGCTTATTGGCACCCAGAGCGTTCCGGAGTCAGAGCGCGTGGAACAACCCGGTGACACTTCGACTCGTTTAGCGACAAGCAGTGCTGCTGGATTGACAGGGCAGCCAGCTGCAGGAGTTGGAGGCTCAACCATTGTCGGGTCAAACTCACATACCACAGCTATTGATATCGATGATACCGCGACTACATCTAGTGGAGAGTTGCTCGCTGGGGAATCTGCAGCTGGTGCTACATCTGGAAATGCAGGAGAGAGCTCTGTGAGTGAAGGCTCTAATGACGAGACCGCCTCCGCTTCTAGAGATCCTGGTTCTGAGGCAGCATCTGATGATGCTCGTGAGACAGGAGATGCTACCGGCACTACTCAACCCGAAGATGGTGAGACTAGCTTAATCTCACCTCAAGTGCCAGTTCCTACCGATCGATTGCCAGAGTCCGAATCCAGGAGTCAGTTGCTTACCGGTGGAGTCGAAGGTATACCTGCCAGGAGTGGTTCATCGTTTGAGTCTCCTGAGTTGCCACTACCGACAGCGGTATCAACTGGCCCCCTCCCTGATTCCAATCTTCTGTCTACAGCAACGGACAAGGAGTCCTCGGGAGCATCGCCTGGATTTGGAGTTCCCACTGGTTCACAAGCTGTGCCTTCTGATGACGATGATCTTGACCCCGGCTCGGAAGAGACTGGTACAGATGGGCCCACTGGCAGTGAGACTTCTGAGCCTGGTGCACCTTCTAACTCCTCGAGTGATGAAGCCTCTGAGACTGGCACTGGAGCTTCCATAAAGCCATCGCGGAGTGGCTCGTTAGGTGACGGCGATGATGAGGGGGCCAGCACCACAAATGAAGCAAGTGCTGAGCCTTCCGATACAGATGCCGACGCCGAAAGCGAGACGTTCGGCCCTGATGCTACTTCTGATGGCTCGGGATCTGGAGCTGGTCCCAACACTGACGAAGATGGTCAGACCATCACCGACGCATCTGGAGGAATACCTACAGCTGTAATCCCATCAGACAACAGCCTGACCACTGGCGCTCCCAATGGTGCATTGGCAACAATCACAGTCTTTAGGGCAGGTCGTGGCCCAGCCAGAACAACACTCTACGTCCCTCCCCAAGCATCCAATGATCCTTGGACTGTCGTCATAGAGACTCCAGTTTCTGAGACTCAATCTGAAGCTGCAACTGCTCGCGGAGACGACGATGTTCTTGCTACCACGTCTGCTGTAGGCGGTAACACCAATGTCACTATCTTCAGAGGTGGGCCCAGCCCTGCACGAAGGACTATTTATGTACCTCCCAGGTTTGCAAACGAGCCTGGTACTATTGTTATTGAGACGCCAACTGGGACTGCTATCGCCACTGCGACTGAGACTCGAGATAGTGGCAGCCAGACCACCGGTCTTGGACCTGGTGTCAGACCCAATGTGACGGTCTATAGTTCAGGTACTGCGTCAGAAAGAATAACTCTGTACATCCCACCTACAGCATCAGGCGAAGCTGGTACTATTATTATTCAGACGCCAGCCTCCGATGAAGACTCTGATACTATAACTGGAGGCCCTGGAGATGAGAGCGGCAAAACTGCCACTTCCGATGACAGGACCGCTGTAACTATCTATACGGAAGCAACTGGATCTACTGGAAACACTAGATACATCTCGCCAACCGTTTCTGGAGAGTTGGGCACTTATATCATTGAGACGTTTGCCTCCGAAGCTGGTGAAGCGACTGCTTCAGATGATTCAGCTGAGGCTACAGGTCCTGAAGCTTCCATCACACCTATTCCTACCGCCGAGGCCTCACAAGGTGGCATTGGAAATGTTACTCTCTACCGAGCTGGAGAAGGTTCAGAGAGAAGCACAGTCTTCATCCCACCAGAAACTACCGGCGATCCATGGACGATCGTAATCGAGACACCAATCTCGCAAACTGAATTGGTAGAGACAGGAACAGTTCCAGGCTTCCAAACAACAATCCCCACTATCACCGGAAGCGCCAACTTGACCATCTTCAGAGCAGGTGTTGCATCTACACGAAAGACAATCTACATCGCGCCCAAGACATTCGGCGCCCCAGGAACTGTTATCATCGAGACACCTGTCCCAAGTACACAGACTGGTGGTCTTACAGCTAAGCCTGAAGCACAACCAACTATTGGTGCTGGATCAAATACTACGATTTTTGTTCCAGGTACTGGTCCCGGACGAACGACTTACTACGTTCCGCCGTCAGATCCGAGTGACCCTGGTACTGTTTATGTTGAGACTCCTGCATCTGGTGCGGAGACTGAGGAGCCCACTATTGGCCCTTCAGCTACCGGAGATGGTGAAAATACTATTGTAGCTGCAACGACTGTCACTATCTTTAGTGGTGGACCTGGATCTGTTACGAGAAGTGTGTATATCCCCCCTACAGATTCAGGGGAGGCGGGCACTATGCACATCGAGACTCCTACAGATGGCACCGAAGCCACAGCAAGTAGTGGCGAAAATGTCATATCTGCCGCGACTACTGTCACCGTCTTCAGCGGCGGCCCTGCTTCGGTAACCAGAACGGTGTATATCCCACCCAGAGCATCTGGAGAAGCAGGAACTCTCATCATCGAGACCCCTACTGATGGCCCTGAAGCTAGTCCGACAGGTAATGGTAGTGGACAGGAGACTGAAGTCTCTACCGAGACAGCTGCTCCTTCTGAAGCCAAAGAGGAAGCTATCTCGGCGGCGACTACAGTCACTATCTTCAGTGGAGGCCCCGCGGTAGTCACAAGAACTACTTATATTCCACCAACAGCTTCCGGGGAGGCCGGGACGCTTGTTATTGTGACACCCATAGGGGGATCTAGTGCCGACACAACCGGTGATGGCAATGATAGTTCCGAGACTGGGTCTGTCACCAATGCGGAGGAGATTACAGCCGGGACAACTGTTACTATCTTCAGTGGTGGTTCAGGCTCTGCAACCCGAACTATCTACATTCCTCCTACCGCCTCAGGCGAAGCTGGAACACTCATCGTGGAGACACCCACGTCTGGTCCGGACGGCGATGAGTCTAGCATCACGGGCACAGGCGCCAGTGCCCCAACTGCAATAGTCACCCCTGAAGGGCCAGGTAACGTCACTATCTATAGCGGCGGACCTGCCTCTTCAACAACAACTCGTTTCATCCCTCCTACTGCTTCAGGAGAGCCCGGTACTGTGGTCATTGAAACACCAACCGCAGGGCCACAAGCGACAGGTATTGGAAATGTTACTATCAGCACAGGCGGTCCTGCTACAGTCACTCAGACTCGGTATATCCCTGCCACGGTGAGTGATGAGCCTGGAACTATCGTCATCGAAACACCGACTTCTCAAGTTGATGAAGAGAGAGGTGCAGGAAACACAACTATCTATAGCGCTGTATCTGCTACTGGTACTCGTACAGTCTACATTCCACCTACGGTATCCGGCGAGCCTGGAACCGTCATCATTGAGACCCCTGCTGTGAGAGCAGTGACTGTCTACACAGATGGTCCTGCATCGACGACCCGAACGCTCACTATTCCGGGCACTGCCTCAGGCGACCCTGATACCATTCTCATCGAGACGCCTCCTCCAAGCTCAGGCTCTGGCCCTGCTAATGTCACTGTCTATACTGACGTTTCTGCCACTGCCGCCACTACTCGTTTCATTCCCGGTACAGCTTCAGATGAACCTGGAACGTTCATTGTTGAAACACCAATTAGAAGTCCAACCTACGTGACAGTCTACAATGGTGGACCAGGTACAGCTGTGACAACGATCTATCTGACACCAAGTGAATCTGGTGGTTCAACCACTATGATCATCCAGACTCCCACTCAAGGATCCGAAGAGTCTGCTACAGATAATAGTGACGTGTCTAAGACTAGAACCATTACAGAAGCTTCAGGCGCATCGGCGACTCTCCGTGGGAATGTCACCATCTACACTCAAGCTCCCGGCACAGCTGGCGGAACATTCTACTTCCCACCTGATGACCCAGAGGAATCGGGCACTATCATTATTGAGACACTGTCCGGTGATGCTGAAGCGACTGGTGCTGAGTCTACTGAAGATACAGTCGTCCCAACTGCTGGTGGCCGGGTCAATACCACAATCTTCAGTGGCGGCCCAGTAACTGCGCCTAGAACATTATACATATCAGCGACAATATCTGGAGAACCGGATATCGTGCTTGTGGAGACACCAACCACTGGCCCAGAAGCAGAGACTTCAGAGTCAGCGACTGGCCAGCGATACACAACTATCTTTGGTGGAGGGTCTGGAACAACCGCGAAGACCATCACCATTCCTGCCACTGCATCTGGTGAGCTGGATACTGTTCTGATCGAGACACCTACTGGTGGTGTTCCCGAAGTCACAATTACCAGAGGGGGACCTGTTTCAGTGGCGACGACTATCACTGTCCCTGGTGCGCCTGGCGAACCTGACACTGTTCTTGTTGAGATTCCAACTGAATCTGGAGATGCTGGGCCATCAGGGACTGCTAATGGCTCGGGCGAAGTGACTTCTACTCGCGGCGGACCAGTTACAGCTGCGACGACGATCACAATTCCTGGTCAATCAGGCCAGCCAGACACTGTTATTGTTGAAACGCCGACTCGTGCGGCTGATGTCACAATCACTAGGGGAGGACCTATTTCAATCGCCACGACCGTAACAATCCCTGGAGCACCTGGCGAGCCAGATACGGTTCTTGTGGAAACACCAATTGAGTCCGCCGATCTGTCCGTGACTGGAAGTGGCGCAGGTGAAATAACTTCCACTCGTGGCGGACCAGTCACGGCCGCAACGACGGTCACCATCCCAGGTGTATCGGGTCAGCCAGATACGGTCATTATTGAAACACCTACAACCGCCTCTGATGCTAAGGAATCTACGACGACTAGAGACGGTCCAGTTGAAGTGACATCTACTCGAGGAGGACCGGTAACAGCTGCAACTACTATCACTATTCCTGGAGAGTCAGGGCCGCCAGACACCGTTATTATCGAAACGCCTACAAGATCTTCAGATGATGAAACAACAGAAACTGGAGGCAGCCCAGGAGAGGTAACTTCGACAAGAGGAGGACCTGTAACAGCGGCGACTACCATCACCATCACTGGTGAACCAGGTGAGCCAGACACGGTCATCATTGAGACTCCAGCGAGGTCAAGTGAGCCTCCTGTAACAGGTGGTGTTCAAGCAATCACTTTAACAAGAGGCGGGTCCGTGACCAAAGCAACTACTATAACTATCCCCGGCGAGTCAGGTGAGCCTGACACGGTTATCGTTGAGACACCTTGGTCGTCTGGCGAGGTTGAACCATCTGCAACTGAAGGTAGCCAAGATGAAGTTACCATTACTTGGGGCGGACCTGTGACTGCCGCCACTACCGTTACTATCCCTGGAGTTTCCGGTGGTCTAAATACTGTGTTTATTGAAACACCCACTCGATCTTCTGAAGAGTCTACAGGAACTGCTGTTCGAGAGGTCACAATCACTCGTGGTGGTCCGGTTACAGCCCCTATTACAGTTACCGTCCCTGGAGTCCCCGGCGGTCCTGATACTGTTTACATTGAGGTGCCTACAGAGTCTGTTAGGACCGGAGCTGTTCAAGAGGTCACTATTACGCGAGGCGGCCCTGTAACAGCTGCCACAACGGTAACCATTTCTGGCGGAGCGGGAGAGCCAGATACTGTTTATATCGAAACGCCTACCGAGTCCGTAGACGGGGTTAGGGAGACACCAGTGACTGGAGCCGTCCAAGAAGTCACTATTACGAGAGGCGATCCAGTCACAGCAGCAACCACAGCCACAATCCCTGGCGTTTCCGGAGGACCAGATACGGTCTATATAGAAATACCCACAGAATCTGCCGCTGGAGGTACGGAGCCACCAGCTACTGGAGCTGTTCAGGAAGTTACCATCACACGTGGAGGTCCCGTCACAGCGGCAACAACGATTACTATCCCTGGAGCTTCTGGCGAGCCAGATACCGTTCTGGTTGAAGTTCCAATTGAATCTGCTGAGCGACCGTCGGAAACAGGCTCTTTACGTGAAGTCACTGTTACAAGAGGTGGCTCAGTTACAGCTGCGACAACACTTACGATTCCTGGCGAATCTGGTGGGCCTGACACTGTACTGGTTGAGATTCCAACTGGCTCTGTTCGCGAAGTCACTGTTACACGAGGCGGTCCAGTCACAGCTGCGATAACACTCACCATTCCGGGTGAGTCTGGGGGACCAGATACTGTACTGGTCGAGATCCCGACAGGCTCATCTGATGATGATGAAGGCGTTTCTACTCAAGGAGAAGTCACGATTACTCGTGGCGGTCCTGTTACCGCTGCTACAACTCTCACTATACCTGGGGCTTCGGGCCAGCCAGATACGGTTGTCGTCGAAAGGCCAACTGGGTCTAGCAGCGAGCCATCAGAAACTGATGATGGCCAAGAAGAGGTCACTGTTACCCGGGGCGGCCCTGTCACAGCTGCAGTTACAATCACCTTACCCGGTGTATCAGGCGGACCTGATACCGTCATCGTCGAAACTCCCACCGAGTCTGCCATCGAGCCCTCAGAGACTGATGACATTCGGGAAGAGGTCACTATTACCCAAGGTGGCCCTGTTGCAGCCGCGACAACGATCACTGTTCCAGGTTTAGCAGGAGAACCAGACACTGTCATCGTCGAGACACCTACTGGCGCTTTTGAGACTCCCAACAATGCTCTCGCCAACGTCACTGTCTACAGTGGCGGTCCTGTCTCAGTTACTCGTACCATATATCTTCCACCCGCCGCATCTAGCGAGGCCGGTACTATTGTCATCGAAACACCAGATGGTTCTGGTCCCACGGAAACTGCCCGTGGGCCTGGAAATATTACTATTTACACAGGTGTCGCTGGCACAGCTACAAGAACCGTCTTCATCCCTGCTACAGCTTCTGGAGTGCCAGGCACGGTACTCATCGAAACGCCAACAGGTTCTTCTGGTGGTGAGGAGACGACAGGAAGTATTGTTGCAACAGCGACAGGACCTCTAACTACCTCTGAGGGCAGGCCAAATACTACAATTTTCAGCGGTGGATCTGGCTCATCGACAAGGACGGTCTACTTCCCACCAGCGTCTGATGATCCCGAAGGCCTTGGGACCGTTGTTATTGAGACACCAACCTCTGGTAGTGAAGAAAAAGATCCCGAAGCAACAAGCAGTGCCATTACTCCCGGAGGACCAGCTAACATCACACGAATCGTCGGAGGTCCTGCTTCGGTCACCACTACTATCTACATCCCACCAACTGCCTCTGGTGAGCCCGGCGTTGTGATCATTGAGACGCCAACTTCAACCCCCGAGGATGAGACGACGGCCAGTGGGGGTGCGGCAAACACAGCTTTCCCAGTGGGTAGACAAAACGTCACTCTCTACAGCGGCGGTCCAGGTACGGTTGTAACAACAATCTACTACCCGCCTGCATCAAGCAACCTTAATGAGCCTGGTACAGTGGTGATCCAGACCCCAACGGCTGGTCCTGGGCAGGAGACATCATCAACATCGGCAAGCGAAGCTGCTACGCCAATCCAGAATATTACTCGCATCGTGGGAGGACCTGCTTCTGTCACAACGACGATCTACATCCCTCCCACTGCCTCTGGAGAACCGGGAGTTGTCATCATTGAGACGCCTACAGCCAGTCCCGGGGAGGAACAGACATCTTCGACATCTATTACCGCAACCTCCGGCGGCGAGGAAACAACTGGCATTCCTAATGTTACTCGCTATGTCGGCGGCCCAGCTTCCATCACGACAACATACACGATGCCCCCTACATCGTCTGGGGAGCCAGGAACAGTGGTCATCCAAACCCCTTCCGCCAGTCCTAGCGAGGGCGAAACTTCCGCTTCAGCAACTGAGCTTCCAAACGTCACACGGTACATCGGTGGCCCAGCGTCAGTCGCCACGACGTATACCATTCCTCCAGCCTCACCTGGAGAGCCAGGCACTGTTGTCATTCAAACCCCAGCTGCCAGCCCTGAAGAGAATGCTACGTCTTCCCCACCAGCTGAAGCACCAACTGAAATCCCGAATGTCACTCGTTACGTCGGCGGGCCAGTGTCAGTCCCTACGACCTACACCCTCCCTCCAGCTTCTTCTGGGGAGCCGGGTACAGTGGTCATCGAAACACCAACAGCCAGCCCCGCAGCTTCAACAAATCCCATCAGCGGCGCACCAGCAGGCATTCCGTCAACTTCCACCCCAATCGTCGCTGGTACCAATGTCACTATCTTCAGAGCTGCTCCTCCCACAGCTACAGCTGAACGAACGCTGTACGATCCACCGACTGCGGTTGGAGAGCCTGGTACTGTTATTGTTGAAACAATGGTTGTGTCTTCGACTTCTGGCTCAGCTGCGCCGTTGAGTATGGAGGGCCCTGTTTCAACAACTCTGACTGGTGCTTCAGGCACTACTAGTGCGGCAGCAGTTACTCCTACAACCAGTTCTTCTGCTATCGCTTCACCTCCAACTACATCAAGTAGTGCGGCGGTGGCAGCAAGCTCATCGAGTAGTGCCGCAGCAGCCGCTGCTTCAAGTTCTTCTAGTACTGCTGCTGCGGCGGCTTCGAGCTCTTCCTCTGTTGCAGCAGCTCCCAGTTCCTCTAGTGCTGCAGCTGCAGCAGCCTCAAGCTCATCTAGTGCAGCCGCCGCGGCGGCCTCAAGCTCTTCAATCGCAGCAGCAGCAGCCACCAGTTCTTCGAGTAGCGCTGCAGCCGCCGCTGCGGCTACATCAAGTTCCTCAGCTGCGGCCGTCGCGGGCAGTTCCTCTAGTGCAGCAGCTGCAGCTGCCTCAAGCTCGTCCATTGCCGCAGCCGCCGCTGCATCATCAACATCAAGCGCAGCTCCAGCACCAGTGACCACAAGCTCAACCAGTGCTGCAGCCCCAGTAATCACCACCTCCAGCAGCGCAGCTATCCCTGTAGTCGCTACCTCTTCCAGTAGTACCTCCAGCACAAGCATGATGCCCCAGCTCGCATTCGGCCCAACGTTCGACTGCGATGGCTTCGGCTACACCGTTCAAAGTCTTCTGGCCAACACCCTCACACGCGTCAACCTCGTCACCGGTCAACGAACAGATATCAAAACGGGTATTGGCCCAGGCGGTCCTATCAACGGTATCGGCTTCAATAGGCTCGATAACTACATCTACGGCTTCTACCAACAACCTTTGGTCAATGCCCTTCTTTGCGGCGTGTTGGGATGTAAGCGATCGGGACTTATTCGTATCGCTAAGGACGGCCGATGGGAGGTCCTTGATCTTGTGATTGGTTCAAATGCTATCAGTATGGGTGATGTTGATGATCAAGGACGGTTCTGGGTCTCCGAAGGCGGGGGTAAATGGTGGTGCGTTGATTTGAGGCCGACTAGCACCACCTTCGGCAAGCTTCTGAATTCCGGCACATCGGCTACCAACCTCTTGACTGGAGTCGGTGACTGGGCATATGTCCCCGGAGGCGGAAACTATCTCTACGCCTTGCAAGCATCTGTCATCGAGAATGGCCTCCTCAGAACAAACATAGTCCGCTGGTCTTTGACCACACAAAAGTGGGAGAACTACCAAGCGTATCCGGGCATCCTCAACACAGCGCTCAACCTCGTCTGGGGCGCTGTCATGGCAGCGCCGGGTGGAACGCTTTTCGCTCAAGAGACTGTCCTCGGACAAACATGGAAGTTCACCCTCGGATTTGGGGCCCCGGATCCGACACCGATACCAGGCGGTGCTATTCTCAACTTGCTAGGGTCGGATGGAGCCAAGTGTGCGAGTGCTTCACTTTAATGATTCGATGGATAACGGAAGCGGCAAGATTGTAAGGACGCCGCGGGTTGGACGCATGTACTGTCATTTTTCCTTTGTACTAGTCAAGCGGACTGCTTCTTTTTTCTATGTACTAGTTAGCGATCACTACATGATCAACTATTTCTTTTCTCCGACTCATGTCGTCTTTGCTGGCGCAGATGCAAGCGTAGTTGAGCACACACAGCCCTGTCCTCCAATGCTAGTCACAGGAGGGGCATTGCAGGTAGCTTCCGTAGTCCAAGAAGCATACGTAGACGTAGGTTCCTCAGAAACGACATCAGCTCTAACAAGAACAGGAATGATCTGGCCGGTCGCAAGACGGAAAGGTCGATGGTTGAGAGCCTGAAGAAGCTTGGTGATCTCACCAGAGTGACTGCTAATGCTGATCCAAACAGCATTGTCACTTGTGAAAATATCATCGAGAACTTCCTTGCTTCGTGCCAATTGGTGTTCATCAGTCTCACCCTCCTTTCCAGTCCAAAGCTTATCTTTGTCGGAGAAACCCTTCTCGAACTTGATCTTTTTAGCAAGAGTCTTGATGAAGCTCTTGCTGCGACGGTGATCACATGTTCGGATGCTGATACCCTCGCGGAGAAGTTCCTTAACCATTGGGACGAAAGGCTTATCCTTGGGGAGCTTGAGACTCTGGAAAGTCTCCACGGCGGTCTCGACGCAGCGGGCCAGAGGTGAGGTGTAGTATGAGTCGAAGAATGGCATGCCTTCGTTCTCAAAGCGGGTCTTGTAGTAGGCGTTTGCCTTTTGAGCTTGGGCCTCGCCTGCAGGTGTGAGGAGAGCATCCTCCCACGTCGCTGTTCCGTTGCCAGACTGAAGACCCCAGTAGCACTGCAAATATCAGCTCGTGAACTGAGAAGGTCAGGAGGGTCACTTACGTTCCAGGCGGGTGTTCCATAAAAGGACTCAGCGGCGTTGTGCCAGCCCTCACCATGACGTCCCATGACAAGAACCTTGTAGCGCGTCTTATCGCGGCTAGCATTGCGGTTCAGGTGCTTGACATACTGCTCGAAGCGCTCCCACTGAGTCTTGTAGCCCTTTCGGGGGTTCTTGGGATCAGTGGGATAAGTGCGGTTCAAGAGACCAAAGTTCCATTGAGCCTGTCCCTCGTTAGTTCAAGTTTTCCGTGTGTAAAGCGAGAGAGGTCTCACATAGTCAAAGCCAGTAGGGTTCGTGGCTAGATCATCTTGCAAAAAGAACCCTTCAACAGAAGTATACTTGATCTCCTTATTCTTAGCAAAATGCCAATCCGCAAGAGCAGGCGGCGCCAGGGCCAGAAGCGCAGAGACAGTAGTGAACTTCATGATGCTCGCAGGTCAATTGTCAACGATGAAGCCCATATTCGACCTGGGCAAACAAGCATCTTTATACCTCAAGACATCGGACACTTGGCCGATTTGACATGTTCATGCCAGGGTATCATCGCGCGTTCACCCCAAGCTCAAGAAGCCGTTAAAGATGCATCTATTCCCGTCCGGGGAATCTTGGCCCGAGCAGGTCCACGATTAAGGCAAAGATCGGAGCCAATGGATCGGGAACGTGCCGCGCAAAGTGGAGTCTCCTGACGTGATAAGATGAAATGAGATCCGGGTTCTCGGTCACAGAATGAGATAGTCTAAAGACTAGATGAAAGAAATGGAGTAAATTGACATGAACTTGGAGAGTCAGTGATGAGAAAGTTGGTGGTTTTGTCAAAAACGTGGTGTTGCTAGCGTGGCTGTCGTTTGCATGTGACAGGGGTGCTTTAAGACCCTTAAAAGGAACAAACAACTCTCTCGTATTCAATCCTTCGCTCATTCAATGATTACTCTTGCTTGCGTATGCATTTCACGGTAATAGCATGGGTCAAAGAACACGCATTTAATTTATTCGTATTTATAGACGGTTACCTAAGCTCTGTTGACCGTCGTTAAATTGGCAGCGTACAAACGGACCAATCAAATCGCCCATAAAACTGTTAGGCCCAACCAAAGCTCATCCATTAACTTCCAGCAGCTCGAGTTACGTAGAACCATCACCTTACTGAGAGCTCCTTAATCTTAAAAAAAAGCATTCATCATCACCGCTTCTTCTTCTTGGTCTTTAATTTTTTGAACTTGGACTTGTCAACATCACTCACTCATCGCTATTTCTGTATCTTTTCTCGCCACCATGTCTTCGACTGACCCCACTAACCCCTCGGTTGACGATGAGCTTCATCTTGAGGGTGAGCCTGCTCCTGAGCTCCTCGAGGGGCGCATCTGGGTCGACGGCTGCTTTGACTTCTTCCACCACGGTAATACAACCTCTATATCTCATCGCGATCAGTTATACTGACGTTATCAGGCCATGCTGGCGCTATTGTGCAAGCCCGCCAATTAGGCGATGAGCTCTACGCTGGCGTTCACTCAGACGAGGCCATCCTCGCCAACAAGGGCCCTACAGTCATGAACCTCGCAGAACGGTAACACCAACTCATTCCCACCTGTCACGCGACACATTTGCTGACTTTCCCAGACTCGCTGCTACTGACGCTTGTCGCTGGGTCACCCGTTCAGTCGCCAACGCGCCCTACGTGACTTATCTCCCCTACATCTCCCACTACGGCTGCAAATACGTCGTGCATGGCGACGACATCACCTCGGACAGCGATGGTAACGACTGCTACCGATTCGTCAAGGAAGCTGGTCGCTTCAAGGTGGTTAAGCGCTCACCTGGTATTTCCACCACCGACCTCGTCGGTCGCATGCTTCTCTGCACAAAGACGCACTTCATCAAGTCGCTCGAGAAGAAACTCGCCGGTGAAGAGGGCCACGGCACACCGGAGGAGCGCATCGCTGAGGGCCAGCAGATGCTGGAGCGCATGAAGCTGTATGCGACAGATGCTTCGGGCAAAGCACCCGGCGCCGAGGTGTTCTTCTGGAAGGCGTCGCAGGTCGCTAAGGCGGAGGAGGGTGAGGAGGAAAGGGGCAGTTTCCGCCAGCTTATCGAGGGACCCGGACCTAAGCCCGGCCAGCGCGTCGTGTACGTCGATGGAGGTTATGATCTCTTTTCCAGCGGCCACATCGAATTCCTGCGCCAAGTCCTCCTCGAGGAAGAAAAGCTCGCTCGTGAGGATGGTTGGTTCTCCGAGCAGTCCGTAAACGAGCGTCTCGGCAAGGGTGAGGATTACCCCCCGGCGTACGTGGTAGTAGGCGTACACGAGGACGAAGTCATCAATCAATGGAAGGGAATCAACTACCCCATCATGAACACCTTCGAGCGCGGTCTCTGCGTTCTACAGTGCAAGGTAATTAAAAAAACAACTCCTCCCCCAATACCACCCCAGTCCTGAAAACCACTAACCACTTTAAACCACAGTACATCAACGCCGTCATCTTCGGCGCACCCTTCTCTCCCACAAGGACCTACCTCACCACCCTACCGCGCGGCACCCCAGACGCCGTGTACCACGGCCCAACCTCCTTCATGCCCCTGACATACGATCCGTACACGGCACCCAAGGCGATGGGGATCTACCGCGAGATCGGCGCGCACACGTTTGCGCACGTCAACGCCGGTGAGATCGTGCAGCGGATCATGAAGTCGAGGGACATGTACGAGGCGCGCCAGCGGGCAAAGGGCGAGAAGGCCAGTGTTGAGGCGGCGGCGCGCGAGAGGGAGATTCTGGAGGAGGAGCAGCGTAAGAAGGAGGCTGAAAGGGCGTAGGGCGTGGTTGATGGATGGTGTGAAAGAAAAAAACAGATCCGGTAATGTGCGGTCCTTTCAACAGGGAATCCTAAGAGACGGGCGGAATAAAAAAGTATAGTATAGAGTAATCATAATACCTACCTTGAAGATGACGAGTTTCTGCAAGTCTACTGTCATGATACCCTTGCTATCGTACCTTTTCACACTAACATCTCGATACAATGACATGAAAATCTCCACGCCACGAAACATAGGACCGATCATCGATAAGAAAACACACAATGTGACCTCAACGAAACTCATCATTATCCCTTCCAATTGGGGGGGTAACATAGTCATAACATGACCTCACAGCACCGAGGGGCGGTAACAATGGCAATTGACGGCTAGCCACGGTGCCATGCACAATTCCGCCCTGCCAAGAAGACTTCCATCAAGGTTTTCTTTCTTCTGTCAGAATTGACAAGCAGGGATTTCATGGCACATGACTATCTACTGCATAAACCTCTGATATGATGAGGATATGTGACGCTGGTTCAATTGGATGGTGGTTGTTGTTTGTTATCTTTGTTGATAGCCAATTTTGTTTAAGCCGCGCCCTGGCAGTGGAGCAGGTACTCGTGGTTTTTGACAGTCTCGTTCCGCGCTGGGAAGAGAAGAGCCGATGGGGCCGGGTATTTTATGCAGTTCGTGTAAGCGATCTCGATAAGCACCTCAAGTTTTCAGAAGAGTCATGTGCTCTGTATCTATTCCTAACAGAAATTCCAGCTTCACTCTATTATGAAGAAGATCAATTCACAGGCTATTTATTCAATTGCCCATCAATGACGTAAAATATCCTCTGACTATAATACTTGGTTATCTTTCCAGAAGCCATCATCAGTGGACCCTCTTCCAAACTGGCGGCTCCCCCTCCACCACGTCAAAAAGGCTGTGTGGAGCATACCTCACCACCTACTGAGTCCAGTTTAGCGCTTTTTCTGTATCGATATCGCAAGCATGGCAGAAAAAATACCCAACACAAAAAAAAACACCATCGCCGGTGCCGAGCCACCGCGCGGGCAGAGGCGGTCTATCCGGGCCCGCGAGCGGCGGGAAGTTTTTCTGCCCCAGCTCGTGACTGTTCCGAACGACACAAAGGTGGAGACCGGACAGCGGAGGGGGAGGGGGGGAGAAAGGAAGAAAACAGTCATACACGGGGTAGGTAGTCTGGCGTTTCCGTGCTTGCGTATATAAACTTTTATCTCTGCTCTTCTTTGTCTCTGTTTGCTTTCTCTATACCTAGTACCTCTCATTGTGAACTCCGATCTCGCTCTCTTCCTCCTCAAAAGAAGACCTTCGCTCAGAAACAACATTCACTCGATCTTCAATCTTCACTCGCAACCATGGCTCCCTCCGCCGTAGAAACCCAGGACGTCAACCTCACAGCTGCAGCAATCCACAAGAAAGATCTCGCCCAGCCCACCGTCAACGGCACTCCCCAGGTCCAGGCTCCCCTCGACGCTTCAAAGCTCACATACACATACACACAATCCCCCCGCTCCGTCCCCGATGAAGCAAACGCCCACTCCGGCGACGAGACCATCGCCACCGACCACATGGTCCTCGCCTCGTGGAAGGTCTCTACCGGCTGGTCTGCCCCCGAGCTCAAGCCCTACGGACCCCTGAGCCTCATGCCCACTGCCTCTGTGCTGCACTACGCTACAGAGTGCTTCGAGGGTCTCAAGGTCTTCCGCGGTTACGATGGCAAGCTCCGTGTCTTCCGCCCTGATCGCAACGCTGCGCGCCTTCGCATGTCGGCCAGTCGTATCTCGCTTCCTGTCTTTGAGCCCGCAGAGGTAGAGAAGCTCATCATCGCTCTTCTGTCCGTCGACGGCACAAAGTGGCTTCCCGCCGATCGCGCTGGCAGCTTCTTGTACATCCGCCCTACCATCATCGGCACTGCTCCTCAGCTCGGTGTCTCTGCACCCAAGGAAGCCCTCCTCTACATTATCGTGACATACATGCCCCGCATGGACGCTCCCCCTGGTGGAATGCGTCTTCACACATCCCCCGACGACATGGTGCGTGCCTGGGTCGGTGGCTTCGGGTACGCCAAGGTCGGCGCCAATTACGGCCCTTCTCTGCTTGCCACGGCTGATGCACGAACCCGTGGATTCCACCAGATTCTCTGGCTGTACGGTGCTCAGGGCGAGTGTACCGAGGCTGGAGCCAGTAACTTCTTTGTTGTCTGGAAGCGAAAGGATGGCAAGAAGGAGATCATCACTGCTCCTCTTGACGATAAGCTTATCCTTGATGGTGTCACCCGCCGAAGCTGTCTTGAGCTGGCTCGTCAGCGTCTAGGTGATGAGTATGAGATTACCGAGCGAAAGTACACCATCGCTGAGGTCGTTGAGGCCGATGCTGAGGGTCGTCTGATTGAGTCTTTCGCTGCTGGTACTGCTGTAAGTTTACCAATTGATTCCATGTCGAGAACCCTACTAACGAAAGTAGTACTTCATCTGCCCCGTTTCCCAGATCCACCACCGTGGACAAGATATCAACATTCCCATGGGCGCTGAGGGTGAGGCCGGCGAGGTCACTAGCAAGATCAAGGGCTGGCTGGGTGACATCATGTACGGTCGCACAGAGCACCCCTGGGGCGTTGTCATCCCCGAGAAGAAGCAGTAAACTGCCGATTCAAAAGTGCCTTTCGGAGAGGTGCATCAAAAGTTGATTCATGGTATGGCGTTAGCGGTGTTTGTTGATACACAAAAGAGACCAGGTTGGTCATGGGCACATGCATTGACAAAGATGGAAATGACAGGTGCAGATAGTTAATGAGATACGAAATAGACAACCAGTTGAAAGTCAACTCTGCTACTGTACATGACGAATCGGACATGAGACTGCTGACACCAAAATAACCCACACATTGCTTCTAGTACATCGCATCGATCAATCGTCGAAGAGATCCTGCATCATCTTCAAAGTCTCGTTCTGGATCTCAGCCTTGAACTCCTGCACATGCGCGTCAGTATAAAATCACTGGTTGCGGAACACCAACGAACCTTGTCAACCTCGTCCAAGAGTCGACACTTGTCCTCCACGATGGCCTCCGCCTGTTTCTTGAAGTCCTCGGCGACCTTCAAAACCTCCTCGTCGACGCCATCTTGGCCACCTTGGTCGGCGAGCTCTTTGTTCAGTTCCTTCCAAGCCTGTTCCTCGGTCGCACAGCACTCATCCTATTCGGCACTGAGACGAAGAATCTCTTCTCTGGCGGCAGCGATTTCTTCCTGGAGCCTCTTCAAATGAACGGCAATAGTAGCTCTAGGGTGGTCTTCATGGTCATTGTGATGACAAAGTGTGGCCGATAGCGGGTAGGCGATGTTGGCGTACAGCTGTTTGGATTGCGACAAGGTCTCACCGGATTTCTCCGCGAAGCTGGCGGTCTTCGCCTGCACATCCGTGTGCGCCTTTACGAGGTGCTCAATCGCAGAGCTGTGAAGGGACATGCCCATGCGAGCATACGATTCTGTGTCGTCAGGAGTGAAGCCCAGCGCCTTACATTGCGAACCAACCTCGAAGTTGTGAGGCCTGATCATTGCTCTCTGGTGCAGGAACAACCTTGTTTTCGGGCTTTGAAGTCTCCAAGGATTTCCCGAGACAAGCGTGGACCTGCTGGTAGATATTCTGGTAGGGAATTGGCCCGATGGAGGAACTCGTCGCGGGAGTATCGTCGTCGCGCAGGCGATCTCGCAGGGTCGAAGGCCAACCATCTTCCTCTAGACTTGAGGTGGAGTTCAGGAAATAATGAGATGCGGATGCCATGATTTCATCGAGGCTTTGGAGATAATTGCGCTTTCAAGAAAGAGAAAGAGAAAATATCTGGAGGTGAGAGTGCGTCCTGTCCTGCTGGTTACTTATAATTTGGTCAAGCAGTGGTAGGTGTTGATGTAGATAAGGGAAGAACCTGCTGCGCCTGCCCTGCACCTTCCGTTTAACATTCGCCAACCCGTTCGCATTGTGCAGAAGAAACCTGCAATTCCAATTCCGATAGCAATCTTTGAATTCATAATAATATTGAGCATTTATATGCTTGCTTTTGCCTCAGAAATGAATGCACTTTCCTTTCCGTTGTGGTATCAATTCCATCACCAATTACCCTACGGCGGCTCTGTCATGCATTTTTGTCCCAGTCCTCAAACGCCGCCATATCGCGACCAGCAAACTTGAAGGAGACTTGCTGAGGATAACTCAATCCTGTCGCTTTTCTTTTCTTCTCGTGCTCATGTCTTCCCCTAAGCATTGATCTTCTCGTCAATCGCCTCAACAATACTCTCCCAAGTAACCATTGCACCATTTCCGACATCACCACAGGCCAAATTCTTCGATATTGGCCTCAACACCTCAAACCAACCATTTTCTCCACCCCATTCCTCCTCCAAAACTCGCAGCTGCCTCGCAGTGATGGGATGATTCCACATACAAGTATTCATCGCAGGCGCGACAAGAATCTTCTTCTTGACGCCATCCACAGTGCCTGTAACATCCCATGCTCGAACCACAGACGTCAAGAGGTTATCGCACAAGCCGTTGACAATCTTCGCCATCGTGTTCGCGCTCAACGGTGAAATAACCAGAACATCCGCCCAGCGTCGTAGCTCAATATGTAAAATCGGCGCATTGCGCTTCCAAGGCTGTGCCCACTCATGCGCATCTGTGTAAACAGCGTCGACATTCGGAAGACGTGAGACTTGATCAACAGTGGGTTGTTCTAGACTCTGACCAGACAGAAATTCTGACGCTGATCGAGTGAGGATGAGACGAATGGAGATGTTGGGTTGTGATTTGAGACCATGTATAATCTGGACGAGCTTAATTGTCGCGACGGAACCAGAGGCAGCGAGGAGAATATGGCGCTTGCCATCGCCTCGGGCCTGTTCGAGAGCTTCAGTTGAGTTGCGCATGTGGTGGTCGTGATGGGCGTCGTGCCCGTGTTGAATTCTGTGAAGCATTCCTTGGGGAGCAAGAAAATATCAGACCTTGATATAGGGTGTCAAAATAAACCCAGCAAAGGTATTCAGGTAAGGTATCTTAAACTTAATAAAGGTATCCGAAACTTGGCAAAGGTATCATAAACTTATACTAAGTTGACCTAAATCTTTTGTCACTTGGGATCAAGATCCTGAGTTTTCTTTCCTCCCCTACCTACTTACCTTGAGCACTGAGATCGAGTGAGATGCAGATGCGTTTGTCAGCAGTCTTGGCGAGAGTTGATAGGGTTTGAGGCACTTCGGTGGAGTGATGTCAACTTTATGACCTCAGCTTCAATTGTGAGTTGTATGAGTGATATATATAAGTTTGTTAAATAATGAACAGATTGTTTATTGAGAATCAACGGCTGTGAGAACCTGGAGAATTGACAGCTGCTGGGAGCTTTATATCCATCAACCCCGCCATCAGCCCCGCGTCATATGATGAACTCTGAAGATATCACGAGCCGAATCGCAAGTGCTGAAAGCGTCATTGCAGTGCCGACTGAACCTAAGAATGGACTGATTATAATAACATGTTTACAGAATGTTCTGGCCAGCGTGAGGCATTGGTAAGAGTGTCAGTAACTGACAGTGCTGTATTCTACAGTGGCAGAAGCTGTAGTAAGCTTTGTGAAGGTGCCTAGGCAATAAACAATCGAACACGAAACACTCGGAGCCTGCCGATAGAGGGGGATCTTTGATTGACAGCGAAGAACAAACGCATCAGATTGTGGTCTCAGAATAATTGTCATTATAACATCACAATGGGCAAACATGACATTGTTGATAAGCCGCAATCGCCTCTTCGCTGATTGGTCCTTTCGCCACTGATATCCGGGGATCGGCATCGGAACATCCTTGACATCACTAATCCCATCCAAAACTTCCGCCATCTTCAACACTCCAAATCCACTGCGCATCTGCATTCTCTCACCACCACATCCTCCCTCACAACCTCCCTCACAACCGCCACAATGTTTGCGCGAACAGTAGCTTCAGTACGCCCTCTCCCTCCACCACCACTCATCTACATCCACTAACACCTCTAGTCCCTCCGACAAGCCGCCCGGCCTGTCGCCGTCCGCTCAACAGCTCCTCTCTTCCGCACACCAATCTCGCCCCTCACACCCTTCCAAGCCCGTCTGCTCTCCGACCAAACCCGCTCCGCAATCGACAAGGCCGTGTCCTCCGCGCCCGTCGTCCTCTTCATGAAGGGAACCCCCGAGACACCGCAGTGCGGCTTTTCGCGCGCCGCCATCCAGATCCTCGGCCTGCAGGGCGTCAACCCCGATAAATTCGCCGCCTTCAACGTCCTCGAGGACCCCGAGCTGCGCGAGGGTATCAAGGAGTACTCCGATTGGCCTACGATTCCTCAGCTTTACGTTGCGAAGGAGTTTATTGGTGGAACGGATATTCTGGTCTCGATGCATCAGAATGGTGATTTGGCGAAGCTGTTTGATGAGAAGAAGGTTATTCTTGAGGGGGAGCCTCAGCAGAAGGAATAGAAGCGGCGATTACGATCGGTCGAGTGTATAACATGGTGTAATAGTGAAGAGATACCTCTGTATGAAAGATACGAATGTACAGCAAAAGCACGGAATAGAACGTTGTGGTCATTTGCTTCTCGACTTCTGGTGCTGTGAGGAGTCGGGGTGTTGTTGGTATTTCGCTGGCGATATTCTTGTCTCTGCGGAGTACTATTGTTGCCATTTCTCTAGCTGCTCTGCAAGGGATGGTGATTTAGAGAGCGCACCTGTTGATTCTTCAGAGCAGAATATGATCAAGAGCTGCAAAGGGTTGCGATGACGGAGCAGTCCGAAATGGCTGCCATAGCTTCTCTAGCTTCCTACCATGAACGGAAGGAAAGGGTCCACCGCAAGGTGTTTGGGTTACTGTTGTCTCTTGTCAATGGGAGAATTAGGCCCCTTCTTATGAGGCTGAGGAGGGATGTCAATGGTGTCAATCACAAGTCGTCCGACCGCTCAGTGGGTTCGCCTCTGGTCGTCTCAGTTTATCCATAGGTCTATATTCCGAAAGCAATGGTCTATGTCTATAAAGTCTATATCTTCCACTTCATGTCCGTCAAAACTCAGCTCAGACCACAATGCCGTGAGATCGCTTCCAGCGCCTCTGCCAAGCGTCCAACAACACAGTTCGCGAATGTCCTTTACACTCCGGCACAAACGAAACCTCAATCACCGCATTTCGCCCTATCTCAGCATAATCACGTTTCATAGCACAAACTATCTGTTCAAATCTAGCCATCACCTTTCGAAACTCCTGATTATCATCCCTAGGTATACGTTCTTGAAAAAGCACCCCTGGGGCTTCGAGCGAAATGAGCAGCCAGTCAAAGTCATGCTGCCAATTCAGTAGCCGGAACATTTGCTCTCGGGGAAACAGAAGTATCTCTTCGCCGTGTTTGAGGCGGAGATTGAGTCCTGGGAGGACATCGTAGCTGAATATGAGGTCAATGTTGGGCTTGGGCTCTGGGGATGGAGATCTTGGGACTTCGGATGGAGGGCTGGGCGAGCTTTGCTCAGACTCGATCGAGTCCCGCACCCGCGAAATTCTGGGTTGGGTTTCATTTTGGTTTGTTTGCTGAGACTGCTGAGAGGCATTATTTGAGTTCATGGATGAGGGGGGAGGTGCATTGGGATCTCTGTCGCGATATTCATCTGTTTCAAACCCCGTTTGAGTGCCCGTTGAAGTAGTATGCGCCGATGGATTGCTCCCACGCTCTCTATGGCCAACACCAATATTTGGTCGTGGATTAGGCCCCATATGCCTAAGATTATCTTGTAAATCTTGCATTTGACTTACACGCCGGGGCTGCGCGTCAGGAATGAGATGCCCAGATTCATCAATACCCTAAGTTATCTGAAGTCAGTAAAGTATCCCTTCAAGCGTTATCTCACTTACATATCCAGCTAACTCATCAGGGCTGTAAGTCCTACCATAAGGTATCGCGCGTCTATTACTCATGGCTTCGTCCTGTCTCGGGATATGGCTCGACTGAGGACTCTCTGAAGAAGAGGAAGAATCACCGTCTTCATTGGATGCTGCTCTGAAGACGGTTAGCACTTTTTTCATGAGTGTCCGGACTAGAGAACCAACGCCGCATGATAGGAACTCTCGTACTCCGGAGGAGATGGTGTAGGGCTCTCGCTACCAAGAACGTTGCTTGGATTCCTCGGTCGTCGGCCGTTGTTGGCTGCGGTCGTAACTCGTGAACGTCTCGAGCGTAACTTCTTCCCGTTATCTTTCAGATTGCATCGAAGGAAGAACCAAACAATGTTGGTGTATATCCTGTATTATATAGTTAGAGAGAAGTCAAGCGACGAGAGAGACAAGTTACTCGTATTGATCTCTGGGGTACCGAAGAGATCCGTCATCGCTCGTACTTGGCCAGTACAAGGGGCCATTTTCGCAGACACAGAGATATTCATGTGCCATCTTAATAAGTCCTTCTTGCTGGACTACATCGTTTCTGTCAATCAGATCCTTACCCGACATCCTAAGTCTGGTCATGAATTGAGAGCGGAATTGCTCGAGACTTGCTTGGTAGGCAGTCGCTCCCTTCTGACGACTCCTTTGCCTCAAATTCCGACGTATGTCAACCAAATTACTGATTGAGCCGGATGTAGCAAATATAGCCAAGTATTGGCCAAGGGAACAGCCGCAAGCCAACTCCATGGCTAGTGGCGGCGACTTGGAAAGCAGATAGTTGCTAAAGTGAAGATTAGGCACAAGCTATTTGCTAGATAGCCCACATATTTAATACTATGAAAACGAGTAATGAAAACAGGTTTTCGATTTACTTCCTTCACATTCTATCTACCTTGGCCTGCTCGTCATAGGAGGCCTACTCCTTCATGGTGGTGATTCTGCCTAGTGGACCTAGTCAGCATGAAACCCCTTGCATAAACTGTTCTATGTTTAGCTAAATAGAATTTATTTCTTCTACTTTTTGAAACAGCTAAAGTTATGTGCCGCATACACGCGCACAGTTCTCGGAGTTGCCGTGTGAGGAGGAGGTGTAGATCGATACGCGCTCGACCTAATCTGACGCGGTAACTATGTGCCAGGACTCGAGCTTGAGTCCCATCTTTCTTTCAAAGTCTACTATTGGATAACGGGACTACTAGGCGATTCGTCGGCAGATTGCATAGGGGTTGAACTTTTAGCTGCAGCTTGAATGCCGCCAGTGACGAGGTAAGGCTGTAAATGCCCGACTCAGCAAGAAATAGCAGGAAGAAGTAATGGATTGATTGTTGGCAGAAGTTTCGATTTAGCTTTAGGATACTCAAATTAATCACTTGGATTGTGGATGGCTGCCTGGATTTTGATACCATGATCTGATGAATGCTGTTGGTTGAACCCAGGATGCATACAAGGCATCCAATCACGAGGTCGGCATCAGTGTTGCTACGCCTCACAAGGCATTCTCACAACCATCTCGTCGTGCAATAATTTTCGGTCTCTCCCAGATTCTATGAGGCTAAGAACTCCCTCAAAGTGACTTTGTCCCAGTGTGTGACGACCTACGCCCTTAAATAAGGGCGGTCAATCCCGTGGATTCGGGTAATCAGCCATAGCCCAGCATGACCTACTTGGCTAGCTTTTAGTCCTCGGGCGTCTCGACCTCCGTCCATTATAAAAGCACTCACTGTTTTACCTAACCCATTGATGAGTAATTGGACAGGGCAGTCACCACAAGGAACGGGGAGCTGATAAGTGACCACTCTGGGTAGGTCCCTCTCGTTGTAAGGCTTCATTGTGCTGCTGGCTCCGTCGCAGAGCTTCGTCACAAAAGAATCGTCAGAAGCTATTATGCATTAGCAAGAGTATTTGCTTACATAACTCAGTGTACTTTCAATTAACACTTACTGGAAACCATGGTTTGCTATCTTTAGCGTCTGCTAAGTACTCAAGAATCTGGATTTGGCATAAGGGGAGGAATTGACTAGGATATAAAAAGGGAGCGGCTTATAACTCAAAGAATTAATCAAGTTAATCTTTGAGATTCGAGGTTATTCCAATCTTATAACTTATCGCCTTGTGACCAGTGACTCGAGAGAATGGGGTGATGCTAGCCACACTTCCAGCGACAAAGCCTACTTGACGAGCTGGAAAGACTCGACACATTGAGTTTTGAACGCAAGCATACATAATATGATTCTTAATGTCTATGGAGAATGTGACTTGATGTAGTTGCGTTTTATCGAAACAGAAATGGCTACGTTGGACTTCAGCTTGTGCCACGACCCCAGACTGAGGCGGATAAACGGCATGACAGTGGGAGTCTGTTCGGGCACGCGGCTGCAAGATTGAGTTACTATCTTTTGATATATCACATATAATCCCAAAGGTGCAGTTGAAACATGTGAATTCAAGTTGAAGGTATTGCAGTAGCTTTGTTGATGGTATGTGACTGCGATGCGACATGGCATGTGGTGTTCCAAAGGATACATCGATTGCAACCAAGCGGAGCGGATAAGGGACTCGTTGTGATATATGTCTTATAATTCGAGAAGGGAACTATAGGTGCGAATAGTAGTCAGAACATAATAGTGAGAGATGGCAATGGGTCGCAAGAGTGGTGATTCAGTTACCCGCATTCAGATTTGCATCTCATGAGCACTTGACTTCCAAGGCAGAGTCAAGATCTCCTTTCTTTTGCTATAAATTAATAGCTTTCGAATATTGTGCAGGGGTCAGGTTTGCTGGGACTGCTGACCGTGATTTACAATGCGGCTGTTCCAGCCAAGACATCCAATCAAGACATGCTCTCTATGTGCTCCGCCTCAGAAGGCACTCTGACATGCCATTTAAATATCGCGATGGAGGCCCCCCAACTCTATTAAATGAGCATCAAATCATAAGTCCAAGCAGCAAAAGCAATTAAATCCGTCCGCACCCCCGCGTTTGTAGAAGATCCTCATGGATAAAGAAGTAGAGTCAACACCTACAACCGCGTCGAATGAGCCTCCAGGGCATGACATCTTCTGCACCCCCGAAAACAGCGAATTTCTCTTGCAAGTTGAGTATAAAGATCTCAATGCAAGCAACAGAGAAATCCGTCTTCTCAAAATTCTGCCCGAATCAGGGCCGGGCTTCATCGAATGCGAATTGTTACCCAGCGTGAAACTCGCTGACGTGCAGAAGCAATATCTTGCACTATCTTACTGCGCAGGTGATGCGCGCAATACGAAACCTATTCTCGTCAATGGGGCAAGATGCAATGTCTTTGCCAATCTCCATCACGCCTTGAAGATAGTTCGCCACCATTGGAAGACACATACTTACCATCGAGATTTGCTCCTATGGGTGGATCAGATATGTATTAACCAGGCTAACCTGGCAGAGAGATCGCATCAAGTTGGGTTCATGAGAGCTATTTATGAGAGTGCGAGTGAGACTCTTATCTGTTTATCTGTCGCTGAGACGCGAGGAGACGGTATGCGATGGCTCGTGCAACTGGAACGAATTCTTGGAGGTGCGTTGATTCTGCGGGCCATGTTTCCCGAGGAAGACCAGTCACGTTCACGACGCATCGTCTCAAATTTCGACTTTCAATATAGCATGCAGGAACGCCTGAGCCAGCCCGAGTTCGTGGATGGCTGGATCGAGTTCTGCAAAGTCCTGAGCAGTCCATGGTGGGGAAGAGCATGGGTCTTTCAAGAGTTCATGGTTTCTTCTCGAGCGACGTTTCTCTACGGACAGCACTCCATAGATCACGCGCTTATGCTTATACTCATGCCCGACCTCTGTCTATCGACTCTAGGGGTCCTTTTTGAGCCTACCAGGACCCGCGGAACGTGTACTGAGAAGAAGCTGAAGCGTGCCAAGCTCACTCGTACCCAGGTCTCACAATCCATCTCCAAGGTTCTCAGTGTGTTTCTTGCCAAGCACGAATGGTATCGAAACTACGATCTGAAGAAGCTTCTCGTGTATACGCAGAAATGTCAGTCTTCTGATGAGCGGGATCGGATCTACTCCATGGTCGGACTTGCGCACCCAGGCTACGCAATGATACCCGACTATTCATGCGAGAAGGCCTTCGAGAGGCTTCTTGTGGAAACGACAAGGCGTATCATCACTTTCGAGGATAGCTTGGAAGTCCTATCATACCTAAGTCGTGGTGACCCGCCTTCTGCTAGCTACAGAAAATTACTGCCCTCTTGGGTTGTCGATTGGACCACAGTTCACTCATTGCCCTCCTGGGTCGTTGACCTGGCCGAGATTCGACATCTCCCTGAAGCTACGCAATACAGGGAAGAGATCGACCCGAGTGTCAGCAATCACTACATCAAAGCAGGATATGCGGATGCTTCATTCGCCCAGCTACCACATCCGATATACTCAGAAATAAAGACTACAGCATTACAGGTGTGGGCTGTGTTCCTGGATTCCGACTTCCTTATCAATGACCAAAAGATGTTTGTTAGTCAGAACCTTTTCGCATTTAAGGCCGAATTTTCCGTGCAAAGGGATGACGAGCTTTGGGTTCTCTACGGCTCATCGGAGCCCTTTCTATTGAGAAGATGTCCGGGCGGATACAGGATCATTGGGCCGGTACTTTGCTTGACTTTGACGTTCCAGCCTTTTTGGGGGATATCTGGACGTTTGGACGAGTTCACTGATGAATCTGGAGACCTTGACCCTACCAAGATGAGAAGGGAACGGATTACGATATTTTAGATAGAAACTCATAGTAGCGACTTCGACTTTATGATGGCAATAGCCTTGTTGTCTGTGATCGACAACATTTACTGAGGATATGCTGCACCATCAGCCCTAGGGTCACTACCAGCCGACCAAACCGGCGTTCCATCCGGATCAACAGTATATCTAATAATCTGTCCACGCCCAAACATAGCTCTCTTCCACCCCTTAAGCACAACAACCTTATGCCCCAGCTTCTTTAGCTCCTCAACAGTCTTTTCAGAAATACCCTCCTCCACATGAACAGTCCAGTCCAAAACGTTACCCTCGTCTGGCATGCCGGCTCCAATGCAGATCCTAGGTGCATCAAGAGCCTGTTGAGGATTCAGACCGAAAAGGACTTGGTTGAGTAGAACTTGGATGGTTCCTTGGGGTTGGTTAAATCCACCCATTACACCGAATGTAGAATGCAGGGATCCATCACTGATATTGGTTGCCATGCCGGGAATGATGGTGTGATAAGGTCGTTTTCTCGGCTCCAGCTTATTAGGATGCTTCTCATCCAGCGAGAAATTCGCACCGCGGTTCTGAAGTGTGAAACCACAGCCCTTGGGAATGATTGCAGTTCCGAAACCAGCGTAGTTTGAGTTGATGAACGAAGCAGCGTTGCCAGCCGAGTCAGTAACGGTGAAGTAAACTGTATCGCTACTTTGGAGAGCAGGGGATACGAAGTCAGGGTTTCCAGGCTGTACGCCATCATGGGCTTTTGAAGCAGAGAAGATCTTGGCCCGTTCGGCGAGGTATGAGGGCGAGATCATGCCCGCAGTGGGAACTTTGGTGGTGTCTGGGTCGGTGACGTACCAGCTCGCGTCTGTAAAGCCAAGACGTAGAGCCTCGATAATAGCGTGTAGATACGCCGTAGAGTTATGGTCTTCGGGTGTGAACCTTGGAATCTTTCCCTGTTTCTCAAGCTGTTCGATTATACCTAGTGCCATGAGAGCGACGATACCCTGACCGTTGGGGGGGTGTTCCCAGAGCTCAACGCCGCCGTTGGGATCTTTGTCTGTGAGACCTTGACCGCGGAATTTGACGGAGATGGGCTCTGTGTTTTGAGTGCCGGTTTCGAGGTGATGTTTCAAGTCGTCGAGTTCGAGATATCCTCCTAGGTCTCGAACAACCTTCACAATCTCCTCAGCAATGCGACCAGTGTAAAAGCCCTTCTTACCCTCTGTCGCCAAAGCTCTGAATGTTTGAGCGAGAGTGGGATTCTTGAAGACTTCGCCTGGACGAGGTGCTCTCACACCATCTTGCGCGGAGGAGTCTTTCTTGAGCATCTCAGCAAAGTTAGGCGAAGCATCACGAAGAAGCTTCTCTTGAGCTTGCCACTACCTCATATCAGTCCAGTCCACACTCACAAAAAAGATACTTACAGAGTGAGAAGCGATTTCAGTAAGAGGGAATCCATTCTCAGCTAGCTTAATAGCTGGTTCGAGGATCTGGCTCAAGCTGACCTTTCCACTGCCAAATCGCTCAACGGTATCGACCCATCCAGCTGCTGCGCCGGGAACAGTAGCGGCGTGTACGTGATGAGTTGGGATTTCACCGACTTTGCCGTCGGGAATATTGAGGCTTTTGCGGATGTTCTCGATGGTCTGCTTTGAGCCTGAGCGGCCGGAGCCGTTGAGACTTTTGACCTGCTTTGTGGCGGCGTCGAAGTAGAGGAGGAACATGTCACCACCGATACCAGTGGACACAGGCTCTGTGACGTTCAAGCCAGCAGCTGCGCTTGATTAGCCCTCGCTCACGATTTGCAGTATTGTCTTGATGTTGACGTACCAACCGCCACAGCTGCGTCCTGTCGCATGTTAGCTACTGGCTCGTGAGTTTGAAGGACATTGACTTACAGCAGCATTACCGCCAGCCCTCAGAATCTCAAGACCACAATTCGCAGCATGAGGTTGAGGCGCCGCTACAATACCCTCCGTGCTATGAACAACACTCCTTCTCGAAGGAAAGCCAGTGAAGCCAGCCGAAGGCGGCTCATAAATCGACGACGTGGGAAGAGGCATGCTAACAAGTCACGGAGCAACGAGAATCGTTTGTACAGTGAATAACAGGAAGGTTGAGGGAGAAGAGGACTATTTACATAATATTTATGATGTAAACACTTTCTTGTAGACCTCGGGTCAAGCCCGACGTTGCACTTGGAGACGTACGTGGGGGAGGAGGGGTTCCTCTTAATGGCGGGGTAAATTTGGAGGGGGCGAGGGGCATAAATGTCGTGATAATGCCTCTCGCCGATCTTCGGGCGTGCATGTCCGGGGTTTGATCGTTGGAGGGCGCTTTTACATCATTTATCGAGGCCATTTCGGAGTAATTGCAGCATCTTGAAAGTGACTAGGCAGCGCATGGTTGACTGTTGACATGAAGCCTAAAGAATAAGCTTAACAACACCATGTTCTCAGCACAGCCAATGAATTGAATACCAGATGTCGCTTATATGGAAATGACTGTCTGTAGAATTTACTTATGAGTGAAAAGGAAATGCTTCCGCTAAACCGACTTGGCAGTCACGGGTATTGCCCAATTGTTTCCATCTCAAACCCGGCTTCACTTAGCAATCTTCATCCCCAGTCGCTGAAGATACGAATAGATCGATCTCTTGGGCACCTTCTCAAGGCTACTCATCCATCTCGCCGCAAAACTCCCTATGACTCGTTAGCTTTCACGTTTACCACAGTCCCAAGTAACATGACTTACCGACTCTCGGTCCAACCTCATCAAACCCCAGCGCTCTCAGCACCCAAATGAGCTCAAACTCCACCAAAACACCGATAGCAATGATAGTACCAGCTGCGATCAACCCAGCGTAAACAGGATGTTCTTTCGCAAACTCCCACGCCGTGTTTGTAGCTCTCTTTACGGCTTCAGCCATGGGCTTGGCGAGCTCTGCGCCATCTTTTAAGAGTTTCTCAATCTTGCGCTCAATGGCTTCGGCGAGGCTTGACGTCCAGCTTGTAGTGGAAACTACCTGTTTAAGACGGTGATGAAGTTGAGCATGGGTGCCGGTGTGGGTTTGCAGGATGGAGACGAATTGGGACGCTGCATCGTCAGAGTACGGGACTGGTTGGGTGGTGATGAGCTTTGAGTTCGTGTTGATCTCGCTGACGGGTGGTGATGGTTGAGTTGGGGCCCTTTGGCCGGCGAGACAAGAGAGGATGGAGGTAAGTGGATTCATTTTGATGAATTTTCTCGCTGAGTCGGTGGTGTTGATAAAGGGAGGAGATGATGCTGATGAGTTTTGTCAGACGAGGCTCTGTTTTTATTCTGATGACACGATGGAAGGCCTCCTGCATGTTCGCGACCACTCACAACATTCACACATTCACTCACCTGCATCAATCACAGTCAATATTTAAACACTGTTGGATGCCGTTGGCCAAAGTTTTGTTGCCTGCGCCTCGATGTTGGCCCAAGTTGAGGCCATACGAGAGCCAACATCGCACAATTTGGCCGGATCGCAGGCCACAAGGCATACCACATTCTACAAATTGCTTCCGAATCCCGCTTCATAGATACCATCCACCTACAATTAGGTTATCCTTTAAGCCAGCTCTCGGTATGAACGAGTTCTAATTTGGCTGTCCTCAAACCTGCCTGTCCCAAATGATATGCACCACTGCCAGTACAACCAAGCTGCGCTTGCAAGTCGCTTGTATTCGGAGTACTTTCTCCGCTATCCCGCGAAACTTGGCATTTCTAAGGGTTTTTAAATTCTCGCAATTGATAGCACCGTGTAATTCCATTGCGTGCTGCAGAGACACTCCGGGCACTCCCATCTGGTCCCCTACTTGGTACAACACAACACCAAGCTTTCCCCACGTGCAACAAGGCTTTCTGTCTCATTAATAATCCTCCCTTGATGCATGTAACTAAGACTCTGATCCAGATGACCCCAGGTGAACTAGTATCCCCGCGTGGTCCCCAACATTCCAGACCCTAATAAAGGCCCAGGAACGTAACTCCCACCTCGTTCATCGTGGCGGATCGGACGAGGCCAACTTTATCGAGGACTCATTAAAGCATTAAAATAATCCAAATAATCTAGTATATAGACTCCAGGAACTGTCGCAATAGGTAAAAGAGCGTGGACATGGCGTCAATCGGCGAGAAATTGTCATTGTCCCCGCGCCACGTACATACTTGGTATGTAAACTATTCACATTCCTGAGTGCTTAGGCATTTGATAGCCCAGATCACCTGTGGCTAGACTCTTGCGGCCAAGACGAAAGAAGGTACCGTGTTTTATCGGGCAAGCCTCATGCCAGGTCCCGGCCCTGATCAGCGTTCCTGCATTGGTGATTAACTTTTCCCAGAGGATGATCAATTCGTTGCCAAGATCTCACTACATCGTGCCTTTGACTGACATATAAGTACTGGTTGCTATCTTGCAAGGATATGTATTGACCACTCCAACTCAAACACACTCGCTCTATTCCCTATTCTCGATATCATCTCTAAAACTTCAAAATGAAGCCTGTTTTCGCTTTGACAGTCTGCCTCAGCGGTATTATGGGCGCTGAAGCCTGGGTCTTACCTCCTGGTGGTGCACCCAAGGCTGGCTATGCTCTTCTTCCAGCGGATAAGACTGGTGACAAGAACGCCGCCGACACCAAGATCAAGTTTTCGCCCGCTGGTTCTTCTTCTTCCGGTACAAAGTCAAACGCTGTCGTCGCTGGCTTCATCAACCCCAAGACCGGTGGTACATCGCGCCGTGGTCTTGACAGGCGCGACGACGGCGATGATGGAGATTCAGAAGACGGCGCTGATGATGGTGTTGAAGGTGATCCCGAAGTCACCACCTTCAATCGCCCTGCCTTTAGGATCGGTACTCTCAAGAAGGGAGAAACCTCTGGCAGCGATGATGACACTGATGAGGATGAGACCAAGTACTTCAAGACCAACAACAAGAAGCAAAACGGCAAGAACAAGGACGACGACAAGAATAAAACCAAGACCAAGAAAGAAGACAGCACCAAGACAAAGACAAGCGACGATGCGAAAAAGACTAGCAAGTCGAAACACTCAGGAGATGATGATAAGAAGACCACCAAGACCAAGAAGGAGGACAGCACTAAAACAAAGTCTACTGATGATGTGAAAAAGACTAGCAAGTCGAAGCATTCCGGGGATGATGACAACAAGAAAACTACCAAGACTACGAAGGCGGGTTCTACCAAGACGAAGAGTAGTGATGATGCGACCAAGACGCCCAAGGTGAAGGATGATAAGAAGAAGGGCTCCAAGGATGACAAGAAGGTTGACGACAAGAAGAAGTCTAAGAGCACATAACCCACTCTCACTATACATCACCATATTTCTCTTAGAACCATGTATCTTATCTAGACTTTCATTTTATCGGGAACCACCCCACACATGCGGAGTTCAGGAAAGGTAGCTGTCAATCATCATTTAGCCTCTATCTAGAATTGTATTTGTATCATAACAAAAAAAATGTCTTCTTCCCCAGACGTGACATGTTCTAAATATGCTTGCTTTCCTCATCTCCGCAACTGGTATAGCATGCGATGGTCTTAGTTCGGGTACAGATATGTAATGCTTTGCTTGGACCGCTTCAGGATTGGCGCGTCCCTTGCTCTGTGAAGTGTTGAACTTGTTCTCTATGGTGGATATCGGAGCGATAAATGCGCCGTGGTGTTAGTGGCTTAGATGGGGATTCCCTGGTATTCGTCGTATCCGAGTGCGAGGTTCATGTTCTCTGCGAGGTTTGTTAGAAAGGTGGTGCTGGAGTTTGGTGAAGGACTTACGGAGGCATTGTGTGGCGGCACCCTTGTGGAGGTTATCGATGGTGGCGCATCTTTAACAAGTTAGTAGACGCATCGGATCTGGGATGGAGAGGCTTACACAACGACACGCTTGCCGGTGCTGTCAACAGCAAAGCCACCAATCTCAACGTGATGCTTGTCCTGGATGGCCTTGACAACACTTTACGACGTTAGTTTATGGGATGACCACAGAGCTTAGGAGGACGTACGGAGCTTCGCCGACAACCTTGACGAGCTTCTCGCCGGCGTATCGGTCCTGGTAGATCTGGCGTATATCACGAGATGACATCTCCTTGTTCAGGGGGATGTTGACAGTCAGGTGAATACCGCGGAACCAGGACGCGCTGGATTTGTCAGTCTTCAGTGACATTGTGGGCAATGTAGGAGGCATACACATGGGGCATGAAGGCAGCGGGGCTACCCAGGTGGTGGCTAATCTCTCGCTCGTGGATGTGACCTGTGAGTGAGTCTTTACGAGTTAGCTTCCTCTCTTCTCATATCCTTCTTTTTGCACTTACAGGGCAATAAGTTGTCCTTGAGGTTGTTGGTGTCGTTCTTGGGAGAAGGCTTGGTACCTGTTCCATCGTCAGCTTTCCGAGTCCCGATTATTCTGCATTCTGCTGCGCGCAAGACATGGCGTCCGCATGAGTTCTGACATACCAGCTCCGCTGTAACCACTGACACCGAAAATGCTAGGGATACCACCGAGGTGCTCAACGATAGGAGCCAAAGCGAGCTGAGAGCCAGTGGCATAGCAGCCAGGGTTGGAGATTCTTGTCGCTGTGGCAAGCTGGCTTCTGGGCTGAAGCTCGCAAAGACCGTACTTCCATGTCTTTTGGTCCTCGTCGAAACGGTAATCGGCAGAGAGATCGACAATCAAGCTCTTGCTGTCGCCGAGAGCCTCAACGAAGGGCTGGCAGACAGCATTGGGAAGCGCCAGAATCCAGGCATCGACCTTGCCCTCCTTATCCAGCTGGGCAACCTCCTCAGGAGACAGGCTCTCGTAGATAATTTTGCGCTTGCTGTAGCCCTTCAGCTCCTGGCCCTGAAGTTCACGAGAAGAAACATGTCGGAGATCCATCATGGGGTGCTCGTTGAGAAGATCGATAAGAGCCTGACCAGTGTAGCCACGAGCTCCAATGAGGCCAATTCTCGAGGGAGAATCGTTGGAGGCATTCTTCATACCCAGAGGAGGGTTAGGGTTGGTCTGGACAGCGTAGGACAGACGGCCGGTGGAAGAGAGGCATCGAGCCTGTGCGACAGTGAAGCTTCGGCCGAAGGAGATCTTGGGCATGGGCGCAACGAGGGCGGCGGCTCGGGGAGCAACGCGGCGGGCGCTGGTGCGCAGGGCGGAAGAGGTACCGGACAGCATGATTCCGATGGGGAGCAAGCCCAATTGACCACTGTAGGGAGTAGTTGAGGTGGTTGAGAGGGCGTGATGAAGGGATTGGATTGTTGGTGGGCGGGCTCAAGATGCGACGAAATAATCCTTGATCGAATTGACGTTGGTGTGGGGTTTGCCGTTTTGTGTGGCTATTCGCGGCCGAAGTCGGTCGCTGGGGAAGTTGCTGACTCATCAGGCTTGGGACTTGATCGACACTCGCCTACAACAAGGAGACGGTGACTTGGCAAAAGGGAGAAGTCGATGTGGTCGATTTTGCAGGAGCATTTTAATGGATTTGGCTACCTGTTGGAAATAATGAGGAGTTGCCTTTGAACCTACACGTCAACTCACCGTTGCCGTTGAATGCTGTACCAGCGTCTTCCACAATCAACAAAAGTCAAATGATGGCTTCAACGGTGCCCACGAGGTAGAATTGACAACTGGCGGTTTTCCTCTGATGAAGGGAGGAGTTTGAGACTTGGAGCCATCTCAATATCGTGTGTTGAGCCGAGAAGAGAACTATGGAAGTGACGAAAGGGCATGGTCTAAGGTAGTCAAGTTCAGTGTAGTTACATGGTGAATGGAGAAAGGAAAGCTTTCTGGTGGTAAATGCTCTATTGCAAATGCTTAAGTTTGGGCGCTTGCTGTGTAACATGCATGAGTAAAGGAGGCTCATTGTTGTCCTGGATGGCGTAATGACTGCCCCCAATTATGTACTCAACTTGGAAACAAGTCAACAACAAACGCGAGGTGACGACACAAACAGCACTCGTCGGATGAAGAGCCATTGTATCAACTCCTGACTAAAAAGGCACAACCTTGAACAAATAAGATGATGATCTCTACCTCTAGATCTGCATCTAACACCATGCCATTCTGGCCGACGATGTATCAATGCATCCACCCACGCATTCCAGGCAAGCACAGCTCAGATAATGCGTACTTCAACAATGCTGCCATCTTTGCCCTCTCGTCGCGATCAAAAGATCACGGATTTAATCTCGCTGCCGGATGATCGCCTGGTTGTCGATTGAACAGATGACAAGGAGACCTCTTGGATACTGGGTACATAATAACCCCTCGAAACGAACTGGGACTCAAGTTGGTCTTTCTTGGGTCGCCATTTGGCCGCCCAGGCATATACTCATCCAATCCGATCAAGAGCGCCAAATTGTCCGGCAGTTTCGAGAACCTTCAGCGCTCGTGTCACGGTTGGGGGAACTAGACTCTATCCCGGCTCTCGTTTTGTGTCTGGCGTGCAACCAGCAACGGGCAGTCACTCCTACTTGTTCACCAGGCTATTTTCATAGTATCGTGTGTCTCTCGAGACTAGCCCGGCACTCCATCACTCACAAAGCCCGTGAGGTCACAAAGTAGTTACTTGTTGTAGAGTGCGATGCGATGTTATAGAGCAGAAGCTCTGCTCTGTGTTTGCTCACGCCCCTCGAGATTGAAACGCAAGGGGGGCTGTCACGAAATCATCAGGCCATACTGCTACCTCAATGTATGGACGCAACTGGGATTTCGCAGGGCAGTCTAGACGCTTCTACGTCTACCTAACGAGATGTCACCTGCAATATGCCATCGATCTCCAATGAACCCTCAGATGCCAGTACATTGACTTCACGTCGTTGAAAGAGACACTCATAGTGATTCAAGACCCTGTGGCACCATCTCAAGAACGGACAACCGTCTTGTGCCTTTCAATCCATATGCCATCGACCTCGACGTTACCTAAGCATGCGAAAAGCCTCGCCAGTTGGCATTGAGCGTCTTGCCTCGATCGTGAAGAATCCAATAGCAGCCTCCTATACTGGGAGCCTGCGGCAAGGCCTTATCTCGGTGACAAACACCAGTCTTGGTGCAACGTCCAATGGTGTGGCAGTGAATTTGGTGTATCCGTCTGGCAGTCGGGCTTCCAGTAGTCATGTTGCACGCAACGGGCGTCCAGGTGCCTTGCCCTTTGGGCAGACTCATCTGAGGGGAGATTGTTGGCGGACCGGTCCGCCAGATAATTTGACCTCGTCGAGGTATTTATGCTGCCAAGGGAACGATGCGAGGTTCTCCTCAAGCTTTCAAGCACTCCTATACTCTTCTGGTGCCAACAACTAACTCACCCAAGCATTCTTTCATCTTCACTCGGCGAGATGGCTGAGATTGTCAGACCTGCACTTGGCCAACACGTTTCCATCGGTACCCTTTACGATGCGAGAGTTGATCAATTCCTTCCGTCTTCTATTTTGCCGCCAAATCCGCCGCAAGGAGTCGTCTTGCGAAGCCTACCCTCTCGTCAGCACCAGAGTGGAATACATCAAGGTTCCAGTCATGCGAGTCGGTTCAACGCAATGCGTATCGATGGCAACCTTGCAGCAAGCATTCTATCTGGTTTAATCGACCTCAAAGGATCTGCCAACTTTCTGAAAGACAGTACATTAGATGGTGATATTCTCTATGGTGTTAACCGGAGTTTCTTCAACACCTATGAAGATGTTCTTAATCTCCACCAGGGTGTGTTGAGAAGCGGAATGGGCTCTGGAATCTTCCTCCCAGCTGAGAGTCGCAGTACCCATGTGGTCACGGGTGTCCGATGGGGGTTGCAAAGCATCATGACAATGAAGCATCGCGTAGACGACCCCGGTCAACGAGTGGCCCTAGAGGCTGCGTTTCAGAAAGACTTAAAGGAACTGGACGATATTGCCAAGTCCATTTATTCTGTAGACTGCAGCGACAATTCGCTAAGTCATCGACTTGAACTTGACTATGAGTTCATGCTCTATACTGATATCCAACGCGATTATGGCATTCACGAAGAGACGCTTCCTCTGATGTGCAGATTTTTGCAAACAGGTCCGCAGCAGATCACGCACACTCTTGACGGCGCAGGGTACCCGATAGAGTATACTTTACTTCCCATACACATGCTCCGCCATCTCATGCCTGGCGGGGAGTTTGTTCCCAGCCCTCACCATCCCATGAGAGCCATCACCAATGTTGATCCTTTATTTGTTCTTTTTGATGATTTGAATGCTTGTAAGGAGGAAGTCGAGGATTACAGACACTCGCTGGTGGGTCGGGAACAATATCTTGCAAGGGGCCATATCGAGGAAGTTGACACAGCAATTACTCGGCTTGAAGCATTCCGGGAAGATTTCCAGATGACTCTGCAAAGGATTGTACTAGGTATCAGAGATGGTACAGTGGATGAAAGTCGTCTCCCGCAGCTATACAATGTTCACGAATCATCTCCTCGAAAGATCTCTTTGATCGCTGGTCAGCAAAGCGACAAGCTCAGATTCATCGAGCAATGTCTCAACAGTGGAGCGACATATATCGGTTTCAATGGCGCTTGCATCCACGAACGCACTCTGTCTCACGATCCTCCTCCGTATCGTTTTCTGTTCAATAATGCTGTGCTCAAGAGTTCGAGTTCGTGGAATGATCAGTGCGCAGCTCTGAGGGAGTTCCTTCACAACCCTCAGAACCAGAACCCGGTGTTTATAGTCGACTGCGATGCCCCCTCTGAGTACAGAAAGTTGGAAGCTCCGATCTTTGGTCCAATACGGACAATGTCGAAGCCGGTGATTGAAGTATCGGAGTATCGGGATAGGTCAGCAGAACGCAGGTCTCCTGCGAGACAAGCAGAGCACCGGCAACGGCCACAAAGGTGTATCGCTCGTTGTGATCCGGGAGAAATGGATTTCGATGCACCAAGACCGGCTGAGTGCCACTTGGTCAGAATCCCCTGTCCCGGAAGATCTTGTGACTCTCACTCGAGTTGCGAATGGGCCTGCGCCAATTGCAACGCTCCTCTTGAGTTTGCGACAGTGACTGATTGCATCTACTGCGACTGTGGTTCAGCCGATTACAACTCATGGGACTTCAAATGCACTAGCGATAGTCACGGGCGCGGCTTCGATCGATACCACTCGGATGAGCTTTATCGACTCTTGACAAGATCAAAACGGCCTGATTGTCGCAATATTCTGGTTCTGGGTCAGACTGGCGTTGGCAAGTCAACATTTATCAATTCTTTCGTCAATTTCTTGACGTTCGAGAGCTTCAATGAGGCAAAATCAGCCCAGAAACTAGAGTACAGGGTCCCGTGTTCCTTTTCAGTCAGTCACTGGAACTCATCGGACCCAGGTCAGGAACTTGAGAACCGGACGATTCGCGTTGGCTCTGGAGAGGATGAACACGACGGTACAACTGGCGATTCAGCTACACAAAAGACATCGGTTTACAGAGTCACTTACAATGGTACCAAATACCGCATAATCGATACTCCAGGTATCGGCGACACTCGAGGTCCTGAAATAGACAACAAGAACATCAAGGACATCATGAACACTCTGAAAAGATATGAAGAGCTTCACGGAATATTGATCCTAGTCAAGACCAACGAAGCACGCCTCACCCCCACAATTCATTTCTGCTTTGAGGAGCTATTGTCCCATCTTCATCGCAGCGCTGTTGCAAACGTCGTCTTTGGATTCACACATACCCTCATCTCCAACTATGCTCCAGGGGATGCGCTCGGACCGCTTCAAAGCTTCCTCAAGGGCAACACAACTGTTGATCTAACAGTAAGCCGCGCAAACTCGTACAGTTTTGATGCGAAAAGCTTTCATTATCTGGCTGCGCGCTTTCAAGGTATCAGGGGCCAAGACGAGAGAAGTTCCCGCGAAAGCTGGGATAGATCGAGAGCAGAAACTTTGAGGCTGCTTTCATACATAGACAACCTCAGACCACATGAGATCAGGCAAACGCTTACCATGGAAGGCGCACGCGAAGCACTTGGTCGTTTAATGATTCCCATGGTTGAGGTTTCCCAGGAGATCAGAAAGAATTTGAGCCTGCTGGAAGAAAAGATGGCAGAGTTGAATGACATGCGCCTTACGGGAGATGAACTTCGAAAGAAGCTTCATCTGGAAAGGATCAAGGTTGTTCCCACAAAGCTCGAAAAGCCTCGGACTGTCTGCAAGAACAAGCATTGCTGCGAGTTCAAGTCCAATTCTAACGGCGAAGTTGTCGCATTCTACAGGTCAATTTGCCACGAAGATTGCAGACTGCCAGGTGTTACTGAAGAGTGCGTGGGCCATCCAGAACTCATCAAATGCAAGGCTTTCAAGGAGACCAAAGACAAGAGTTGTACAAGTTGCAAGCATAGTTGGCAGGAGCATATGCATTTCTTCTATGAACTGACAGAAAGTAAGGTCAGAGTCAAGGATAAAGACGTTGAGCGACGCCTCAGGGATAACGCAAGCGATATGGCTCTACGACAAGAGGGTATAGATCGGGTTCAACAGCTTGAGAGGGAATACAGAAGTGAACAGAAACAGCTACGAAAGGCAACGGCACAATTTGTCGCGTATTTGAGAGAGCACTCTGCTAATGCCTTTAACGATGCGACCGAAAAGTATTACGACCGGCTCATCAAGATTGAGACAGGCAAGATCCAGTTTGGGAAGGACAACAGAATAAACGTCGATGCTAACAGGAGAAAGCTCAAGGGTTTAACTGATGACAGAGACAGGCACCTCGAGCTAGTCAAGACGATACAGAAAAACATGCATGACCAGACGGAAGCGCTTCTGACTCAAGATGAGGTCGAGCAACTCATCAGGGATCTATACAATCTGAAGCACTTTGGTAAGAGTTGGAGGAGTTTGAGAGATGATATTACGCATTACAAGGACCGTGGCAAGCCGTCGAGGTCGCGGAGGGTCGAGGAGCACTGAGACGCGTGGGGATGTGAGTGATAGATCGAGTCGAAGCGATGAGCGTGAAGAATCGGGACGGAATAGGGGATTCTTACGAGGGATTCATAGATTTCTGTCCGATATCTAGGTTCATTGGGGGTGGCATGGTAAGCTGACGACTGGTGGATGAGGGAGTAAGACTCAGGATTCTAGAAGAGGATGCTAAATAAACTTAGTAAGGAGTGCTGAATCTTGGGAAAATCAACTAAATATTTTCGTTGCTTATTATGAGGGTCAAGACTGGAAATTAGCTACTTCACGATCAAGAAAACAAGTGTAACAAGAAATGTGGTGTGCTTATTGTTTCCACTCCAATGATAATTACAGTCCAAACAATGTTCATTTCCATCATCACAAGCCTTTAAACATGCTTCCACAACCGTTTTAGCCAATACAACCGACCAGTTCCAATCGTATTTCAGTGTAGTTCTATCGCTTCGAGACCCTTGCACTACTTCTAGTCACGCCGCGAGCCGAAGTCTTTGCCGGGGCTTTGGTCTTCGCGGGCGCCTTGGTTTTTACAGGAGCCTTGGGCTTCGCTTTGCTTTTCGTCTGGCTCTTAGCCTTGGCCTGAATCTTGCCTTTGCCCTTGACTTGGTCAAAATAGGCGTCGACCAGCTTAGGGGCGACCCCATCAATGTAGTCTTGGTCTTCCCACGTGTTTTCGGGTGTGTCGTAGCCTAGCCATTCGACTTGGACCTGCGGCACACCATTGCGCACGCGGTGCTTTCTAATCGCGAAAACTTGGTACACCTCGTCGTCTTCGGGGTTCTTAGGTCGGCCCTCGGGCTGCGAGCGCCAGTACGCGAATAGGGCCTGTCGGTTGTCGGTATGAAGAAGTTCCTCAGAGACCCAGGAGCTCTCGCCGTCCTTCCACTGCACGAGAAGCTCGATCTCGTTCTCGTTCCCGTTCTTGACCCAGCGATGATCTGAAATCCTCACGAATTCGTATATCTTGTCATCTTCAACTTGCGCCGCTTCTTCTTCAGAATGCGCCTCTTCGGGCTGTTCCTCAGTCATCTTGTCTGTCCCATTTGTTTGCGGTGCCGTTGCCCGCGAGGCCCTGGAGGACCTTCTAGGACTCTTGGTCTCGCTGTTTTGAGCAACTCTCTTGGGGATTGGGGCCGGCGATTCAAGCTCGGCCGGTTCTCGCCCTCTAGGGGAGGATCGAACTGCGGGCGACGACGCGACACGGGAAACTCTCTTAGAGATTGAGGCTGGTGACGTGGCAAAGGCCGGCGACGATCCTCCAAGTTCAACCGATGCTCGCCCTCTAGGCGAAGATCGGATGGCGGGCGATGATGTCGCGACACGAGAAACAGGTCCGTTGGGCTTTGGTTGTTTGTGTATCGGCGACGAGCGCGTCGATGTGCTGATGCGCTTCTTGACACTCAGCGGCGGGGCCATGGCGATGGTCTCTCTTCGTCGACTAACGACAGAGATCTCGGCGGTGTTATCGTCGGTGGATGCAAGAGAAACGTTACTCAGACGCGAGCGCTGAAAGAAAGTCAAGTCAGTTCCATGGGTGTCCAACATACATAACACTTGGGGGACGGGAGGTGCCAGCTCATCAAGGCACCTGCGCAACGCAACGCAGCGCAGCGCAAAGCTGGTCGGGCACCTTCTAGATGAAACTCACGGGACTGCGACCTGCCGGCTCCGAGAACCTATCCGCAGCGCGTTTGGCAAGACGTTGCTCTCTAGGCGACAAACTCGGTCGCGAGGCGGTAAGTGGCATGCTGGAGGGTGGAGGTCTCTCTGCGGGCTGCTTGAGCGGTGATGACAGGAAGTTGAAAATCGCGTTCATGGTGACAAGGGAAACACGGCAAGATACAGGACACACAAACAAATTGTTAAAAAGAATGCGACTTGGACTGATTTATTCGAGCAAATAAAAAGAAAAAAGAAAGGCCTGGCAAACGGAGAGGAACGCGGTTTGAAGCCTTGTCTTACGTCGAGTTTGTATTGGTTAAGTTATGTCTGGATGAGATGGGCTGGGATGGGCTGTACGGGTTGTTTACTTTTTTTGTTTGCAGCTGGAGCCGTTGAAAGGTGCACTCACTGAGACGACACCGGCCCGCTCGGGGAGGTAAGAAAACTTCGGACCTCGATATCAAGTGACAGAAATACTCAGGCAAATTAGTGTAATCTTGGCTGATTTTGTACGGGCTTAGATTACTTTTGTTGGATTTATTTTGATACCCTATATTTACGTTTGATCTTTTCTTACGCCCCATGGTGCCCCAGCTTTTTTGCATGAGTACCTGTGGGCGGGGTGACCTAAATAGACTAGCGCCGAGATGTCTCCACCACGAAAAGTGTCTGCATGCAAGCGCAACATCATCACCAATTACTATGCGACACATCTATCAACCAATTGTCGGTGTCACCGGAACAAGACTGATTAAGAAAGGGCAGAAAATTCAGTAACCAACCTTTTGAGCATGTACATGTGTGAGCTCATATGAAACGAAAGAGGGGTATCGAACGTGACTCTTGCAAGGTTCGGTGAGACCCAAACTCAATGGCCTCGCATCATCCATCCATCATCCATCGACAGCCCAACAGCAAAAAGAAACACTTCGTTACATCTCAGAAGCCTCATCGGCAAAAGAAAGGGTCTGGCCGGGGATTGAACCCGGGACCTCTCGCAAGCTATGCTGTAGGGTTTTCCCTAAGCGAGAATCATACCACTAGACCACCAGACCGAGTCACTCACGTGATGCTTATTGCTGAAGGTAGGTGAGCAAGCAGGGCTCATGTATGGGCAGTGGAAGAAGCGAAGATGGGAAGGTGTTGTTTTGCACTTTGAAGTGAGAAAAGTAAGTGATACAGGTATGGATGAAGATTAAGCCAGAGTTTAGGCGTTAGCGGGTGATACTGGATGATGGATGGGGGAAGAGCAGAACGGTTCTGAGATGCTTGGCTGTAGGGTAATCGTAACTCTGTACTTGAGGACGCATGTTTGTTGCGTGCACAATTGAATGATAATACACAAGGCAGTTGAATAATTAAAGGATGGTTTCTGATTCTATTCCTGCCTGGGATTTAAAAATTGTCGATAGCTTTATTGCGCTGCCTTGACATAAGATAGAAGGAAGCTGTTCTTAACAACGTGAGTGAGGGTACTGAGCTGTGGCATGAACGAACACAGCAATTGAATGGCAAACCTATAGATTTATCAACCTATTTATTTCACAAGAAAGCGCCAAGGTGTTCGTTAGCAATAAAAACTTAATATTGAGCACCTGAGAAAGCACAATCAACGCGTGCATACGCCGTTCCAATGTTTGTCGGATGCGCTATCTATCAAGGTCACTAGATTGCGAGAGCACAACACACAACCTTGTGAGGCAAGCCAGACGAAAAAGTCTACATTGAAGCTGAATTGAACTACTATCAGATGAATTTCCATCATAATTCACTAATGATAATAAAACTAAGCATAGACTTGACACGTACGGCTAAGCTGCACATACATACACTAGACTCCCTCCACCAATACTTCATCCAGAGAGGCATTTCCCAAGCCATCACCCGCCATTCACATTAGCAACAAAAAGAGAAACAACCTTCCTTTTCCGGCCAACTTCCTCATACAGTACTATTCGCCAATCTCTAACCCGGCACTTGAGAAAAAAAACTGCCGTCTCAGGATCCGAGGCCTGCAAGCGATCCCTCCATCGTGGACCAGGCCATGTGGAAATCGTACGATGTGTGGAGATGCACCCTGAAAGGGTGGTCACGTGAGAGCGATCCCTCTGATGGTTTTCTGCGATTCCTACCCTCAATAAGAGCATTTAAAAAGTATTTAAAAATTGGTTTAATATTTCAGAAGTCCTAGAATTTGATAGGAGGTAATGATCTTCATATCTTGCGAGGATACGTCGTTGCTGTGTTGCTCCTCCGGCTCTCGACACCTTGAAGGCCCAGACCGTCATCGAGGTGCGGTTGAGCCAAGCCGTGGTCCCTGTTACGGTAACTTATAGGGCTGAAGAGAGCAATATCCCTGCATATCAGGCACTTACGGAACGCTACTGGTATGTTTAAAAGGTGGACGTTGCCCCTTGATTGAACCTCTTGTCATCAAAGAGTCTTGTCCTTGCATCATCAGTCACAGACACAGTACTTGAATCAGTAAGTTAAGTTAAATTTCTTCTATCAACGCCATGCTCTTCCATTATTTCTTGTCAACAAGGTTGTAAATCTTTTGGATGTCGGCCAACACAGCCTCAAAATCAATCTTAAGATCCTTGAGAAGTCCATCCTTGAAACCAAACACCCATCCGTGAACAATGGGATACTTGTTCTCGTGCCACGACTGCTGGACATCAGCAGACTTGATGACGTTGCGACACTGCTCGACGACATTCAGCTCGACCAAGCGGTCGTAGCGAGCGCCCTCCTCCTCGATCGCATCGAGCTCCTTTTCGTGAAGGCGGTACACGTCGCGGATGTTGCGAAGCCACGGGTTCAGCAGGCCGAGGTCCTGGGGGGTCATAGCCGCCTTGACACCTCCGCAGCCGTAGTGACCACAGACAATGATGTGCTTAACGCCGAGGTGCTTGACGGCGTAGTTGATGACGCCCATAGCGTTGAGGTCCGTGTTGCACACGAGGTTGGCGATGTTGCGGTGGATAAATGCCTCGCCGGGCTCAAGGCCGCAGATCTGCTCGGCGGGGATGCGAGAGTCGGCGCATCCGATCCAGAGGTACTCGGGTGCCTGGCCGGCGGCGAGGTTCTTGAAGAAGTCGGGGTTGACCTTGGCCTTGTTCTCGGCCCAGGCGCGGTTGTTGTGGAAGAGCCGGTCGTGGCTCTGCTGGAGATACTTTGTGATGTCCTTTTCGGCCATTGTGCGCCACTCGGGTTTTGGAGCGGGTTTTGGGTCTTGTGTGGATGAGGATGAAGATGAGAAACGGGGTTGGAAGCTGGTGAGTATGGAGCGGGATGCAAGACGTTGAGATGATGAGGATAAAGATGTGAAGGAGGAAGAGGAGGAGCGGAGAGAAAAGGAAGGGAGCCGCGAGGAAAACATTAGAGGAGGCATCCACAGCGCGGTTGCAGCTGCAGTGTGAATATGGTGTGATAATGGAATGGATGGGATGTGACAGCGACGGTTCAACGGACAAGGATAAAAACGGGCAAGACTGCAGCAAACCACCTGCAGTAGATCCAATCCAATCCGAATCCTTGGCTTGGTTACACGTTGGGGGGCGCACTTGGTGCGTGCTACTGTCACTGTAAAAAAAAAGGAGCCTAAAATACGGTATTAGAAGCTTCGCTGGAAATTCGGACGGAGAGATGCCGAAGGATAAGAAATTTTGGGGATGACGACGTAATTTGTTGAGTAGCCTTATTTTCTTTCGTTTCTTTTTTCCTTGGTCTCCGCCGAGGAAGAGTCCATCACTTTAAGCTCAAATTGGTTGGGTTGGGTTGGGCGATTGGCGATAAGTTTTGATAACAGCCGAGATCAAGATTTCGGTCGCCGGGCCGTGCGTAGCCGTGGACCGGCAGTTGACGAGACTTTTCCGAGCATGTCCGTGAGTCATTTGGGAGCTATTCTATTGTGTTCTACTCTATAATTTGGTTTGGTTTGGTTGTGCCTGGGTTAGTAGGTTGTGATGGTTGTGACTCAATGTGAAGGATTAAAACCCGGAAGCCGGGGATTGTCAGCTCTGCCGACCCCATGTAACAAAACTCAATTTGTATTGGTCACTTGGAAACGAAACAAAACGTCATATCGCCGAATTGCCGGATCCCGGAGATGTTCATCTCACAACCCCACGTTTTGATCCTCAACACCAGATAATCGCTTTTGCGATGCAGATGAACTGGTGTTTATGCGTCCTAAATATAAATGCTTTTGCGAAACATGATACTGTACAGTCCTGGCTGCAATGTAAAAGAAGCGCTGACCTGAGACAGTATGACCAACACCGACCAAACAAATGCATCTGCCGAAACATGTCTGGGATTGAGATGCGAAGCAATCTCCAACGAAACCCAATGTTAAAACTACATCTAGCCTCCCCTCGCATCCAACTTCTTCTCCCAATCATCACCCTCAAACCGCAATAGAAATGCTCTTTGATCCTCCAAATGTCTCTCCTTCATCGTCACAAACTCTTTACGTATATACGCCGTCTTCAACCCCTCCTCAATCACCCTTCCCTCTTCTAAAACAACCCCTACTACCCTCTCAAGGTAGGAGAAATCCTGGTTCGCAGAATCTAGCGATTCATTGGCTTTGCGCTTCCTGTTCCGCACCTCCATGAGGTTGATCTTTTCAGGTTTCCACCTGTCTTCGCCCGGGGTCTTGTATCTTTCGGTATTGATGGCGAAGTTGAGGTCTAGGGGGAACTCCGAGAGCCATTTACTCACCCTGCGCTCATCATCGTTGAGCTTGATTTCAAGTTCCGTGCACGCCTTCTCGCATTCCTCGTGTATCTTGGCTAGTGACGCTCGCTTGTCCTGACATGTCTCTAGCTCTTTCTTCTTCTTCTCGACGACCTCGTTATGCTCGCTGCGCTCCTTGCGGCGCTCATCGACCTCTTGCTCAACATCCGTCACCGACGGAAGACCCAAGTTCAAGATGGAAGAGGTAGCCGTTTCCAACTTCTCCTTGATGTTAAATGCGATAGGATCAACCGGATCGAGGCGTCTGCGCTTCCTTCCTGTGGAAGGCGTATGGGCACCAAAGACGTCCAGTTCGTCACAGGACGGAAGTTCCCAACCATCCCGAGTCGCATTTCTAGGGGTTCTCGCAGGAGTTCTCAGACCGTCGGCCCCATTGCCCGTAGAACATACAGAGGATCCCCTCCTTGCAGGTGTTCCTCCTGAGGTAGGGTACCGAGGCCGAATTGCTTGTAAAGCACCTTTGATCGTCGTCACAGGATCACCGCCCCAGAACTTGTCCTTCGACTGAAAGGAGCGGTGGGTGCCGAAGTCTAAGGCCCCCATAAGGGGATATATGCCCGTTGCGTTCTTATGTGATGCCGTTGGGCCCTCCTAGACCGTGTTAGATCTAAGCCGTCATTTGCTTGACAAGACTTACTTCATGAGTATAGTTGACCTCCGCGTCCTTTCCATATTGCCGACGAGCGTCGGAAAGGAGCTTATCAAACACCTGAGAACGCCTCTGCTGTGTAGGATCTGGGTAATAATGCTTAACATTGATAGTATACCTTCCGCTGTCCACAATGGTCTGAACATGTATCACAGACCAATTCTGGGTTATGGGGCGGAACAGAGGAGCCACAAAGTTCGACCTTGTCAGGTTGAAGAGCTTCCCATCGATATCGCATGACCGCAGTATGCTTATCCGGAGTGACGACCTGTCGACGAGTAGCTCCAGTAGGTAATCAAAGCTCTCTTGCGTTAGCTCACACTGCTCCCCAATTTGACGTAGGCATTCATGCGTCCGCTGGTCCTTCTCCGCAGACTCAGAAGTCCTCAGACTCCCAGAGGGTGGCCTCTCAAGACCGTTGCGTGTCCTCATCCGCGATATCATTGCGGAGGATTGGGTATGGGAACTGTCTAGATTAACAAGGGGCGTATAAACGGTGATGGGCAAAGAATGCATTGAAGAAGTATATTCAGATAACTTGTTGCGTTTCCCATGAGGAAAGGTGCTACGTTTGAGTAGGTCTAAGCTGAGCATATAAAGACATGGTTATCCTGAAAGAATTCACAAATACTAAAGACCTCGTCAGTCTCCGAAGGGTAACAGCAAACATCAGCACCTAGCCGTGAAAAGAGGGCTGTTTTGATCATGGAGTGATAGATGGAGAGAGAGCTAAGGCAGACTGCCGTGGCCACATGGCCAAGCTCTAAGATTTCTGTTGTATTCTATCTGTGATTGGTTGGTAAACGTGAATGTCCGTGGTGAATGTTGACTTCAATACATGCTTCCTACCTAGGGTGGTGGAGCGAGCGTTCTGCAATGCACTAATGCAACAATGATGCTTCTGACAGCGGAGTTGAAGTGAGAAATTCGCTGTCTTATTCGTTACAAACACGGGATTGACTAGAGAAAGCCTGGCCGTGGGAAGAGTACTGTCAGCCGTTTGGTGTTGCAGTAGCGGGTACCTGGTCCCTTCACTTGCAAGGATATTCTTGCAAGTCAACATGGCACTTCATATTTGAACGAGGTATCCGTTAGTTTTTCCAGCTTTTAAAGTGTTTGATAATTCATCTGTCGTTTGTCTAGTAAGCGCAGACCAATTCTCTTGACCGCAAAGATAAGCCGATGCAATATAGCGTGCAATTTGCCGCTGCATGTAAGTAGCCGTGCCTGAACGTGCAGAATCTTAAGACGTGGCTTGGGTACGCCGTTACACTAACAGCGTGAGAATGAAGTCTAACAGTAAAACAGCAAAAGAGACACGACTGCTCGTTTATTCTTAGGTTATGTCAATAACAAGGTGATGTGATTTCGCTTTGGCTCCAACAGACACTGGCGGAAACCGGTGGCTATAAGTTAGAAAGGAACTGAAGTAAATAAAGGTCTCTGGGATAAGTTAATGGGATTGGGTGATCCGGCATACAAGCCGACGCAAGGGGGTTGTGTTAAGTCACAGGAATTTGAACCAAGAGAAAAGAGGAATGACTTGTGTGGCTGTGGAATGCCTAATGTTAATTTGTATGTGCAGAAAGACTCAAAGCCTCATATAGCGTCTTTTTGCAGTAAATTAGCAGACATTTAGAGATTGCGACAAGTCTAGAGGTTCTTCTTAATACGAGAGGAAGGGATGAGATAGTATGATTACCGCTCTACTTAAAGTGTGAAGTTCGTCGTGAACTGTTTCACTGAAATCGTCTTGCTCTCTAATATTCTGAAGGGAAACGTGCGAGCCATTATGAAGAGTCAAACAATCCTCACGACAGTCTTGGGCGCGAGTGGTGTTCTCTCACAGCCAGACCATGGAGCTATGAGCTTTGATACATGGTGTGTTACGTACCTGTCTACCTACCTTGTTCCTGTAGCAAATCCTGGTAAATCAACCGGAGCATCTTCGTTACAACCGACCTTTGCGGGAAACAGCTCAGTGCCCGTGACACGCAAGTGACCCGAGTTATTTGCGAGTTATTGTAGACTAACTGTGTAACAGAAACAGAGCCACAGAGCGAATTGACCGTTATCACTTCAGATTCTGTAACTTTGACTTCAGATGTTGTGTCTTTGACCGACCAAATCACCACAACATCAGGATCCATCGTGAGCAGCGATGCCCTCACTACATCAACAGGCATCATCGAACCACCAGGCCGCACCGTGATCTTCCTCGTCTCCGCTCCCAACACCCGCAAACGGCAAAACACAGACAAGGGTTTCGTCGGAAACAACAACCCATCAATCTGCACCTTTGCTCAAAGCTTCAACCTTGCAGAGGAGCAGCTCTTCATAGATGGCGTACCGTTCTTCTACGACGGTGAAGATTTTAAAGAGCTTGTTGCAGGACCTGCGCCCCCGGCAGGTGCTGTTACAAAACTCTTTGGAACAAATGGGCGGGCGCTACAGGTAAACTTGCCTGGTGTTACAGCAGGATTCTGTCAGGCGAGCGATGGGAGAGTTTACGTGACTTTTACGAGTGGACCGGTTGGGTGTGAAGTTGTGATTTTGGAAGTTTATAATAGTAAGTTGAGTTTGTGAAGTGTTGGTGTGAAGTTGACGCTGATTTGGTATTAGAGAGGCAGTGTCAGAATGGGAGACTTGTTGGTATTGACACAACTACAAGCGCGATTGAGACCGCGACGTCTGAAATCATTAGTTCTGAAAGCGCCACCAGCGTCGAAGGTTCTGCCACGACAGAGATTGTATCCAGCTCTGAAGATATCGTTGCGTCAAGCAGCGGAGCCCAGTCTCAGTCTGTCGGACCGATTTCTCAAACGACTGAGCCCGAAGCATCTACGGTAGCTTCTTCCAGCGTGGCCGAGTCTATCCCAGCCAGCCCAACAACCAGCATCGCCGTGTCGGAAGCCTCTACGCTGTCCCCAGCCTCATCTTCTGTTATTGATGAAACCACCACTGATGAGGTATTCCCAACCAGTGCGCCTTCGCTCGTTAGCACAACCACTGAGGTAGAAGAGTCAACTTCAATGGAGGAGCCAACGTCGCAGGCTTCATCCGAGACAGCGGAGACTTCTGAAAGTAGCTCTGAGGAGAGCACCTCGGCTGCCACGACTGAGGCTGAACAGTCCGCTACAGAGACTACTACCGCTGTGGAGGAGACCACCACCACCGAGAATGAAACAACGATAGAGGCTACTACTGAGAGCGGGACTGAGTCTGCAACGACGACAGAAGATGCAACGACTGTTGTTTCTACCACCGAAGAGAGCTCAGCTGAAGAGACAACAGCCGAAGAGACAACCACAGAAGACATTACAACAATCGAGTCAACAATCGAAGAGACAACGGCCGAAGAGACAACCACAGAAGACCAAACAACAGTAGAGTCAACAAGCGACGCTCCAACAACGACAGAAACTTCCACCACCGCGGGACCGCCATAGAAGGCTACACGTCGCTCAACGAGTTCACCGCAGAAAGCTTCGTAGACTGAATGGAAGCATGATGCTTCGTCCAGGTCATCTCCTACTACTGGTTATGACATTGCTCTCGTGCAGGGGATGATTGACAGGGGTTGTGAGCGTTGGATTGTGGGGTTGATGAACAGGGGTAATTCTATCACTGTTGTGCTTTGTGAACACTACATATTTAATCTGCTTTGGCCTTAAACTTTGCCACGACTATAATTCACTTTGTTAACTATACCATATTATCTAAATACTCTTTCTTAGACCGTTCTTTCATTCTTAGGCTCCAATGTTGAAGTGATTACGAAGCGACGAGCCGCGCGGTTCATCGCCAAACCCTCCGATTCGGCTAACCCATGATGAGACTGAAACTCCGCTACCAAAAGTCCGCCGCTTATTTCTTATTAATCCACCAACATAGACTAGAATCTATGATGTCGACCGATCGCCCGAAATATCCGAAATGATATACTTGCTCCCTCCTTCTTTCTTTCTTTCCTTTCTTCTGTTCATACCCTCTCTTACTGGTTAGCGAGTATCTCCCCCGAGTATAGCTTCCAGTCGCCAATGAACGCGACAACACCATAATCATGCCGTCAGCACAAGATGATACCAACCGACGTCCCGATGTCAGCTACGGCTCCTTTCCGTCTGACACTCCTCCCCAACCCTCAAAGCCAACACAGCCCTCCACACGCGCCCTCGCTCCCGATCTCCTCCGCGGCCTGCTAATGCTGCTTATGGCAATGGACCACATGGCCCTCGCCCTAAACACATGGTCCCACGGCACAGGCCGCGAGACAGAAGCGGACGGCGTGCCCATCAAGCGCTGGAATCGCACGCCTGCCTATATCATCCGGACGTTGACGCACCTCTGCGCACCGGGCTTCACGATGTTGCTGGGAATAGGCGTGGTGTACCTTGGACGATCGCGGAAGAAGCTGGGCTGGTCGAGTGGTCGTATTGCGAGGTACTTCTTCATACGGGCTTTTGTTCTCACGGCTGTGAATGTGGTGCTGGGATGGGTTATCACGGTGGGAAAAGTGTGGTTTATGAATTTTGTGCTGTTTTCGCTGGCGGTGGATTATTTGCTTGCGGGATTGCTGTGGGTTGCTATGGACTTTACGGAGCCGTGGCTTGCGAAACATATCCCGAGGAAATCCTCCGATGAAAGTGAAGCGCTCCTTGGAGGAAGTGAGTCTTCGGACTTTGGAGAGACTGTCTCTTGGCATGTTCACAATGCGCTGCTTGCGGTGTTGGGTGTGGTGACGATATGGTGGAATATCTGGCTCTCACCTACACACGGCCACTGCACCGTCAGCGACCATTCGTCTTCTCTGACAATTCTATCAGCTGGCCAACCTGGACCGACAGATAGTCCTGCTATTTCCCATAATCCCTGGTTCGGAATTTGGTTCTGGACTACCTTAACAGACCGAGTTCAATCGGTGTTTCCACCCATGGCTTGGGTATCGTTCGCGATCCTAGGTCTTCTATATGCGCGTATCGACGTTGCTCGAACGTGGAACTCTCTTGTCGCAGCGCTGTGCAACACCGCCGCTGGGATATTCTTCCTCATAATCTTTGTGCTCACGCGCGTGTTACACTTTGGAAATCTCTCCGAAGACTGCCTCCAAACACCCGAGCACATCGCGCATCCCGACCAGAACCAATACCTCGTCTCAGTACAGTCCTTCTTCTACATAATGAAGTATCCCCCCGACGTCGCATTCTGGGCCTTCACTTTAGCCGGAAACCTGTTCTTACTAGCTTTCTTCGGCGGTATTCCTACCAGTGTCGCTAAGCGCTTCACGATGCTGTTGGACTTTGGTAGAGCGGCGCTGTTCTTCTACCTTGCGCATTTGTTCTTCGTCTTTATCTTTGGTGGAGTCATGGTTGGTTGGTTTGGGCATGAAACTGAGAACCATGGACAGATGGATCCGGACTCGAAGCGAGGTATTGACAACGTTTTTGCATACCTCGTTATTTGGGGGTTTTCGATGTTGTTGCTGTGGCCTTTGGTGAGGTGGTATGGTAGGTTCAAGGCCACCAAGCCAGCTGACTCCATTTGGAGGTTCTTCTAGATCTCTGTATAATTATTGCTGTAAAATATGATAGACTTTGTATAAAACGATTTCAAGATCAATTATTGTAACTAAGGGAATGAACTGCATTCTCTGGTTCATGCCATCAGTCCCCACGGCCTGCCCTGCAAACCTAATGGATGATAGTGATTGGGTTTGCGTACCAGCCCTTACTGAGCTTGAGACCTCTATCCTAAGTAATAAAAGACTTGCTAGACTTAATATAATTCAATCCAGATTTAGTGATTGAGTATAGATTTGGGGGAGCTCAGAACATGTATTTTTGACATCTTGCTCCAATGTCAGATGCTCACTGGGGACCTTATCCATGCATGACACTGGATCCTGATGGGGCTGACTGTATCCAACACGCTCACCTCAAAACATCATCATCTTCACCTCTTCATCCCCAATCAACCCAAACCTCATTAAACACAATCAAAATGACATCTCCCAATATCTCCTCCCGTATACCCACGCTCATCATCCTCTCCATCCTCACAGTCTTTGGCTTCGACGCGCTCATTCTCCAACTCGACCGCAACGGCTACACCTCCATGCTAAAATCCATCACCCACGACCCCCTCCCACGCTTCCTCCCCGACACTAACCGCTTACTCCTCAAGCAGTACACTGGAATAGGACCAGTTGATGACTTTTTCGCTTTTTCGAACGTTATCTGGGCGAACGTAACTGATGGCTCAAGGCCTGAACTTTCGCTGTTTACGTTTTGTTTCGGGGCGCAGTTGATTGCGTTTTTCGTGGTGTTTTTGGTTGAAGCGCAGAGGGTGCTTGCGTGGAGTCCGCTTGTGCTAAAGTAAGTTGTTTTTGAGAATTGAGAATTGATGTGCTGACGATGGATGCAGTGGTGTCTTTTGGGGATTTGCCGTGCAGAGTCTTGGGTTTGGATTCGTTGCGCCGCTTTACTTTGTCATTCACTTGATCTTCACAGCTGGATCGTCAAGGTCTGAGAGTGTTCATATTCGCGACTACTTGTGCCTTCACACGGTTGTTCCGTCTTTTCTTCTCGGATACATCGTGCCGTGTATTTTCATGGCATATCCATTCTCGAACTTCAATGTGCGACAGTGGTCTAATGCAGTCTGGTCTATTGCTCCAGTCTACATCTTTACCCTTCAAGCGGTATTCACTGTTGTTCTGAAGAGGCTGAGTGTTGGACAGGATGCGTACAAGCCAAAGGTCGTGCTAGACAAGACTGCTCTATCGCATGCCTATAGCTTTGCATGGAACGTCGCTGTCATGGGCCAGATGACAACCTACGCCGTCCTCATCACAGCAAGTCTCCTCCCAGGTCTCTTCCCCGATGGTGTAGCGGCCTCATTGAACATGAACAGGGTCTTCATTCCCGACGCGGCGCCTCATTCTTACAAACCCATGTCCAGTGCCGCAGCGGCTATTCACAACTTTTTGATCTATGATTTTGCAACTGGGTCTGTGGCGGCGCTTGCGTGGGCCCTGCAGCAACTGCTGGAGGTGAAGCCTGAGTTGAGGGTTGGAGAGGAGAGGACTAATATCATGCGGGGGATTGCTACGAGTGTTTTGCTGTCGGGGCCGGGAGGGGCGGTCGTTGCGTTGATGCAGCATCGTGATGAGTCTGTTCTTAGCGCTGAGGGCAAGGCTGAGAAGATTCAGTGAACGATGGTGATAGATGGGCGTATGTAAAAATTAAGGGCAAGTTGGTGATAGGATCAATTCTGTTTATCTAAGCCTTTTCTTCTCTGTTCTCGCCAAGGGGGACATCCAAGCCATGACGTCCCTTGTATCCCGACACCTCAGCTGGTTTCCATCCGCCATTCTGTAACAGAGACTCATCCTTGAGACGATAAACCTCGACCTTGAGGGGCCGACAGCATTTGATCATCTCCTCCTCACTATCCTCTCCAAAGCCCCAAAGCGACAAATCCCCGCCAGGGCAAGTACCTACAACAATTAGCAACTCTCGACTCATATCACATCTCGAACGTGCACTTACTCAAAGCCATAAGAAGATCCTGCTCCGCCAAAAACTCAATGTAATCACCCTTCTCCGCCGGACACGGATTCATAAAATACCTCCCCTGCTCATCTAACCCCGTGACTTGAAAGATATTAATCACATCATGAACATCCCCCTCATTCAAGCCATACGGTAACACCGCGCGGGTGAGGTTAGAATGACACTGGAAGTTATACTGTCCTCCGCTGAGAACAGTGTTGATGTACGGGTCACATCGCGTGCCGAGAAGATCATGCACTCGACCTCCGTGCTCATCTGTGCCATACCAGTCTAGAGTATCGGTGATTATGGTGGTCAAAGGTCGCATGTAGGGGAGATTGGACCAGAGACGGTCGTACGTTGAGACATGTGAGGCGTGGAGTTGTTTGGTGCGGGAAGCCCAGAAGCGTTCACGCGGGTTATGAGCGTTCCAGATATTCAAGTCCCCTGTCTGTGTAAGTGAGATGTCCACCCCATTGTCTTCTCGTCGCCCCTCACCCAACAACTTCAGATAGCCTTACCAACCTGCGGCCCCTCAGGCGTGCTGATCTTGACGATACAGCCGGCTGGAGCTTTCCATGCTTTTCCAGATCGAATTGGCAGAGTGAATTCCTCGATGAGTTCACGCGGCGCTTCGCGGATGGAAGTGTACAAGCTCTTATCGACGGCGAGGACTGAGCCTGGGGAGGGGAGATAAGCTGGGACGGGCTTCTTGATGGGTTTTCTGTTTGCTAGACGCTCAGCTCCGTTGGGAGACATGATGGTTTTGAGATGATTTGTTAGAGCAGAAAGAGAAATTTCGTGATGCGAGGAGGAGAGTGTTAAGTAATAACGATCTCTTGGCTGTTCTAAGTGGATACTTTATCGTATCTTGGGCTCTATTGATTGCATCAGGCTGATTGAGTTACAAGAAGGCGCGAGATAAAGTAGGCACCTATCTTTAGTCTGGAAGTACTCATAGGGCGTGCATGGAATTAACTCATTGAGCATTAATAATCTGCGCTTTTGGCCAAGGTAGACTTTGGACTGCATGTTGCTTGTGGATGATGCGATTTCGGAGGTGGATCGGCATCGCGAAGACTTGCCGATATTGACCATGTACGGGAAATGGAAACTTGCCGTAAACGCCCCAGAGTACGATCTGAGATTCTCTCAATACCTTATCCTATCGATCTGCGGGCCTACTATCTAACTAGTCTTTATTGCAACTGTTTGCAAGTCTTTTGACAGACCAAGGCATGTACTGTATGTCTGGCTCTGTTGCAGAACCAGCGCCGCTGGGCTTGCCCCTCATTATCTCATTACCCCTCCACCGCCTAAGCTCAAGAACCCGCCAGAACTTCATCTTTTGTGTTTACTTTCGGATCCAATCTAATACACGAAGATCACGGGTATTCGCGACGACGCGCCATTGAATTGAATAGTGCCTGGTGGCCGTCGAGAACGGTTTTTAGAATAAGGACCCGAAATAAAGGATCTGTCGACCGCGCGCCAAAAATGGTCGCGCCGGATGAGCGCGTCGCAAACGAGCATATTGACTACCGAAGCCCTTCACGATGCGCCCGAAGACGACAGCGATCACAAGTACGAATACAATGATATAGCCATAGCTACCATGCAATCGACATATCGAACCCAATGAAAGATGGGTACAGGAAGCTCCAATGCGATAGTGATCTGGACCTCCACGTTCGTCCCAACTTCGAGAGCGTAAACGATGAAGGACACCGCAGCCCAGGACGTTAGCCACGGCGCTTCCATAGCTGAGAATTGGGCCTTTAATACTTCCGAAAGCGTTCCAGACTGCACGGATCCATTTTGAAGCTCGTATCTACGACGATGCTTCGCAAGTGCATGCCTTCGCTGTGCGGACCAGTGCAAGAGTACTCCCACCTGACGTTGTCGGCAACAAGACCTTCTCGCGAAAGACCACTCGCGAATGACCAATGACAATTTAGCTCGAACGACGCGAACTCGGTCGATACAACATTATCCCATAATCCTTCCTTGTCATAAGCGCACCGCCGCGAATGGTGCCATGTCGTCAGTCTCGACAAAGACGCACAGCTTCTTCGACCGACGCCATGCTAGGACGAAGATACGGGTTTTTGTACTGAACCTCAGTACATTGGGTGATTTCCTGTTATTCATACCCAACGATCCATGAGCTATTGGTGGACGAGATCGGGGGAGTGCGATCTCTGTGCCATCCTAGCTATTTCTGCTCAAGTTCTGCTTCGACTTCGGAACAAAGAGACACATGGGGTTACAGGAATGGTCTGTAGAAGCTCGAAACATCGACAAGAGAATGGTCCAGGCTTTGTTGATCTTGGCAATTGCCCGGGAACAATCTGGCTAGCGTGATGTTCGGGATGGCAGCTGTACCGCAGCTACCATGGCAATGTTGATCAAGCAGCGTATGCTCTTAGGCGATAAGCAAATGTAGCGATCGGGTAACAATACAAAGTATCAGTGGTGATTACAAGAGTGTAGGAAGCAGTGTTCCGAAGGGTCGGCATTTGTCTTGCAGCGCAATGGCCTTGATCTTATTGTTGCTTGGTCTACGTACCTACTGAACTTTTAACGTAAGGCATCCCATCCTCGGAACATGAGACCTGTCTTCCTCGGGCTTTGGATGAAGGTGACTCGAAATGACCTTCAACTATTGGTAAGGTCAAGACACTATTGTTTGACGGCCCAATACTTTTGGCGGATGACCGCCATGTGGCTTTATAATGTATCAGGTTTATTTAAACAGGAATTGTCACATACTAACTTAGCTAACTTAGTAACCATTGGTCGGGAATGTCCCAATTGCCGTGATACTGTGAATCCGTCACACTCGATGTTGGCGTTGACTCAAATAATCGGCGATAAACTGATTCCCTCCCTCAATCAATTGAACTCTTCAATACTTGTACTCTACGACAATAATCCACAGCCCTAGATAAGGACAATTACGCAATCCAATTTATCGAATATCTTTAAGTTTAGCTCTATTTCCACTATCGATCACCGACTGAGACACCACCAATCACCGTCCCATCTTGTCAAGGGAGACATCATCATTCGACCCTTGCACCACCCCTCTGGAATGCTTCCAAGACAGGGGCTCATTCCAGAAAAAAATGAACATGATAAGAATTGCATGTCATCATCCTACAACTCCCTTGCGTAGGGCACGAGTAACCTTATAGACCCCAAGGGTCCTCTCCGATCTGCGCTTTGTCATGTGCAAATCGCAATCATGGTTGTCATATCGGGCTCTCCTTGGGCCAAAAGACTGGGTTTTCTGGTTATTTCTATAACTATTCTGCTCTGGTGGTATGTTTACTGTGTGCCGGGGGTTACAGATAATGTTCAGCCTGCGACGACGAAATCGAGGACGAACGATGCGAAAGCGATACCGGTGGCTAAGAAGGTGGAAGGGAAGAGTGCCAAGGGTGTGAAGGCGGCGAAGGATGAGAAAACTGGCGAGTCTGTTGATAAGAAGGGAATTAAGACGTTCCGTTCTTGGAGTAACTTTGACATCGTCAAGCCCAAAAACGACCACACCTATGTGTATCGTCGGTTCAAGAGCTCGCCGCATAAACCACCACATATCGAATGGAACCCCAATGGAAAGCCACTCGCAAAGGGATACGTCTTCATCACACCGCAGTCCAGCGGCGCCGAGAGGGGTCTTGTGCAAGCTGCCTCGTTCATCATGAAGCAGAACGCAGAGATGATATACGCCCACGACGAAGAACCCTACGATTCTGCGGGTCTTCGTGTGCAGACCGTTCACAACGAGCAGTTCCTTACTCTCTGGCGCGGCCACCGAAAAATGAGCCATGGATTTGGAGAAGTCATCGTTATGAATAGCGAGTACGAGAAGACGGTTGTTCACCTCGATGCTATCATCACCAATATGTATGGTCAAAAGTTCCTTAGTGGGCTAGACTTTCACGAGCAGGAATTGACCACGCGAGGAACTATTCTCGTCACGGCTTACAACACGACGATGTACAACCTTACGCGAATGGGAGGGTCAGAACACGGCTTTGTGACCGACTCTCTATTCTTTGAGATCGATATCGAAACGCAGGAGATTCTCTTTAGCTGGAGCGCCCTCGACCATTTCTGGCCTGAAGACTCCATGCTTCCACTGATTTCATCCTCTGGCTACGGCGGGCCGAAGAATCCATACGACTTCTTCCATCTGAGCTCTATACAAGCCGTCAACCACGATTCATTCCTCATCAGCAGTCGAAACTTCTGGTCCGTGTATCTGGTCTCACGCTCAAATGGTAGGATCCTTTGGGAGTTGAGAGGGAATACCAAGGGAGGAGATTTCGGCGCGTTGCCGCACCATGGACGATTCCGGTGGCAGAACCACGTTCGCGCGCATAATGTCACGTCGAGGGAGATGATCCTCAGTATGTTTGACAATCACAACAGTCCGGAGGATATGGGAAAGACGTATTCGCGGGGTTTGCTGCTCAAGTTGAAGCTGCCACCGCATCCAGATGAGAAGCCCGAGGTTTTGCGTATTCTCTCGCCAGATCGTGCAAAGATCTCGCCTGAACATGGAAGCTATCAACTTGGATTGAGTAATGGGAACCAGTTCATGAGCTGGGGTGCAGGTGGTGTCGTCCACGAGTACGGCCCCGACGACGGCCACGATCTCCGCTGGCAAGCCCGCTTCGGCTACGACGAGTCCATCACCAGCTATCGCGCTTTCAAAGACGTTTGGACAGGCACACCCTCGAAATGGACGCCCGCCCTCGTCGTCGAAAAGCGCGAAGACACCGTGATGGGCTTCGTGAGCTGGAACGGCGCAACCGACATAGACGCCTACCACATTTACCTTGCAGAACCAGGCACGGAGCTCAAACCATTGGGTGAAGCCAAGGTTTTGGGCTTCGAGACGGGATTCGATCTTGGTGTTAAGTACAACGAGACGAATTGTATCATGGTTGCTGCTGTGAGGAAGGGACAGGAGATTAGACAGTCGAATGTTGGGTGTATTGAGGGCAAGACGTTTGTTTCGACGATTGTGGACTCGATGGGTAAAGCGACGGGAGATTCTGTTGTTGAGAAGACTACGTTGCAGAAGATTATGGGGTATTTTTCGCGAAGTTGATGAGAATGAATTGTATTTTATTGCGATGCAAGCATGTTGTTTTGTTAGTGTTCAATGAAGGGACTCAGCTCATTTCCACCATGGCCCAATGTGGGCGTTGATTATGGCGCTACTTTCAATAGTCTAGATACAAAGCGATAGTTCACCCAGTTAGTGGTAATTATTACTTGAAGAGATATAACAAGAGAGGAGTTTACATTTAAGAATAAATATAGACTCAATTACTGTCTCTTCTCCCTTCTTTCTCGTTGCATTTGTTCTGACATCATCACCAAATGAGATTCACTCACCCTGCACTGCTTCTGGCGCTATGCCAGCTTGCTGCAGCATCGCCATGCAAGCCCTCTTCATCGGCCACCTCCAATGCTCCTACGAGTACCGACAACGAGTCCACATCATCTGCGACAGAAACATCGACGGCGCTCTCGGTGGAAACAGGCTCATCTACTATCTCTCATGATGCGACGTTGACTGCTTCTGAGACCACATCGACCTCCGCCTTGTCGATCTCCACGACTTTGGTGTCAACTTCAAGCGCAGAGCCTACAACTACACTCGACGCGACAACAGATTTGTCAACAACCTTAGATGAGACCACGACCACTTTTGAGAGCGAGACGTCTGCTACCCTCGTCTCGACTACCACCGCCGAGGCTTCAACCACTACATCAGCAGCCCCCGAAATCCCATCCAACCGCGTCATCAACCCCGGCTTCGAGGATGCCTCAGTCTCCCCCTGGGTATCTATGTCCGGGACTCTATCCCGGATAGCATCCGATGTCCACACTGGCAGTCAATCCGGTTTCTACAGCGGCAACACCCCCATGAGCGCAATGCAGGGCGTAAAACAGTTCATCGAGCCAACCTGGATCACGCCCGGCAAGAGCTACAAGTTCTCCGCCTGGGTGAAGGTTACAAACACTGTTAACTGTGGTTCCCCCACGATGGTTTGTGGTCAAGGCGTGGGTCAAGGCACGACTAGTTCGGTTGGGTCCATCCAGCAGACTGGGGACTTTTATTTGGCCAGTGTGACGTGCTCTTGGACGCAGGCTCAGTGGGAGGCCGGACCGAGTGTGCAGATTAGGGGTTATTGTACGGCACTTTCTTTCTTTGTGGACGATGCGACTCTGGAGGAGGTTGAGACCTTGGGGTGAGAATGACAATGCCTTATTGGTGCTGGGACCGAGGGAACGGGGAAGATCAGAGCGATTGCAGTATTTATTTCGACTGTTCTAAGTTTAATACATAGATAAGGACAGAACGGCAGCCAACGCAAGTTGCTGCCGAGTAACATAGACTTTATGTAGATTGTAAGTACCAAGAATACTCCAGAAGACATGGACCCAGACGTTGAGTACCACAGTGACTACCGCCTGAACGGCTCATACTGGCCGGTTTGAGGATTGTATATACTAACAAAACTAGAAGAAGAGCTCAAGGAAGTATTGAAGCTCTTGTAAGTCCTGTTAGTCCGTGGACGATGATGCGCTAGCGTAGGAGGTCTTCTCTGCTGGTAGTAGTGTAGTGGTGGTGGATACTGTATGTATGACTGAGTTCTGTAAGGGGACTGAGGGTAATGATAGTAAGGTCCGCGATTCCTGAGATTCGCATAAGACGGGAGATATGGTGGTGGTTGTAAATATTTCGGGGGTGTCCGAGGCGGCTGATACTGAGGAGGGGGCTTTGAAGGAGTGGCGATGACGCTTTCAACATCTGTCAGATCATCTGTAGAGATTGTAGCTAGTTGCTTTGGGTGGAATAGGCTGAGGAGAAGTGTAACGAGGAATATGAATCCTGCGTCGAAGATGTAGAAGTAGATTTCCGTGGCTTGAAGAATGCCGAGAGGACCGGTGGCGTACTCGATTACTCGATAAACAGACCGAGCGATTACAAGGCCACAAGAGATATAAAGAACGATGATCCAGCGTTTCCAAGGTATGGTCAAATTGGTGCTCATGCGAGATGGGTTGTCGATAACGCGGCTGTGCACGATATGCAAAACAGAAGTGAAGAAGCCGAAGAAGTAGATCTGGAAAGCAAGACCACCAATGATGATAAGCTGGGCTGTTCTTTGCTGACTGACCGAAGTGGCATTTATCAAGATGCCAGCACCTATATCATATGAGTATACGATCAAGACGGGAAAGGTGATCTTACCAGTGAACTGTGCTGCCAAAGCGACCAAATCTCCAAAGATGAAGACCTTCGGGATTACTTTGACTGGAACCAGTGCATAAATATCTGCATCCAGAATAACGATAATTTTGCTTAGAATCATATAGATACTTGCAGTAATCAAGCTCGGACCTAAAAGAAACGCAAAAGTCTGAATAGCAATAGGAACGAAAGTCCAGTCTGGAGATTCAGAAGCTGATATAGCACGACAAGCATATCCGAAAGCCTCAACTACAAAGGTCAGCACTCTCTAGTCATTAAACATCCCTCATATTCGACCCAAGGACAAGCTTAACTAACCGGTACAACCTAAGAGGAACGGTATGAAAAACCAAGTCCTACATCGTATCATCTGCAACAAACACACCACCGTCGAAGCAGAAAACAACCCAAGAGCAACAAGAGAAAGAATAAACGAAGGATGATAATGGTACAGCTCGACTGCTGCCATGGTGTGAATAAAGCCTTCAAGGCTTGAACGAGAGTGAGCCCGTGAGTGAGGAGGTAAAACAAAATGACATTTTTCCGAAGCAAGGCTGATGTTTGGTCTCGGAAGGGTGGTTTAAGGCTTTATTGCCATGGGGAAGTCTATTAATAACCTTGATATGGTTTGTGATTATCTGGGGGTGATGAATGCGGATGGGATGCTGCTTGCGGGTGACCCACTGGCTGGATGCAGATGATAATGTCTCACTTCGACCACGCTCTGTGGTAGTGAGACAGATGAGATAATGAAGATTACTAGAAGCGTTTACTGATGCATAGGACTAAAATATTTAGTTTGTGATTACGAGGGGATCGAGCTGTGTGTACTTGAACCGGCGTTTTGTTTCTGAGCTTGCGGGTCGAGCCGAGATATGTCTTCGATCATCGCGAGATGAGGTCCTTGGTTTCTCACGATGGAGCGGGAACTTGGGAGTAGCTGCAGAGCTAATGATTCTAGATTGGGACTAGACAGTCCTTGTTTATGTATAGTACAGGATAAATCTTGGCATCGTGAGGTCATGTAGATAAGGATGCCGAGACTTGGTTTTACTGAGGCCGGGAAACCGTGTAGGCAGTGAAGGAGGATCAAGACAGAAGCATTTCCAGAATTTAAGATTGGGGTTTATGAGTCTTGTGAATTCTGATACAGAACATAAATATCTGGATTCTCATGATAGTGTACATAAATGCAGGCCCTAGCATTTTGAGTTTTTGAACAGATAATCAAGGTAACGTTGAGCACAAGGATGACGCAGGGGTGTTGACAAGGTTAATTGTACGACTAGGATTTGGGAACCTTATGGCTTATTGGGATAGAAAGAAATGTAGTATTCATCGAATAACATTGTGGCATTATCGAGATACCCTGACGATGTTTCTCGCTGGATTTCAACACGTAGGCAATTGCCAGCAGTCTTGAATAAGGCCCAGGAAATGATTGGCCAAGATACTGAAGTAAATTGAGATACATGTAGTTGTTAACACCTATTAGAACATCAGAAGTAAATGAAGTTCTCGTGAAGGTTAAATAGTTAGCGGAATGCATAGGCCAATCGTATCCTGGAGCTTATCTGCGGATCTTAAGATCTCGGGTATCGTGGGGTTGAGAACATATGTCCCTGGCATGCCCTTTGGGTAAGAAATACGATACCCGTTTGTTGGCCAGAACTTGTCAGCATGAATCACAACTTCAATAACAACTAAAAGTCGAATCAGAATGCCATCGTTGTCTCTTGTTACAAGTCTTTGTGTTTCATCAAGCACGTCTTAAACCCGAGTCATAACCGATGTGCCTGATCCTTTCCCCAAACAGCAAAGCGTGGAAAAAGAGGCTGGCTGGGTGATGTCAGAAACAAGACTAAGCATCCCTCCCGTCGAATCAGATCCCAGCACGGGAAAATATCTCAACCTGTCTCTGGCTTACCGATCCGATCCTCAGGGAGGCTTGTCAACTCCACGATCGAGATATTCGCCTTAGTGGCCGCCCCCTGGTAAACAACGAGAAAACTCACGCTCCGCATTCAACGTCCTACGCCCAAGACACGCTGGGGCTGAATGTACCTGTAGGGCAAGTGCACGTCCAGGGGACTGTCGCACCCTTGGACGGTCAACTAACTAGTTAGCTACCACCACCGCGGAACTGGGGCGTTCTTAACGTCATGCCGTACAAGACTCTGCTTCCTGCACCTGATACTTCGAGTGATCCTGGGGGTCAGGATCAAGACACGCGCGTTGCTAGGCGGAGGCGGGCCAACAGGCCTAACGCCTGCGAGAACTGCCGCCTGAAAAAAGCCCGTGTAAGTCAACCAAGTTTCCCGCCGTATAGTACCTATCTCATGTCTGACCCACTGCTGATGCTGTTACCCAGTGTGATGGTAAGAGACCAAGCTGCTCCAAGTGCGAGAAATGGGGAACGACGTGTGTTTACAGCAGTGACCACCTCGGCAATGTCGAGCGTGAACTCAGAGAGCATCGTGACATCCTCGAGTTCTTACTGTCGCTTCCCGAAGATGAAGCCCTCGCTACTCACAGACAGCTTAGAGGTACGAGCAACCTTTCCGATGCACTGTCGTCGTTGCAGGGGAGTATGCATGGCAGGCTTCAGCCCTCCGGCATACGGACTGCGCAGGCCATGTCGCCGCCGACGTCGTCAGGTCTTGAGTTTGAGCTGACGGTCCGGCATGGTATGGCCTACCCTACCTTGTTTCCCCTGGACCTACCGTCCTTGAGCGCCGATCCTAGATTGAGACCTGTTCAGCGCTCGTCTCAAGGGCTTTTACTCGATGGGTCGTCGCCGTCTGACACAATGTCCCCATCGACATCATCTAGCAATGAGCAGTCTGTACCTACACCGAATCCCCAATCGCTTGAACGTCCTCGCATAAAACAAGAGGAAGACGTCGCTGCCCCTCACCGGGAAAAGTACTGCGATGAGAGGTTACACCAACTGCAGATTGGGTACTGGACTGGCGTGTCTATTGACGACGAAGTCGCTGCCAGCGCCATCTCACTGTACCTGCAGGGCAATCACTCTATATTTGGGTTGTTCGACCCATACCTTTTTATACACGACCTCGTTCACCGCCACCATCAGTACTGCTCACCCTTTCTGGTAAATGCCCTGCTGGCCCACGCCTGTGTAAGTTGCCACTCGCCACTCGCCACATGTTATTCTCTTAGACTGATATTGATCCGCCATAGCAAGCTTACTCTGTGATTGACGAAGCTGTCGGCGCTTTGAGCCAGGACTTTATGAGAGATGCTGGCGTATTATGGCGCGCTGAGCGATCATCCGACTCTTTAGTCAACGTCGCTGCCATTCTCATGCTCAGTGTCAGCTGCCATCTTGAGCAATCCAGTGTTTCGAGCAATGATCTTCTTGACGATGGCCGCGCAATGGCGGAGCGGTTAAAGCTCTTTGGCATACCGCACACACCAGAAAACGCAGCATCATTCGATAGATTAGACCCCGACACCAAACGTGCAATGGCCCATACAGCCTGGGGAGCATACAGCTACCTAACGTATGTACCCTCCTCCCCATTCTGACGTCCCACTAACACCTCAGACTAAACACATTCTGGGTCCCAACCAAACCCATCGCTTTCCCACCAATGTTTCCCGTCCCCGGACGGAGCAGCGAGGACACGATAGATGAAAGGTTAGCAGTTCACTGGCCGGCACACTTCATCCCTGACTATGCAGGAAAAACATTTCAAGCGCTATGTGAGCTCTGGACCATAATGCAGGAGGTCATAGCGGTTTACTTTGCGCATCACGGTGATACTGCTGCTGCTTCGATGAGGATTCCTTTGGCGTTTGTGGAGGCCAAGTATCAAAAGATATTGACCTTTACGGATTCGTTACCGCCGGAGATGTCGTCCCTTGACCCAGGGAATATGCCTGATCATGTTTTGGCGTTCAAGTCCGTAACGCGTCCCAAGGTTGAGAATGCTACTGACGATATGCAGTATTTTACTACATGTTGCTATCACGCACCTGTTTCACACCTTCATCATGGATCCAAGCAATCAGAATCTCAACCCGGCGCTGTTAGAGTCTCCCAAAGCAGCATTGCGAGCATCAACGAACCAGCTCCAGCGACTCATCCTCATCAGCCGCCTCTACCATCCCCACGCTCACTCTCTCAGCGTTCTGAGCTCGGCAGTCGTGCACGTCAGCAACACCATAATCCGCGACGCCGCACTGCGCAACCATTCCATCCAAGCCCCCAGCCTCGGCAAAAAGCACCGACGCCGCGGTAGTAATGAAGAAGCACACTGGCACTTCTACTTCCTCGTTTGTCTAGCAGCCTGCCAAGATCTCGGCGCTTGCTTCCCCGTTTGCGAACCTATTGGAAAGGGGCTTTTAGCTATGGCCATGAGAGATGGGAGCATGACTGCTGCTGAAGCAAACAAACTCATGCGTGCGTTGGAGGCGCCGAAGCAGGTTGCACCACCCAGTAAAGACGAGAGTGGCACATTTGGAAGTTGGGTTTTGGATTTTGATCTTGAGGCTTCGAAGCCTGGTGATGGACATATTAGGAACTTGGCTGCTCAGTTTGAGGAGTTGAGTATGCATAATGAGTTTACAGAGGGAGGAGATTTTGTCGTGGAATAACGGGATATATGGGTAATGAATACGATTGATACCCCGGCCTTTGAGCCAACGAGAGGAAATACGATAACATAAAAGCAAGGCGAACACGGACATTTTGGTTACTTACTCTAAGAAGAATACACACATTGGAGTATCTCTTAGGCATTCTTTGAATCTTGCGAGGAGCTAGGAAGGATATTGATATCTTATTTCCCTGTCCAAGATGAGGAGATTTTGACAACTGGGACAACTTGGCTAGGTGTAGAAGCCATGATCTTGAGTGGCCTTTTTAAATCTTGTGTTTACCCAAATAAAAAAAGTATACAGCACAGTCTACGGAACTAACAGCATCCACCACCATGATCATGACTATGCTCATGAGCCTTCTCAGCATCTCTCTCACTCAACCCCTCAGCCTCCTTACTCACACAACTAACATGAAAAGCCGCCAACTTCACCAACCCCGGAATCTCCCTCAACAACCCAATATTCTCCTTAAAATCATCCGTCTCCCGAAACTTCTGATGCGCCTCAACACTCGGCCATCCAATAAACGCCGCCATCATACTCCCCGTCTTGCCCTCCTCTCCTCGGATGGGCACGTCGTTCTCAACACTCCATCCGTAGCTGATGCCGCGCCAGTCACGGGATGTCTTTAGTGCTACGCCGGTGAACTCCTCGAGACGGCGGGTGGCTGTGGCGCGGGCTGCGACGTCGTAGTCTGAGGGGAAGAATGCTAGGAGGACTTCTGTTACGGGGGAGCAGTCTTTGTTGAGGACGTCTTCTGGGGGGAAGGGGGTTAGGGTGACGTGTTTGTTAATGGATTTTGAAAAGTCCACGATGGGTTTGAGAGATTCGATGATAGGGCCGTGATCACTGGAGTGTATTAGTACTAGCCAAAAGATGAAGTAAGTGTTGACTTACGCGGTCTTGGGATAATTCTCATGATCTTCCAAAGTCTCCCAGTCAAGAAACAACCATAGCGTAGAAGGATTCTCAACCTCAACACCAGTATAAACTCGTCGAGCACCAGGCTGTTTCAATGCTGTCTCAAGGACATTTTGATATGTTTTTGCCGCAGCTGATTCATCAAAAACATTAACGCCCTCGTTGAGGGTAACGTATGAGAACTCCGTTACGTTTTGGATTTTAGAAGCCATTCTGAAAAAGATTTTGTGAGGAAAGGGTATATGATACGAGTATGATGTTCATCTATGAGGAGGGGTAAATAAGGTGATGGCATCTGGTGGGGTCGAACACGTGCTACTTCCGTTAACCCGCATGGAACAAGGGAAGTCATCGCCTCGTTGATATAGTCGAGTCAGTTCAACGCCTCAAGGGTAAAAGGATATGAATGAACTTGGATAACTATAGCCATTGGATCATTTGTCACTTGAACCACTTGCATCACCTCCAGCCTGTGCCTTAAACTCATTGATAGCCTTCTCCGTAACCCTCATAGCCTCAAGCCCAACAGGAGCACCAAGATAAATCATCGACTGCAAAACCGCCTCGCGAATCTCAATCTCCGTCAAGCCATTCCGCATAGCTCCCTTGGTATGCAGCGTCAATTCCGGCCATGCCTTTTGCGCCGTCAAAAACGCCAAAGCTATAAACTCGTCAGAAAGGTGGTTTGATATAATCGCATCACCTACTGAGAAGACTTCTCTGCTTTCTATCAAGACCAGGTCGAGTCCATACGTTTCCCCAAGCGTATTCTGTGATGAGCTCTTGTGCGGGTTTCCAGTATTCGTTGTCGAGACTTGCGACTGCTTTGGAGACGTATTCTTCGCCAAGAACTTCACCGCGGACTTTGAGGCCCTTTTTGAAGCCTTCGCTGAATTCTTGATTTTGAGACATGATTTGAGATTGTGAAGTGAATGTAAGATGTTGATGCCAGAGGATTGAACTGTCTGTTGATGTTATATACTTTGAGGACGGAGGTCCTTCTCCGTGTCCGGGGACTCCGCAACCGGAGCACCCGGCTGTGAACGGCGGGGCCGGCCGGATACAGACCCTGTAACCCAGGATGATATCTTACTCAATGTAATTGTCTTCATACCCCCGCATAGATCTATGGTAGCCGATTTAGAGTTGGGCATATGGATGACGTTCGAAATGTGCATTGTGGTATTGTATTAAGAGAGACGACGTAACTACCTTATAGACTAACATCCGATAGACAAATAAACACTTTATGTACATGCGAAGGAAATCGTAGCTAGGCGATCGCCTTCCTCCATTCCTCAATTACTTCTTCACTTCCGTTTGTTGTTTTGTGTCACTACCCTCCGCTGGGTTACCTGCTCTCAGCTTTGCATTTGGCTTCATCTGAGATAGCTCGAACTTGTAGAAACCCTCGAGCACCGTATGCGGACCCATCTCCAAGGGATAGTCTGAAGGCGCTGACTTCAAGTTGTACGGAACGAACTGGGGTAGGTACTCATCATCATCTCCAGGCAGTGTATACGGCGCCAGATTAGGCTGTAGCCATGACCACTCGCCCTTGTCCGTAAGGGCAGGAATACATGCTTCAGCCGTAGTCTGGTTCATAGGCTTCTTCCATGAATCGAGACTGGTGTCGATACCTGGAAGGTCTGATCGTGTGAGGACGGGTCCACCGCGCAAGAGAATGCGTAGCTTCTTGAGGGTCTGGTCAATGATCCACTGGGGAAGCTTGAGGGTTGTTGATGGTAGAATACCCGTGGCGATATGAACGGGCTGGTAAGGGTCGACGATAGCGCCGAGGACAACGGTCGAAGGATGGTTCCAGATGCCGCGATGGTAAGCTGCTGCTGCGTCGTACGCTTTGGCGTATTCTTTGGTAGGATCAGGTATGCACTTGGAGGGATCGACATGCATAGGCGAGAGATACACCTTGCTGGAGCTAGGAGAGGCGAACGAGTCCGGTTTCTGGTTATCACCCGCGACGATGTTACGTCCTGGATAACCGAACTCGGTGTAGACGCAATTGATGTCGGGGACTTTGTTTGCAACGCGGTCTTGAGGCTGTGGAATGGGAGCGGGTTCGATGGGTGTAGATGGCTCTGGCGATGGAGGAAAGTAGCCGATAAGTCCATCACGCAGATTCGACTTGTCGCCAAGAAGAACCTCAAACTTGTACTCGTCAAGTTTAATCTCCTCCTTCTTCAACAAGTCCTGGTAGCTCTGCGACTGCATCACAGGCGTGGCAAGTTCAAGGTTCATACCGATATTGACAAGCGCAAGCGGTCGTCCCACCATATTGAGCATCTGCGCATCACCAGTCAAAGGGTCGTTGTAAATATTCTGGCATGCATCAGCAAGCATTGCCCATAGACCAACGAGGAACTTGGCATCAGACATGCGCTTCATGAGCTGTTGAAGCTGCGACGACTCATTGGCTGCTTCCGACATGTCACCCTCGGCGTAGTGAACCTGCCAATATGCCTTGCCGTGGATATTATCCGGTACCAGAGCTTCGCCCATACTTTCACCGGCGGCATTGTAGACTTGAATGCCCATCGTGCGGAAGTCAAGCATCAACCAGCCCCAGACAGGATCCTCGTACTCGGTAGTCGGGCGCCAGACATGATGTCTCCGACCAATACCTCCTTCATAATCACCACTGAAAAACTGCGTTGTCTCGTGGTGAGCAGCAACGTCAGCGGAATTCACCACAAATTGAACGTTGAGTCTGGCGTCTTGATTGATGCGGTGACCGAGCTGGAAGAATTGCGAGCGATGCTCTTCATCTAGTTCCACACTGTTGGCAAAGCCTCCGCCCTCTGCTTCGTTCGGTTGACACGCTATCGTGCGGCCGAGGCAGGGATACAGAGGCTTAGCCTTATTGATGACGTCTGGAGTGTGGATTGGCGAGACGACCTGGCCGAATTTATCGACGATGTTGAACTTTGTGAAGCGTGCTTGGCCGTGGGTAACAGGCTTGAAGTCCCGCTCTGCTTTGTCAATAGAGCAAACGTCTTCTCCGAAAGGCGTAACGTCGTGGCCGTTTTCAGACTCCAGCAGCGCGTTTAGAAGCGATGTCTCTTTCTCATTACGAGGGGGATGCGTATCGGATTTATATGGCGAAACGTGGATTCCACCGTGAAGAGTGAGAAGCTGATCCGTGAAACCGTCGAGATTTCCGGATACGAGATTGAGACTCTTCAGGGCCTTCTCTAGCTGAGAAAGAATCGCTGTCTTTCCACCTGCTAGGCCTGCCTTCTCGAGAGACTCGTTATCTAGCTTGTCCAGAAGCTGTTGCGCCAACGTTGTCATGGCCCACTCAGCATTGGGACGTAGAATACTTCGTCCGGAGACAGTACGCTTGTGTAGATCCATCATGTCGAATGAAGAGATGTTGACTCCGGGAGCGATTCTGTAGTCTGCAGTACCATCGCTTAATCTCTGCAGTGTCCAGAATCGCTTGGGCAGATGGTAGTACTCAATCTCCCACTCTAGGAACAACACACGGCATGGTTGCGTATCATTCCAGTGAGTGTCGGCTTTGTTGTAGTAAGCAGGTCTAGGCGCCTTCATCTTCTCTGGATCGCCGATACTCAAGGCATACGCCCACTCTTGCATTAACGCATCAACTCCGACACGGACCCATCCTGGTGCTGTGTAGTTGAGAGCGTTGAGGCTGTCCAGAGACTCAAACAAGTCTGGAAGTCGCATGAGGCCCTTGTTTGACTTTTGTGCATCGGTGATCTTCTTGACTAGTTCTGGATTCTGGAAAAAGAGCTTCATGCCGTGAACCATGCAGAGCTGATGATTCGCATCGCCTGACTTGGCTCCCACCAGCTCCTTCAACCACTGCTGTACGAGCTCAGCGCCCTGCTTTCCAGTGAATGGCAGTGAGCTCAGTGGTCTAGCCTTGTTGTTCTTCTTGACAAGAAACTCTGAAGGCCACGCTGTACCAAGCCCGCCCATGATAATTGAAGGAGACGTGCGGCTGAAGAACTCTGATCGAGCAGTAGCGTGCATCCTTTCAGGATCGGCAGGTACTAGGTCCTGATTATACCTGCTGCGCAACTCTTTGACGGTCTTCAAAGCTGCTAGATCTTCGCGGATTCTCTTGCTGCATTCCGCGCGAATTGAAGGCTCTGCCCATCGACCTCCTGTTACACGGGCCCGACGCTTCCACCACTCGCAGAAGAGGCGATGACGAAGGTATCCTTCCTGACGGTCCAGAGCATCTATGTAAGCTTGGAACCTGTCCGCTTTGAGCAAGGCTATCATTTCTTTCGCGGTAGGAAGACGCAGTTCCTTCATCTTGTTGGGGTCAATGGCCTGGTCATTTCCATCCGCCGAGACATTGTCATTATTGAAGCGCCATTTCTTGCCTCCATCTGTAGGCTTGAAACCCGCTCTGAGGTTCTGCGGTACGTGAGCGTCGAGAAGTCCGCCTTGACCGGATTGTCCAATTGCCATCTTCATCTCGTCGATGAGCGCAATCCAGTCGCTGTTGCTCCAGGGCTTGCGCTCCTGTTTCTGATTGTCGCCTTTCTCTTCCACGGCGATAATTTCCTCTGGCAAAGCATGAAGATAGGCCTCGAGCGCTTCCAGGGAGTCTGACCCCATAGCTATAGGCTGCTTGCTGCTCACGTTCCTGGCGATATTGAGCGCCTCAGACTCTTTGGGTGGTGCATTTCTTGTCCACTTAACATTGTACATGGCACCGTGGGTAATAGATCTTCTCTCGTCATGCTGCGAATGAAATGTCGAATGATAGCCAAACACAGCGTAAGAGATAGTCGCAGACGCAGGCTGGATAGTTTTACCAGCGCTGTCTTTCCATGAGACATCGTCGTGAATGGAGAAGATATTTGAGTTGTGATGCTGGAAGTCTGCGAACAGAGGGTTCGCAGAGTCCAACAAGGTTAACGGCGAGTGGTAAATGCCATTGGGATCAGGGTCATTCCAGTCATCGTCAAATTTGCGTCTCATACCCATAAACACATCGACCTGCTTTTCCACTGAGACTTTCTGGTCAATGAAGGGAGAAGCCTCTGTCTCGACATCGAAAGTATCGTCTGTGGAAGGGTCAAAATGTCCGCCAAAATGGCGGATGCGATTGCTCTCAACTATGAAAGCCGCCAACGCAGGAGCGCCGGGTTCAGAAGCTTCAGTGATGCATCTGAAGACTATCCAACGATCTGGCAAATGTGTTTGCTGTCACTGGTCAGTCATGACTGTTTCGACACAATATTGGATAATTGCTACACTTACTGCGACATCGCCTGCCTTCTCATCGTCAGTATCCTCCGTTTTTCCATTACGGAAATGCTGCGGCAGCGTCCAATGGAGATAGACGCCCAATCGCTCTTTGCGCAACATGCCGTCATAGACATTTTGATCATTCTTATCAATTTCCGGTCTTTTTGTGATATCCGCAATTCGAGAGTTTGAGTACCATGGATACGCGCCGTCAATGTCGACATTGGGGATTGCATCTGGCGCTGAGAACTCTCCCGACAGGAATGACGAGTTGTCAGGTCTACTTAGTGGTGCGATAAAGTGCTCTTTGTTAAAGATGTGCTGATTGAGAATGAAGGCATCGAGGTTCATGGACCAGCAATCAATGTCTGTGGCCTTCTTGATGGGCTTTTGTGGTTTGGGGGCGTCTGGCGTCTCCAAGTAAATTGGAGTTTCTTGCTCATCTTCTGACACATCTGCTGGGTCGACTGCTGGAGTTTTAGAAGCCATCGTCGTTGTCATTGTGAGAGTATGCGCCAACAAACTTGATGGAGAAGGGACAGTGGTTTGGTCGTATGTTGGCGATAGTGAAGATGGTCGTTATGGTCAATGGCGAGTAATCAACCTCAAGCTTTCACATACCTACCTACCTCACTGGCAATCAGATGCGCAGCACTAGATACCCTGTCAGTTCTAGCCATCACTAGTATCTAATAGCACGGAAGCAACACTCGTAAGATGCTAGCTAGAGCTCATCCAGCTTGCGATACGCGACTGAGACACACAGGCCGAGGCCCAGTTACCAACCACTCTTTCAGGGTCCGGTCCTCAAGTCATCAAACAGTGCGGCACACACGGTATACTTATGTCCCTCAGCGGAACATTTCCCCCAGAAGCCTACGGGAAGAACGGCAACACACTACCAAATGCTTGGTTAGCGTCTCCCTGTTTCCCCTTATAGCGGCTGGCTGAACGGCCACTAGCGGCCCGGGAGCTGGGACGCTCGCTAAGAAACGCCTAGTCCCAAGGGCTAGCTCAGGGCGTGTGCATCGATTTGCCTCTGTTGCTCAACCGAAACGGAAACGCCGTATCCGCTCAAGTTCTAAACGGGCAAGTTCCCAGGCGCGTGATTTACTATTTCGATAGTTTTGATGCAGGTCTCATGTTCTAGTGATCTCAGTTATATTCCGCTTGGCAGGGGATAGATGCAGCCAACAAGGGCTCGAGTCTAGACACGAATCGCCTTTGAAAAATCGCACGCTCCAAGGCGAGATTGGCACCATGGCCAAGGTGATTGCCATTGACAGGCTTGCTTCGTGTAAGCTCTGGGGATCCTGTGTTGTGAAGCCTTCATTCTCATTCCATATCAAAGGCACCTAATCAATTCTGCAGTTGAGCTTGGCCAACGGGTCTTCATTGAACATTTTGCTGCCTTTCTCATCGTCATCATACTTCAATTGAAGTGGCAGGATGTCTAATACTAAGCCAATCGCGACGGCATCGTCCAGCAGTTCAACTGCCTACGACAATGCCGACGCAAAAGCTCGTCTTTACGCCTATGAGATTCCCCCAATGCCTCCGGGCGAATACGAAATCATCACAACTCAAGAAGTCAAATCCGGCAACGACACTGAGAAGCTGGTGTCAACACAACCCGTCACTGTCAAGGCGTGTCACCCATACGCCATACCACCAGAGCTTGTTCACTCATACTATCCGCCAAATCTGGGCACCGTGAGCGCAACAACGCTTCCTCATGTCGTTCTCAAAGGAGCGACACCTTGGGAGCGGTCGCAAACATACAAGGCGGGCACTGCTCCCACACCCTGGCTTGCATTGCTTCTTTTCACTGATGAGGATCTGTGTGTGCCTCCAGAGGTGACCAGCGCTGCTAAACCCTCAGGTACCCGGACATTCACACTTCCTCTGAGCCTTTTCAACAGTAATCGCTCAAAGTGGTGTCATAAGAATGACTACTCCGACACTGATGTCCCAGTCAAGGGCGATGGATCACCAGCAACTGCTGATTTCTTGTTTGTCAAGAGCAGCGCGTTCAAGATGTACTTTGAGCGTCAAGACTCAGCTGGCAAGACGGGACAGCAGGAAGGGGCAGACTTGGATCGCTATAAACTCCTCACGTACATCACGGACAGCGGTGTCAAGGATGAAAGTGGTCATGTCACCAATAAACTCAGCACGCTTATCAGTCATCGCGCGAGGCCATATATTTCGGAAGATCAGAAGATCAAAGTATATGCGCACATCGTCTCAATTGAGACCTTGGATGGCCGCATTGACTGGAAAGCTGCGAGCCAGGCCTCAGCAACAGTAGCACTTGTCTCGCTGTTCTCCTGGACTTTTACCTGGGAGACGCACAATAAGAAACTTGAGATGTTCGAAAATCTTTCGAAGCAGGAGAACATTCGACCTTTGGCGATCAAGCTTTCTCCCGCAAATTCTGAAAAGCCAGATGATCCATCAGCTGCATGGGTCCGTCGAAGGGTCACAGAGGGATACACTATCGTGCGTCATCGCGACATCGCCGGTGAATCATCCATGGCGTTGTACCGAGGACCGCTTATTCCAGGTTTATCGCGCAAAGCGCGCATCAAGCCAAGTGTCCATGGAACAGATCTGCAAATCATCGACACATCAGCCAGAATTCTCGACATCTCGTACAACACGGCCTGGGAGCTAGGCCGAACACTCGCCGGTCGAGATGCTAAATTTTCGATGGCCATCGCCTACCTCCGCCGAAAGCTGTGCATGAAGGCCATAACGAAGTCCAAGATCTCTGCGAACGAGGATCCCGATAAAGCCAAAGACGCAGAGAGTGAGCAACCGCAGCTCATGCACAAGGCGGATGCCGTTGTTGATAGCGCGTTGTCGAAACTTGATGGGCTTTTCAAGGGCTCTGTGGCGGCAAAGATGAAGGGTCTGCCGAGAGATGGAGATTTAAGATGGCAAGTCCCTGCTCCCGCAGCGACATCCATGGCCGCAGCGCCAGGCGTCATGACCTTTGAGAAATTGCGCAGACATCTTGAAAGCGCAGCTAAACCCTGGCTTGAAGCTAGGACTCTGGAACTATGCAAGGCTACGCCTGTCGTTTCTTCAATTCCTCAACTGGGTCTCGTGTTCAACTGGCTCATCGACAATCTCATGTCGTTGAAATTGGTCCCAGCGACGTATCTGTTCCCAGACCCAGCTGTCCTTGCGGAAGAGAGCGTCAACTGTTTTCTCATAGATGACATTTGGATTGATGCTCTCGTCGACGGCGCGATGAGTCTAGCCAACACTATGGGAGGAGGTAGTGATCCTGTCCGCGATCTTATTCGCTGGGTTTTTAACTTGTATCTCGAAAGGGCACCAGCAGATCGTGTGCAGATCGGTGGCTCAGGCTTCATCGTCCGCAGTGGTATCGTGGAATCATTCCCCGATCTCGAGATGACAATCACCACCAAACGTCCAGGGTCAAATGCAGAGATTCCTCTAAGCTGCGCGTACCGAACACGTAACGAGGACATGATTCTCTGCCTCGTCGCAAGAGGCCAGGGGCAGAGATTGGTAGACTACACTGTCAAGCTCAAGCTACCGCCACACCAGCAGCGGTACAGTTTGGGAAGCGTCGACAAAGACTCGATGACATTTGTCTGCGAGATGAAGCCATTCTTGACGATGACGGAGGAGTTCAAAAACGCTTTGCCAAAATCCGAAGTAGAAAAGAGAATCCAATGGAGCAGGACTGGTGTAATCAGTCCTTCTGGTTTCCCCATCAAGCCTATCTGGAATCATGACACCGGCGTCCTCACTCCACATCTCGTGGTCAATATAATGGACCACTTCATTGACCAAAACAAAGACCGTGTCTGGAAAAAGCCAGCTCCTGATTCTAAAGTGGTGTATACCGCGACGCAGCTACTGGAGCGCGATTACTCCATTGAACTCAATTTCAGTGTGACCGCCGGCAAAGAGAGCAAGCCTCGAAGGATCTTCCCTGAGCAGCCAGATCTTGAAGAAGATGGTCGCGAATTAGCAATTGAGCATCTACCTGAGAATAAAGAAGCCAAGATCAAGTCGTGGTTCAAAAAGCTAGCCTTTTCTCAAGACTCCCCAGGCCGCAACATACCGCCGCAGTCCAACACACCTCAAAACATCGTCTTCTCCATCAAAGCTATCCCTACGCTCAAGAGCAACATCCTAGCAGGCACAGAAGTATTTGCCATCGAAGTCACCATCCCCATTGGCGAAGACCCATCCCATCTTCTCGACCCTCTAGCACCATTACCTTCTGTGCGCGCCATTGGGCCAAGACAGCAGTGGATTGCGGCTACGACACATAGAGCGGCTACGAAAGATTCGCCTGCTGAGATGGTGGTTCATTTGAAGCCCCGTGGGACGGTTGGAGGGGGTGCTACGTTTGCGGAGGGGCTGGATGCCAGTTTCATGCTGATGAGAGCGACGGTGAATGGTGTTGTGGGTAATGATGTTGAGATTAAGACGAAGGAGGTTTATGGCAAGTGGGAGAAGACTAAGAATCCTCAGGGTAAGGAAGTTTCTGTATTGTCTACGGTTGATGTTATGGATAAATGGACGCTGCGCAAGGAATGATGAGGAGGGTTTTGTATAGATTCAATATTTTCTCGACTTTTACTGGAATTATCTCACTCGAAAGTCGGTTTTCTTCACGAAGTGTACCATACTCATCGGGCTCGATATCCAAATATCCTATCTTCAAATATCCACCCCGAAGTACTTATTCATTACCGAGTAAAAGAAAGAAAATCTAGAGAGGGCTCTATCTTGAAGATTTCTCAATAGACTTCAGCGTCTCTACCAACCTGGGCGGCCGTTCATTCAGCATAGAAACTCCAATCTATTCACGAGAGGCAGCCTTAGGGTAGATCCTAGCCAACATCAGCCGCAGCTCTCGTTCCGAAAATTCTCACAGGGCACTTACACAAACAGCCTAGGGCCATGCACCCTTGTAAAGTCAATGGCCTGGACGCCAAACCCCTAAAAGCTTGTCTTGCACGCCCCGGGGAAATGGTTCGAGACCCTGCATGCAGCTAAAGCTCAGCTCTCGTCTTGCCATCCCAAAATGGTCTTCTCCTCCACGTGGAGGATGCTCTTTTCGATAGTTTCGTTTTATCTAAGACGAAAGAAGAGCCGACGTTCGCTTACGCCACCTATCACGTAGCTCCTTGAGGGCCGTATCGACGCCCACATCGCGAGAACGCCTCGACTCTACGCACGAACCAACGGCTGATGCTATACGCAAGCGCCCGCTCCTGGAGACTATTGATTCACGCATTGACTTATCGAACAGCGGAAACTCCGGTCTTGCGATTAGAACTAGTTGCTGCATGTCTCGAGTAACAATGTGATGGCTGGAAGAAAGCTGCATATGCCGATTGGGGAGTATTGGCCCTCTTGCATCTGAGCAATTGAAACCCTGATGCCGCTCAAGTGACTTACACGAGCAGGGATAGACAAGGGGCGACGCCAGTGTTCTAGGCCGTGGCTGAAGGCTGTATCCGAAATAGCTTGCAGTCCGGGGTTGTCCAGCTTTGATCGGCATGTACTCTCCTCGGCCTGAGTGCGATTGAGTATCTGGCCGTTCATCTCATCCAGCTCCCCAAGTGACAGACCTTGGCACTGAATACAGTCTTTTTCAAATCGCAATCTTTGTTCATAGCAGACGAATGCTCATCTCGAGCATCGCAGCTTTGGCCAAGATACAATGGCCCACCCCGTTCATGGAAGACGATCGGCCAGCGACAAATGGCCACCGTCGCTTCCAGACCAGCAGGAAACTCTGGTAGACAAGACATTTGTGTTCGGTGCTGATGAGCTTATTGCTTCCACCTTAGTTGGGCGAGGCAGCTTGCTTCACAAGCCTGGCAGGCTAGTAACGCTCAAAACTCGTGTAAGTGATTTCATTCCAGTGTCGCGAGCATAAATTAATTGAGATGGCCAGTCTATAACTTCAAAGAGCTCAGACTCTGATGAGAATACACACGCAGAAGCTGCTGGTGGTATCAGAGTCGTGAGCACTCCTGGGCGTTTCTTTGGCGAAAGGGACTGGACACGCTCTACAGTCAAGCGCAAACAGGACCATGCTTCATTAGATGCCGATTTTGATGATCATTCTGGGCACAATCATCGTGAGCGCCACAGGCATCGTCAAGTCAAGAAATGGCTGGAAGATGATGAACCGCGTGATGACGTTCCGCGTCGTGCCAAACCAGGTAGACGATCACTCGGCCATGGTCGGCCAGTGATAGGAAGGGTTGGCGATGGTGACAAGCGACCCCGAGCTCCTTCTGGGGGTTCTCGCTATGCATCGTCGGGTACACAGACAGCCGGCGGATCAGCATCGCCTCCTGCTGGCGATAGACCTGTCCTTCCCGGACAGACTGGAGGTGACAAGCCTGTAAGGACTGGTTCTGGTAGTCCATCTACGAGCTTGCCCACCACAGCTCCAATATCAGGAAGCGTGCAGGCACCAAGCGGAGGATCGCCTCCAGTCACGGCAGTTGATCCAAGATTGGCAAATCCTCCTGCTGGCCCTGTGGCTCCAGGAACAATTGCTGGACCTGCCGTTCCTGCCGTCAAGCCTGATGTTCCTATCCAGTCAGGACCGGGTCTTCAGCAACCTGCCCACACTGGAGGTTCTGCAACTTTACCTGCGGCTCCTCCAGCATCGAGTGGACAAAACATCCCACCACCAGTCTCTGTCCCAGGTGTTCCAGCTGTTCAGCAACCTAACCGTCCTGGAGATGTAGCAACTCTACCTGTGTCTCCTCCAGTATCGAGTCAGCCAAAGGTCCTGCCACCAACGTCAGCTCCCGCTGGGCCAGCCGTGACGCCCATTACAAACCCAGCTACAACCGCCCCAGGCTTCCCTTCTCCTCCGCAACAACTCATACCCCTCAAAGACCAATACATGCTCGCAGCAACGGGCCAGACAACTCAAATTCGCAGTGCAACGCCGGGTATCAGCGCTGGTACTGTCCCGTCTGACCACATCGTCTTCTCAACCCCAGACACCGGCACACAAGCGTTTCTGACCTCGTCAGGACCCATAGTCTTTGAGACTTCCCTGGAAGAAATCAAGAAAAACATAAGCGAGTTCCCGCTGTCGCTGAGTGATCCTCTGAGACGCGACTTTAGCGCAGCCTGGAAACTTGATGAGAATGCATCTTACCTTCAGAGTGCTGATGTCAACTTGAAACTTGGCTCAGATGGCAAATCTCTCGAAATGACCGGGCTCAAGGTCAAGGTATCCAAAGATACAAGCGCTCCGCTCGTGTTCTCTACCGATGCCAAAGTGCTCAACGACGAGTTTGAAGCGGGCTTCTCTCACGGTTCAAAAGATACCAAGATTACCACGCTTACTGGCATTGATCGCTACCCCGGCCATCTCCTACTCGGGTTGGAGACAGGCTCTGCCAACGGTGGCTTCAAGGATCTTGCAGATCTTTGTGCAGTGGCTCATATCAGCCCCAAGCCTTGGCTTAAGATGTTGCTTAAAGAGACCGCAATCACATTCGGTGCTTTGGCTGGTACGCCAGCTCGCAACGCGATGTGGTATATTCCCGGTTCAGGATCTAAATGTTGTTTCCGACTTGAGGCTTCTCTCAATCTGGGCGGGAAACTAGCAGGTTTACTGAACAAATACCTCGCTGGCTGGAATGATCACATTCCCCCGCTATCTGTCATTGCCAAGAGGACTGTGTCACTATCCTCTGGTCCTTGGGGAGACGCCTCCACTATCGGCGAGCTCACCATCGCTGCAGAGCCAGACATCAAGGGCGAGAAGCGCGCTATGGGTATGTACGTGACCATAGGAGAAGATCACATCAATGTGTTCTTCGTCTGCTACTCGAAAGCGCTTCAGTGGGAAGCTCTCAAGGCTTGGGTCAGAAAGAGCTGCAGCGAAGTAGGCGCTGCCATTGACGACTTGGAGAAAGTCCTTCTTAATACTGGTCATGGCTCCAAGGCTCAGAATACGAGCACTTCTCATATATACTGGAGAAAGGCGACAGTCACTCTTCTGAACGACGGGAAGGGCGGTGTAAGTCTTGCCGGCATGCGCCTGGAGCTGGAAGCTTCTATGGAAGTGCTTGTTCCCAAGGATAAGCATTCAGTCTTCACTTTGGACTTCATCTGGACTAAAGGTACTGGAGAGTTCTCAGGCGAATGTGAATTTAGTGGTGTTGGCAATGTACTAGGAAGGGGTGACCCGCCATTGCAGTACTATCTCGACTACGAGCGGTGGGATCAGTTCTCCTATCTTGATCCGTCGGAGCCGTTCATGTCGCTACGTTACCTCGACAGTAGCCTCGTACAGAACTTGCCATTTGGTATTCCCACTGAGATTACCGAAGCTGATCTCTACGTTTCTAACAAGAGTCTGAGCATCAGTGGTCGTCTTGAAGCTTTGATTGGAAAGCCAACCGAGACTTCTGTCGTCTCTGATCCTTCGAAGATACCGTCTCTACAGATCGCTCATACTATGCTGGGCTTCTCAGTCGACTACACCTACGCTTCAAAAGAGTTCAACATCATGCTTGATGGGTCCATCTCCCTTGTGCCCTTCAAGGAAGGCGATCCCCCGCCATCGCTGGAGGCCATGATAATGTATTCGTCACAAGAGAGCCAAGTCGCGTTCTCTGCGAATGCATCAAGCATTCCCATGACAGCTCTTCACTCTTTATTCGCTGCAGGCGAAGAGAAAACACATGCGATGTCGATCTTGGAGAGGATTGAGCTACAGCGCATTGCTCTTGAAATCACGGCCGGTAAGGGACAGCCAGCTCGGATCATCTTTGAAGCGGACCTCAAGATCGCCAGTATTCTACTGGAGACAAAATTCTCGCGTACAGATGCCAGTAATTGGAGTCTAACTGCCGAATTACATAAAGAAAACACGCCTGCTGGTAAGGCGTCGAAGCAGTTCACACTCGGCGAAGCTGTGCAAAAGCTTCTGGGCCAGGAAGTCCTAGACATCCTTCCGGGTTTTGTGACAGGAACGACTTTCAAGGCATCTGAGCCTGGAAAAGACAAGTTTGACATTGTAGTGACTCGTCTCAATGGCGCAAAGTCACATCTCGTTCTCGGCGCAGAGCTCAAGTTTGGCATGCTCCACGTCCAATTTGCACAGTTGGTTCCTATTACTGGCAAGGCAGATAAGTCCTCGCCTACTAAGAGACTGATACGTGTGTCACTGGGCCCTCTACCTTCCATATCGAAGCTGCCCATCCTCGGAAATCTGGACATACCGTTTGATGCGCTCGAGTTCCTCTGGGTCAGCACCATGTTCACACCCGAGGATATTAGTACCCTTAACGGAAGTGCAAAGATGTTCCAGGAGCAGCCATTCAAGATGAGATCTGAAGACAAAGAGTTATCTGAAGGTTTCCACTTCCGCCTTGTCGGTAGCCAGGGCGTCTTCCTTGACCATGTCTTTGGCCAGGACAAGAAAGAGGAGAAGAAGAGTCCAGCAGGTGCAGTCGCTCCCGGCTCCAAGGCAACCCCTGCTCCTGTCCAAGAGAAGAAGCCATCCACAGAAGCAGTTGTACCTGGTGGCGGTGGACCCGCGACAACAGCCGCGCTTGCGAAGAAGAAGGGGCCTCTCACTCTCTCGGGTATCTCGTTGTCCTACGAGGACGGCGTCTTGCGTATTCATCTTGATGCTAGTGTTCTCATTGGGCCAATTAGTGCTGGTATCCAGGGTCTCAACCTTGTCGTCAGGCTCAAATCCGACGAGATCCGCGGATTACACGATATTCTCCATGTCCCTATTGACGTCGAGGTAGAGGGTTTTGACATGTCATTCACACGTATGCCGATCCAAATCGCAGGTGCTCTACACCACAAGCCCGGCACTAAAGCGTACTTTGGAGGTGTTGCTATCTCATTGAGCACATTTTCTATCGCAGCACTTGGCTCGTATGAGCAAGTCCCAGCCAACACAGCAGCTGGTACACCAGAATATGATTCCTTCTTCATTTATGCCATGATGGAGGGACTAATTTTCACGATGGGCTGGGCTGAGGTTCGTGGTCTCATGGCTGGTTTTGGCTACAACTCTCGTCTCCGGCTACCTAACGTGGAGCAACTGTCCAAATTCCCACTCATCCAGGGATTCGAAAAAGAAGGAGGCTTCAATATGAACCAGGCTATACAGAACCTGACAGGCCCTGATGCTTTCGTGACGCCTAGTATGGGCTCCATTTGGTTGGCACTCGGTCTTGTCATCCGAGCTTGTGAGGCTATCGACATGCGTGCTGTTGCAACAGTGGCTCTCGGACCCAATCAAACTGACATTGGCTTGATTGCTCGTGCAACCGCTACCCTTCCTCGACGTGCGAGCCCCGATAAGGCTCTTGTTCTCATTGATCTCTCTGTGGTTGGAAAGCTCGACCTTGTCAATGGCGAGCTCTCGGTTGACGGTCTCATCAATCCCACCTCTTTCATTCTCAATAAGGATTGCAGACCATCGGGTGGCTTTGCAATCAGAAGTTGGTTCGGCAAGAATAACCCACACTCAGGTGACTGGGTGGTCAGTTTCGGCGGCTATCATCCTATGTACCAAGTTCCAGCGCATTACCCTCGTCCACAGCGATTAGGCATCTCGTGGACGCTCAGCTCAAACCTCAGGGTCACTGGCAATGCATACGCAGCTATTACACCAGGAGCCATCATGGCGGGAGGAATGCTTCAAGCTGTCTTCTCCGCTGGTCCTCTTGGTGCACACTTTGATGCCCATGCCGACTTCCTGGTCAACCTCAAGCCGCTGTACTATGTGGCCGATATGGCTGTGTCTGCGGGCGTGTATTATGAGCTTAGAGTCTGGTGCTTCAGAAAGAAGATCTCTGTTAATGTGGGAGCTTCTCTACACCTTGAAGGACCACCAATCCACGGCAGAGTACACTTTGATCTGTCCGTCGTTAGCTTCACCGTCAGCTTTGGTTCTGGAACATCTGAGGGCAAGAAAGCGATCAGCCTACGTGAGCTTATGGATCTTGTGCTACAGGAAGCAGGTGACACTCGGAGAAAGGAAGATAATGCGATTCTTAACCCTCATACATTCACAGCTGTGTCTGGTCTTCTTGGCGATGATAAGAAGAAGAGTGACACTGTCAATAAAGCCCCGCCTAACAAGGTGACTGCCGAGAAGGAGTGTTGGCACGTCCGCAGCGACAACTTCATCTTTTCTGTTCGAAGTGCGGTACCGACCAACTCCATTGGAATCGAGGGTCGTGGTGCTTCGCAATACACCGGCAACTCCATTATCAGCAGACCTATGCAGATGAAGAAGGACACAGGCGACTCTTCGAAGATCAAGTCGACGCTGAGCGTCAGAGTCCAGAATAAGGAGGGGGACAAGATCGTTCCCTTCCGCGAAGTAGCCAAGGTTGAAGATAAATTGCCAGCCAACTATTGGGGTCCCTACTCTGAGAACACAGCAGACTACATGAGGCCTGATAGGATGCCCCCGACAGTCTCTCATCTAGTTGGTGCGACTCTGGTGCCGCCACCACCCGCCGCTCCTGAGCAGTCCATCCCCGTGTTCAAATCCATGCCAGAGACCTACCCAGCTTCGAAATGGGAGCCCAAGAAATTGGAGAAGCGAGTTCGTTATCTAGATCATGCAAACGCTAGAGACAGCGTCAAGTGGTCTCGCGTCAAGGGTGCCATGGGTTTGGAACCCGAGGCAAAGAGGGAGAAGCCTCCTATGGACCCAATCCTACTGACAGAGACCGGAGCGGCAAAGCTGGCTGCTGCTACCAAACCTCCCTTGACCAAACCATACCGTCAAGGCATTTTGGATAGCTTCATCAGCCTGGCCCACGGTGGTGAAGACGAGGAGAGCCGCAAGGTGCAGAAAGCCTACAAGGGCATTGGTGATAATGTACCCGATGTCATCTTGAACGACCCCCAGCGCTTTTACATCGGTCCTCCAACAGTGTTCTGCAACTAAAGCTATTTTCTGTTTTACCGTTTATGGTCTCTACAATGACCGCTTTCATTTTGTATTGTTTAAGAATATGTATATGCTTCTTGTACCTAAGCCAGCTAGTTCTCTTTAATGCATTCGAAAATGTTCGCCAAACATTTGGGTCATTCACCATGCATTTCAGCCTATAGCCGGCTCCGACTGCACTGATGAGCTACCTAAACCACGTACTGATGAGTAGCAAAGCCAAAGAAAGGCAGACGTAGGGAACAGAACCCTGGGCTCGGTTCATAGCTCGGCAGGAGAGCAGACCGCTGAGAAATCAGCCTTGGGCTGCCTGAGTCGGAGCAAACCTGCCGCGTGGTCCAGACAAAGCGATTCGTTGCCGGAAGGCCGTAGTCGCTATCTCTAGACTTGTGATCAATACTCTCCGGTCTAGACCTACATAGTTTACATACGATGAGATAGTGCGTCTGTTTCAGCAAGCCCGGTTTCCTGCACCCTGGTCGGACACTCCTCTCTCTACACCCCGGGCGTGTGGCGACCCTCGAGCTGCAACTTTGCAAACTATCGATTCTCGGACCTATACCCTGTAAGTGTTCCCTCCCCTGCAAGACTTTCTACTCCTAAGGGTCTTACCTACTGGAGTTCTTTCGTAGAGCTCTGTTGCTATCCTGCCAAATGTCGAGACTTTGACTTCTTGAACACCCGAAACCTCGAAGGTCATCACTGCAACTTATATGCGCAACTGGATATCGGAAGTTTCGCAACATCATTTTGCAACCCTTATACCAGTCTCTTTAATTTGCATTATCGTGGACAGTGGCTGTCCTGGGCACAGAAAGTCCTTTCGACTACCTCCCCGAACCGGACAACTCGAACAAGATGGACTCTGGGGATGAAGATGAGATCGTGAGGGGGCTCCTAGGAGATAAGGCAATAAAGAAATTGAAGAAAAAGGAGGGCGGCTCTTATTGGGAAAAAAGCCCAGTGAAAACCAGAAAGACTGTGAATAAAAGTGGCTGGAAATCGAACGGTTGTAAGTCCAATCAACCAAAACGATCGAGATACTCGGACTGATGGTTTGATGAATAGGTTATCCCTTGAATAATAAGCCGACGGCCTATCAACAGCAGAAATTCCAATTTAAAACCTTAGCAGATGGTGAAACTCTCACATACGACTGTACGAAGCATCGTCCTCATGACCAAATAGACACGGGCTGACAAATATGCAGGCTTCATGCCGACTGGGGAAAGCTACGAGTTCTTACCGTGTGCTCCTTGGCGGCTCGAGGCTGAGAAGGTCCTCGGTTATCAAAGATTTCGTGGAACTGACAGAATCATGGAAATGGAGGGATCCCCGGCGGCTAAAGTAAAAACTCCGTCACCGCCCAACTTCACATATACTGGGATTGCTTGGCTAATAGTATCTAGAACGGCCCCGAGAACGACTTCGTGCCATACAAGCTGCTTTTGTATAAGGGCTGGGACAACGATAAACCATTAGACGATGACCGGCACCGTTTTGTGTACCTGGCAGAGAATAAACCTGGAGAACCGGTAGTAGGTGACTGCTTCATTCGACTGGAGGAAATCCATGAGCGTATGAAAGGTGAAGCAACCGACTATATTGATGATTGTGCAATGTACAACGAGCGGGCAGAGGCTCTTCACGCCTTAACAATAGCGAAGGACAAAGACAAAAAGGAGGAAGCACTTGAAGACTGTAAAGAATTACAGCGACAAGGCAAATGGGGACTCAGGTTTCGCTGCTGGACTGCTGAAGGCAACGAATGTACTGAGAGTGAGAATAGGCTCCGCAACCGCCTTTTCACCAACAACGTCTATCCTGCCAATGACAAGTATGATCATTTTGCCGTGTTTAGAGTCTGGGCAGGTAAGTCGCATGTTCGCCTGGAACCTGGCACTAACGTTAGACTGACTTATTTTGCAGAACTATTGCGCAAGTCACAGGGCGACAAGTTAGCAGCAAAAGACTTCTTTGGTCGCTACTGGGATGCCGTCATTCCAAATGATTGGCGCCATGTGTTCCAGGACGGGTTCAAGATCATCGTGGGAGAGAAATATTTCCACGATCGCCGGCACGGCCCATTGAACTATCAGAACGGTGATCACCGCATCACTGTGAGATCAGAGGTTCTCAATGGGGTCCAACGTGCTGTGAATGCACCTCGCCTCAAGTTCAAACCTCCCCTCTTCCTCGTTAATGTCGTTTTCGAGGATGAGTTGGGCGCACTTGGCATTCATCAGGGTACTTTTGCGCCGCGCTTCGACGAAGCTGGATGGAGGTACCTTTATGGTCATCCAGGAAACCTTTACCAAATCGTTGTGAACTTACCAGTACGGGAGTTCCTCTGTCTCGACACTCATAAGAAGCCATTCTGGGAGGATGGATATGGTAACCCTCTACTGGAAAATGCTCAGAAACTTCAAAATCGTCTGAATAAATGTGGGAAGACAAAGGAAACAACAACTGTTGTCAACAATACTTACATAAATGGCGTAAAGAACCAAAAGAGATCCCCAACGCAGGACAGATGTGTGGCTGAACCTGGATATTCTGCGAATATGGTATGTAGCAGTCTCTTGAGGCTCCCTTCACATCTGGTTCCAGTTATTCTAACTCTGACAGGCCATGTCGGATGCATATCCAGCATTTTATGCTACCGGTGCCATCGCGAAGAAACGAAGGGTCGCAGAGGTAAGCATTGTCCATTCTGGGTCCTTGTACACAATACTGATAACAGTAGTGGCTCCATAGATCGGCTTTTAGTTACGGGGGTTACATAAATGGGGTTGCGAGTTCTTCCCAGGTCGCTAATAATCTCGTCCTCGGCACGCCTGCCACTAACACCGTTATGATGAGGCAAGCAGCTATATGGGGTCTTTGTGACTGATGGTGCCAAGGGCTGACAACATCGCAGATATGAAGCTTTTGTTAAACGTCTCGCCTTCTACGGAAATGCCTCCAACGGGAACGTCAAAGTAGACGAAAATGTGATGGTCAAAACAAAGATCAATTATACGGAACTCGCAGGGCCACTGGAGACATGGGTGGCTGGAGGCGAGCTCACCTGGTTAGCACCCGACCTTGGTTACGAGTACTACAACGCTATGAACAGTATACCTGTAAGCCAGAAACTACTTAAATGAAAGTATTGAGATTGCAACCCTGAATGCTAACACTACGCTCTACAGCACGTCTCTGTTAACCTGAGCTTTTGCCCTATGAATCGCGAGACTACTTTGTTGTTTCTATCCCTTCTTGATAGATCTTTGGAGAATCTGTGCTGGCATTGGGATTGCTGGGATGTGAATAAGGTTGTTGTTGAAGCGCTTCTTGAGTCTACTGGTATGAATGGGGATCAAGAAGAGACGAACAAGGACGAGGTGAAGGAGAAGCTTAGACAAGCTACGGCTGGAGACCAAGAGGGTGCATTGGACGCACAAGATTTGAACAATGCGGTTCAAAACCTGCTTCAGTAGTGGTCTTAAGCATTCAATACTAGCTAGTAAATCCGGTTTTAGATTCATCCATTTATTTATTCATTATTTCTCTTAAGTCTTTCTGTCTCACCATGTAAGACGGCCGATTCTTGTCGATACACTACAGACTTTCAAGCCGCGGAACACTCTGTCCAGAGTCTTCAGCAAGAAGTACTTTGCACAGGTGAACTTAACTGCCATAGTGCCAAACGAGTGTTTGCGTTCGGGTTCAGAGTGCGGAACCCGTGGCGGTTACGGAGAGATTGTTTCAACGAACCTCGTCTAGAACTTCACTCCGATCGTGACTACGAGGGCATATGGAAACTACCCATACCTCGGCGAGCCCCGAATGTGACTGTGACTGTGACTTCTAGATCGAGGCCTTGTGCGGAATGTTGTCTTTCCTGTGTCTCTTTCATGTTGAGAGCTGAAATTATTGATTCCAGCCTTCAATCGGAGCGTTGCTTTGATGGCGGGGTTAATTGAGAGGCGTCCCCGACATGTGCTGAAAAGACCCTTGGACTGCATTAGTGCAATAGCCTAGCGGAGTGGACTAAGTTAGGCTACGCAGCACGCGAACTTCAGGGGATACACCCCCTGTAACGCCGAAGGGAGCGCTACGGATGCCGCGTGTCTCGTACTCCGTGTGCGATACCAAGCACAGTACATGTGCGACTTACACCCGATTGCTAGCCCCCCCTCCACACCCAGACCAGTCTAGACAGAACAAGACGCAGCTGAAATGGAACTATCGAAAAATAAGCATGAATAGAGTGGCTGCGTTACGAGGAATTGACTCCGATGCCTGTTTCGATAAAGCGATGCAAGTGACTGGCTCCCTTGCGGCATTGCGCATGCTCACTCTCCGTTTCCCAGTTGATTCATTCACTTCTCGCTATTTTCTTTCAATAATTCTCCCATCACTTTTGCGAAGTTGAGATATCACCAAGAGCTCGAGTTTGACTGAGCTTGAGACCGTGTCAGAGTCGTCGCAATGCTGCAATCTCCTCGTAAGTAACCACAACTCACCTCTAATTGACTCTGGTCACGTCAGTTGATGCTAACTCTTATGATAGAAGCAGAAGAGGTTGCGTCGCAACTCCCAAAGGCTGCAGAGCCCTTGGTAGACATCACAGAGCTTGGTCCAGAGTCACCCTCAGAAGGCTCTGAACACAGCGAAGAACATGTCCAACCAATCCAAGATTCACATCTCGTCTTTGACGACGAGGTCGACACTTCAGAAGCAGACCTCACCATCGACACCGTCCTAGACAGAAGACTAAAGACAGCACCATTGCGTCCCCAAGGTCGCAGATCCATCTCCGGACAACAGAACAGAGACGTGAGCCATGGTTCTCATGGCTCTGATAACAGCTTTGTCAAGAACGATGCGGATAGCACCACGATCCGAAGAGTTCACATCAGCTTGCCAAAGCGCAACAGTCGCAATGACTCGCAGCCTCTCTCTACAAGACGCACGATGTCTAGTGAAACTACAACTACTTCGGGCAGTTTCATCGGACGACGCGCTGTGAGCAGTCAATCCAACAAAGCGCTTTCTACAGAGGATCGCATGGTTAGAGCTTATAGTTCTCTCCGAGAGCTGCGTATGGCATGCACACTTCCTGCTACACGAGAGCGCGTTACAATTCATCATGTCTTTGATCTCATCGACAAGACTCGCATGAGACTCGTGCCTCATCAATGGAGTCTTGTCGACAGACGTCTAAAGCAAGTCCAGTCTTCAGCCGAGCGCATCGCTGATTTCGTCGAGCTTATGAAGAATCATGGATCTGATGCCGAAAGCGTCGCCTCCATGTTCTACTCCAGCTGCGAGCTTGCTCTTTCTATGCAGGGAAAGCTCACTAGTGCTAGCACGGCGCTGGATAACTTACTTGCTGTTTTCCACCGAGCCAGTGTTACAATCCAGCATGTGAGAGCTTCGGTGCCTGAGGGCGTATCGTCGGATAAGCTGTATAGCTGCTTGTCCAAGGTGCTCCAGTCGTTGCAGCAGATTTGCTTGGGCTTCATTGACATTCTAGATGAGATCAACAAAGGTGAGTCCTTATCGCTACCCTCATTCATCTCAGTATGCTAACGCTTTTGTAGCCGGTTCCCGTACCTCGTCGTCGCTTATCCTTCAGATCGAACAATATTTTGAGGCTGACCTGGCTTCGTTGTCCCTGGCTGCGCATTCAGCGTGCGAGGAACTCTGGATACTGTCGCTCAAGAGCATTTCCGACGGCTCGCTTGGGACCTGCCATGGGCCCGTACAAGACTGGCTGAATGGCAGTGGCCATGGTCATTGCAGCCATGGCTTCTCTCGAGGCCACCACGGAAGCAAACATGGACACTCCTTTGTCTTCGACTGCGTTGAGCCAGTGGTTGTTCAGTTCTTCAAGACCCCATCCAGGCTATTGCTTGTCGCTGGAGACGCTGGCTACGGAGAACAAGAACTCGTCTCCAACATCATTGAGCGTTTGCAATTGTCTCTGTCTCTGGATTCAAAGCTGCTTCGCGCGTCGGTTACCTCTGCGACCCAGGGCTCTTCGTCCGTTCGTCTACTCAAAGCATTGCTTTTCCAGCTTCTTGACCAGTCTATCGGCGACACTGGCTTGCTGGATGCTATCAACACTGTGAGGAAGCGCAGTGAAACTGAGTCAGCGGAGAAGACAGAGGACCTGCTGTGGGAACTTCTCGGTGACCGCTGCTCCAAGGCCAGTGGCAACGTTGCCATTGTAATCAACACCATTGACAGCCACGGAACTGATAGTTCTTCCAAGTTTCTTGCTAAGCTCCAAGCACTTACATCTAAGTGCGAGAATATCCGGTGTCTTGCATTGGCTGATGCCGATTCAGCGAGGTCTATCTCTGGCACTCAGATCTACACTCTGTCTCGCATGGATATTCGCAGAAATGCCCGCTCTTTCATGCAGATGGCGCTCTCAACCTCTGCTATACTCTCATTCCTTTCGGCTGAGATGAAGAGAGAACTTCAGAAGCATATCGCAGAACGACAATGGACGTCGCTGCTCGAGGCCAAGCTCATCCTTCGCCTGCTGGAAGCTGAGCATGACCTTGGCCGTATGACAGACATCATCTGCAAGACACCCAAGACTGTGCAAGGCATTCTCGACAGCATGCTGCTCAAGATCGACTACTCCAATCCCGATATGCAGTCTCTTCTCTCTTGGCTTCTTGTCGGAAAGCGAGCTATCCAGGTCGATGAGATGGAGCGATACGGCTCTGTCACTATGAGCAACTGGCTCAGAAGAATCCGTTCCGGCCGGTCCGTAAGCTCCAACTCTCCTCTTGCCAGCATCATCGCCATTCGCAGCGGTCGCATTCAGTTTGTCGATTCTGTTGTTCAGGCAAAAATGCATCATCTTGCTATACATGGCAAGATTGCTTTGTCGCTGAACTTGGCTCATCGACGGGTTGCGATTGACTGTCTTGAGCATGCGAAGAAGCATCTTCAGCAAGACAAGGTCGATATTGTCTTCCAGAATGTTTCGCAGACTCAATGGGCCACTGCAGCCTCGTACAAAGACTTTGATCCGCTCATGGCATATGCCGCCAGAAACTGGTATGAGCACTACGAGAAGTCCCTCTCTTCTTCTGAGAAGCTCTCGCGACATCTCCCCACCGACATATCCTCAAAAATGTCTGACTCAGTCTTGATGGCCCTCGCCGAATGGCACTTCCTCCGATCTGAAGGCGACAGCATCACGACAAACAAGCAACTGACTATGATTCTCTCCCTGCGAAAGGCCGCTTTTGGTGCAAATGCCAAGTCAGTGATCCAAACACTGATCAATCTTGCCCATTCGGATCTTCGTCACACCATCAGCATCGAGAGGTTAGTGGAAGCCTTCGAAGCAACCATCCTCACCTTTGAAGACCCCAGCCCCCAAGCTACTGCTGGTGCCAAGTACATCATGTCCCTGGTCAAGCCACACACGACACTGTCTTCCAAGAGCTCCAAGGTCTACAAGTACCTCTGGCGTGTTCTGAGGGCTGAGCTTGGAGAGAGTCATGATCAAACACTTGCCGTCGCGCAGAGGCTCGCGGAGCTATACAAGGCGGAGATGCGCTTCGCTGAGGCTGCAGAGATTCTGCACGATATGTATGTTGCTTGCTGCAGAACCAGAGGCCTCTTTGCCAGCAAGACTCTTGATCTGTTCCACGTGCTGATTGATGCGCTTGAGCACGCTGATGATATGGCTGCCGCTCAGCAACTGTGCCAAGATGTCTTCGATGCTGCGCCTACTTTGGAGACGTGGACGGATGCTGCCCTCTCTGCCATCACTCGCATTGTTCGGCACTATCAGGACCGCGGTATGTCGAGCGCTTCAAAGGGGGCTCTCCAGCAGTTATGGAGTCTACTCCAAGGTCAGCTGAACAAGGAGAACAATAACCACGGTGCCATTTTGGTCGCTTTTACCTCCGTCACTCTTCAGTTGGCGACAAAGTTGCGTGACTTGTCTCTGGAGAAGGAAGCCAGCACTACGCTGGTGACATTCTGGACTTCTGTCTCTAGGTTCGTGACGACCGACCGTCGGTGCGAAGTGACCACCCTGGTCAACCTTCGAGAAATCGCACAGCTTCTTCTCCGACTCGAGAAGAACCAGGAGGCACTGAGTATTCTTCGAGTTCTCTATGAGATCCACCAACTGCCCTCTCATGATCACTTCGACGAAATGCTGCAGGTTTATTCTGCCCTTATAGTCTGCTACAAGGGTGTCAAGAACCCCATCGAGGATTTCTTGTGGCTCAACATCCTCGACAGCATTCTTCATAGTACCCACGGCCATGGAGATATTGGATCAGACACGGTCTTTTTATGCAGAGATCTTGCTCATCTTCATCGCTCCCGCAAAGAGTGGAAAGCAGCAATTAGCATCTGTCGCAAGAGTCTTGAGGTCCTCTGGCCACAAGTCCTTATCGACGGAGGAAAGCTGCATCTACCAAAGACTTTTACTCGCGAGCGTATTGAGATTGCCATCATAATGGCTCAGATGTACAAGTTGACTGAGCAAGTCGCTCAAGGAGATATCTTGATCCAGTCCATCGTCAAGTGCTGCAAGTCGAGCGTGCTTCTCTGGCAGTCTTCAAGCCAGGACATTGCCCTTATCCTTTCTGGGGCTCTTGAAGACGCCGGCCTGCATCTTGAGGCTCTGGAGTTCTGGAAGTCTATAGTAGGCGATTGCAGAACCCACTTGGGTCACTCTCACTCATTCACACTTCACGTGGCTGCCGCAATTGTCCGTCTAAGCCTCCATCTCGGCACTATTATTGAAGATGACGACGACATTTGTGATTGTTTCGATGAGGAGCCCGATGAAGATGACGTCGCTTCAATCATTGTCCTCATAGAAGGCCTTCTTGCTCTGTGCAAGAGCCAGAGAGGCAAGGGCAAGCGAGAGAGCTACACGGTTCTTCTGCGTCGCTATGAGCGTCTCTGGTCGTACTATGCTGACCTAAGGCACCATGTCTCAATGGACGCTGCTCGTGGATTCGAGATATACATTGGCTACTCTCAAACACTACTCTCTGTTGGCAGCGTCTCAATCGCTGTACGCCTGGCTCGTAAGCTGAGGACCATTATGTTGTCGGATCTCGGACGGCAAGATATTTGGTACCTCAAGGCGTCGCTTGAACTGACCAAGCTTCTTGAGATGGATGACACGACTCTTCGTGAGGCTGTTGATATCTACGATGAGCTGAACGAGATCTGCCTAGGTCTGTCGGGCTCGGATGATGCATTTATCGAGATTCTACGCATCATTGAGGAGCGATTGAGTCTCCTTATGTCAAGCAAACCTCTTCTCCACGACAGAGCAGAGATCATCCTCATCAAGTCTTGGAGACAATGCGCAAAGAAGCACGGCTACGGTCATGAACGCAGCATCTCCAGCCTAAGGAAGATCATCGACTTCTGGGTAGTGAACCTCACTGTTGAGAACAAGAAGCAAGCCACATTGACCTTGGAAGAGGTCATTCTAGGAGTACTGAAGAAGGAGACGAATCCCAGGAAGCTGTTCCACCTTGCTGAGCACTTTAGCACCATGTACAAGCTTCTTGGCGTTAGCCATGGAAACCTGGCCTTCTTGCAGACCATTCGCTCTGAAATTGCGCGATTGCAACAACCCCAAGGCCTCTGCGGACAAGCGTACCTCGAGAACAAGCACAAGCGTTCTGTTACTTATGACAGAAGATGCCTGGTTCTTGTGTATGCCATGGAAGAACTCTCCAGGAAGAAGACGGAAAGCCTCTTTGGTGACATCTTGACGCGAGTCGTTGCTGAGACGGCGCTTTATGAGGCGTGGCTTCGAGCTGGTCAGCAAAATGATCAGCTTGGTAGTCTCCTAACAACCGGCTCGCGACTGATACAGCATCTCGAAGCTTACAGTCTGCGCTCCGAGGCAAGTGTCATTCAAGACGAGTTATGGAAGTTGTTCTGCCGCATGCTGGATCGACCAGAGGGCAAGGGTAGCTCAACATATCACCTTTTCCAAGCCATTCTTGCTTCATCTTCCGAACATGACATTTCCGCATCACTGTTGGAGGATGCCTTTGGGCTTATCCAGCAACTTGGTGATGCAGGCTCTCACAAGGCATGCTTCTACCTGTCCCAGTGGGTGTTCGAGTACAGTGAAGGTGGAGCCGATAGCGACGATAGCTCCTCTGCGCTGATACTTCTGAAATTGAGTACCTTGCTCTACAAGGTGTCTGAGATCGAAGTCGATGTTTCTCTCAGTGGTCTGATCGAAGAGCTGGCGACACAGTTGGGAGTATTGGCCATGAGCTTCACTTCTGACATCGATTTGAGTGTCTTGAGTGTTAGCCACCTTACATGCATTCTCAGCATCGCCGGCAAGCAGAACGACTACACAACTCTCAAGGTCAGTAACAATCCTCAATTCTGTAGTATTATACTAATCGCTGTACAGCGCATCCTCGAACTTCTATGGAACTCACGCGACCACTACGACTTCAACCTTGAGCCCACCACCACGATCGCCATTGGCAAGCGACTGGCAGAGGTTCATTTCGCCTGTGGAGAGCACAACACGGCATTCACTCTCCTCGAGGATATCAGCTATAACCTCAAGGATGTATATGGCGCGAACCATCCTATGGCAATGAGCTGTATGAGACTTCTAGCATCCATGCACGAGAGTCTAGGACACCGCACCTCGGCTATCGATGTTAGATTCCTCATGCTCAAGGATGCTGCGACATGGGAGGACGATTTGACTTCTCCAGGATCACAAGATGAAACTGTCGCCTTCTACTTGGATCAGCTTCAATTCTTGAGGAAGGGGTATGCAACCGTCGGACAGGACTACTCATGGCATTTGGAGCAGAACATGGATTACCTTGAGGAAATCACCTCCAAGGTGAAGCAATTGATCTCGGTGTCTTCTTCTTCTTATGATGTGGGAGATATCTTGGACCTAGAGGCCTGGGCTGGCTTAGATGAGGTTGTGGTGAATGAGGATGCATTGGATGTTTGGTGTGCACCTGAGGACTGGAGGGTTGAGATGGGGATGGAGGATGATGCTGACAGCTGTGCTTATTCTACGTCCTCGACTAACGTTTAATGTGTGGGATAGGAGTGTATCAATTGCTCAAGGAGTTCATCAGTTTGTTTAATTCTAGGCTTAACCAAGGAAGAATATGATCTTGAATGTTAATTGTGTCCTCAATCATTCCCCTCTGACTAGAAGCTGTATCGCGACAACGGATGAGTTAAATGGTCGGGGGTAATTGAGTACTGTCAAGCGCCGTTCTGATCAAGAAATAGGTCACTCTATGTATCATCGCTTGAGTCCATGTTTCTGAAACCAGTTCTGATGATGCTCCTCCTCCCACCTCTTCTCCGCCCTCCTCAACGCCGCCGAAACATCCCAAAAGTCCCTCTTCTGCGCCACATCCCTCGCCGTCCTCCCCTTATTATCCTTAATCGTCGGATCCGCCTTCCAATCCCTCAACACCCTAATAACCTCTCTCTTCTCATCATCCCCATCCTCCGCCACACTAGCAGCATAGTGCAACGGCGTCCGTCCATCAGTTGTACGAGCGTTAGGATCAGCGTGAGCGTCATCAGCCAGTAGTTCTACGAGTGCGGCTGATGCGTAGCGTGCTGCGAGATGGAGTGGTGTGCGGCCCCCGTTGGCGCGAGCGTTGGGATCGGCGGAGGAGTCGAGGAGGAGCATTGCTATGGCGAGGTGGTCGCGCTCGGCGGCGAGATGGAGCGGTGTGAAGCCGTTTTGGTCGCGGGTTGAGGGAGAGGCGTGACTAAGTGCGGAGTTGCAGGCTTGGATATCGCCGTTCCATGCTGCATCGAGGAGGATTTCTTCAGGGTCTTCTACAGGTGCTGGTAGCCTTGAAGGTTTAGCTTCCACTGGCGTCGGCTGCGCGGGTTTGATGCCTGTGGGTTCTTCCTTCTTCAATGGTACCTCTGTTGGTTCTGCATGTCTAGTCTTGGGCGATGGTGTTGGAAGATCGGCTAGGTCATCGTCAACCTTGAGCTTCACACCCTTAGGAGAACTTGGAGCCTCATCGGTATTCAGCTGAGCCTGGGGTTCACCGGCATCTTTCTCGGGTTGCGTTGGCTTGTCCTCTGGCGTTACATCCTTTGCGGTCTCAACCTTGGGCTCAGTTGACACATCAGAGGGCGCAGACCTCACAGCGTCTTCATCAACCGACTTCCGGTATCGACCCACGGGAGGAGGGTCCAAGTCAATTGAGCCCGCCCTTGACTTTGAGCTAGGCTGTGCTGTACTTGACCGTCTTGCATCAGGAGAATCTGAAGACTGCCCTGGAGCCGGGGGTGGTACTGGGTTGTCGAAGCCAGGAGGAACAGGTTTCATCAGAGCGCGCCTGGAATCAATGTCAGAAAAGCTGTGGTGCAAGTAAGTTGAGACATGACCTACGAGTAAATGTTGACCATTAACTTGCTGAGAGCCGCCAATTGCTTCTCCAGCTCACCATCAGCCAGCTTGATCTTCTCCTCCCACTCATCCTTATACTTATAAGAGTTATAAAACTCTTCAAGGCCACCAAACATAGTCCCCTCAAGCCCATCACTGCTAATCTCTTGTAGCAGCTTCGTCATTTCGTCCAGTGCGGTTGTCGCGTTCCTGATCGCTTCATCGATCTGCCTACGCATGGGCTTCGCATCATATCCCTCGATGATGTCAGGTCGTGCTTCAAGTGTGTTCTGGATCTGAGTGATCGTGTCCCTTGCTGTTGTCGCCTTCGAGGATAGCTCATGGATCTCCTCGGGTGTCTTTTGGAGCTTCATGAACCAATCTGTCCATTCTTTGGCCGTGTCGGCATGCTTGCCTAGTGCTTCGATACCAGCGTAGGCAGCTACGGCTTGAGGAAAATGCTTCATGAAGTCAAAGCCCTTCTTTTTAGGCTCATTCTCAGTGGGCTTCTCAGCAGGCTTGGCCTCCTTGTGCTCTGGAGACTTGACAGAGTGTCTTCGAGAGGAGGGCTGTGAGTTTCCAGCACCGGGATAGCTGGGTCTCCTGCCTGTCGCCGAGTCATGGGTTTCGTGAGAACGAAGCGGCGAGTTTTCTCTTGATCGAGGTCGCCCTCTCAGCATGTCTGCAGCCAAATGAGGCGCTGGTCTATACGCTGACGGGGGCGATCTCTTTCCCGCCCCGGGTGGACGTCTTGGTGAAGGCGGTTGCTCATAAGATGGACGTCTCCTTGGATCAGGTCGTGAGCTGTCCGTCGGGTAAGACCTCATTGGCGGACGTGCGACCGCCGGCTTTGGGGAGTGCGGGAACGGCGGTGTTTCAGGTCCATGAGGTCGAGGCTTTTGACGTCGTTCTGGAGTCGGAGATCGACGACGAGATGTAGGCCTACTCTCATCCTCCGACATCCAGTCCGAATCTCTAGTCATGCGCCGTCTAAGCGCCCGTTGTACAGGCGCAGGTGGAGGTGGTCTCGCTTGAGGCGACACAGACCTGAAGCCCGAGTCTCTTCGCCTTGGTCGCTCATAGTAGGATTGTCTCGGGCTTGATGAAGGTGGATATCGCGGTCGCCGACTTTCAGCTTCATAAGATCTTGATCTTTGTGCAGCGCCTACTCCAGGTGGAGGTCTTAACGGTCCCTCATTTTTAATCGTTGGTGGCGGATGACTTGGCGGGGGTCTCGAATAAGACGCGCTGGGTGTTCTAAGAGGCGGTCTTTTCGGCGCAGGCGCTGGTGCAGGCTGAGGTTTCGGTCTTGTAGATGACCTCAACGAAGGAGCTTTCTTTGGCATTTTACTCACAACAAATGTCCCAAATCTCACTCGCACTTTTACAAATATCGCTCAGGTACCGGCCTCTTCTTAAGAAGATCCAGATAAGCTAGCGACAGATAAAACAGGCCCCAGGGACCGGCATGACGCCATGGCATGCATGTCACAGGCCCTGTAGAAATCCGGGGCATCGAATTAATTGGTTCTGTAACGAGGGACGGGGTGAGCAGTGTGACGTGTCTGCTGATCCACCCTAGACCGGGGAATGATCAGAGACCCTTTCTGAGCGGGCCGTGACGGGGACCAAGGAAGATGGACTAGGGATCGATGTACAATTATATCATGCTATTCTGTAGAGAATATGGTTGGGTTGTTCAACTCTCAATATTTGGGCAGGCCTGTTGTAGGGCCTTGATCTTGAGATCTTGCAGATGCAGTGCAACTCTTGATGCACCAAACAATTTGGGATACGTCTGTGGCTGTGTTTGCGTGCCTGTCGCATGATGGAAGGCCTCATCTGATTCGATTGTGTTGCCTGCCGCTGCGTTATATCACATGATGCGCGAGTTACAATGGGAGGATTGATGCCTAATCCTGGTGAGTTCAAGTTAGTCATGTAGGACGATTGTCAGCTGCCAAGATCACAATCCCAGTACACGAAAAGACTTGTTCCAGGCAGAAGATCGTCTGAGGCATATTTCCACAAAAGTGTAACAATGGTGGAGATACATTCTATCATACTATAATTAACCTTGAGGGTCCTATCAAGTAGATAGAGGAGAATCTGAGTATGCCGGCGGACTCATCCGAGCCCATACACCCATCAAGTCAGCCCTAAAAGCTGCTGCAACAGGAAACGTCCTCTCAACCACCATTAGATTCTGCATGATACAATCCTGCTGCCAACCCTGCCAGGACCGTGCACCCGCAACTCGCAGTGGAAAAAGTACCAATAACGGAGAGATGGAAGAATTATACAGAACAGTATTCGTATGCGTCAATATGTTGACGACATGCATTTGTATCTCTTCTTCGCTCAAGTTGGGTGCCACGATACCCTTGTCCTGCCAATATGGAATTTCGTAGTCGAAGACTCCGGAGAGGTAGATGCTTGTAGCAGCGAAGAATGTTTTGGTCAAGTATGCGAAGTTTCCACTTGCATTCTCGGCAGTCTGTTGTTTTGGAGGCTGATCCTTCGCTTCCCAGTCGATGAGAGCTTGTCTTAGGCGAAATCCTTCTTGAGCAACATCAAAAGCTTCGTCGAGATCAACGGCATCTGTGTCCGAGTGGTAGATAAGGTTTATCGCCCTAAGATGAATCGTTAAAAGCAATGTCGCATGGAAGAACGAAGTACATACCGAACACGAAGAGTCGAGCATGAGACGATGATGTCCAAAAGTTCATCCAACGAGTCACTATTGTCTTGATCTTTGACCCTCATCTCGCGCGTGAGACACCTCCAATCTGCTGTCGCAAGAAATGTCGGCTCGTTGAATATTATGGCCCGACAGACTTCAAAGATTCGTATTTCGGTGAAAAAGCGTTGTCCATGGCCTGATTTGCATGATGTCGGACCTGCAGCGACAAGTGCTTTGGAAGTACCGTGGACCAAGTGCTGTATCCATCCTTCGCCGGTTTCATCAGTCATGAGCTTCAACATGTTAGCTTAGCTCCAACGCAGTACCCTCAAGAATTACTCACCTCAAACAGACCAAGCAGGTGGGTAGTCCACAAGATGCGATGCCGGGCACTGGGTTCTTGGTCAAACTTCTCAAGGGCGTTTCTCAAGCCCAAAACAGACTTTGAGTAGTAATGTGCAGCCAAGCTGTAAGTCTTGCCCGGATCAACGCCTTCTGATGCGTTCAACTTGACCGCCTGCATCGCCCCCAACGAAAGAACAGCATCGTGAAGAAACGTCCCCGATTCTTGGTCTTTCACCAAGCTAATGACATCTGTGGAAATAACTGTTTTCGGATTGCAGTTGTTCCTCCTCAAAAATGTGTCGAAATAGTGAGAAAGATAGTACATCTGATCACCCGTGGAGACGGTAACCAATCGAGGAGGCTGGCTTTTGCAAGTGGAAGCTGAGATCCGAGCCACGGTCTTTTTGCCCGATTCATCTTGATTGATCCAGATCTGCTTAGGCTTCTGCTTCTCAAAAGCACAGTCAACCCTCCTTCTTACACAATTACTGCAGGGAACACTTCCAGAACACTGCATCACAAGGATCAGCCATGTACGATGACGAATTATCTCGGTACTTGCCTTGAGATGGCTTGCAGCACATGCAAGGCACCGCGATCGTTTCTTGCGTCTATCAAATGGTCCAACCGGCATCTTGACAATATTCCTTGTCGCGTCTGATGTGAAAGATGGTGACTCGACTGGGGGGAGCTTGCTTGGGTTTATACTCAAAATGGTATCGATTGAGCGAGATGAGCTTGGCATGTCCCCATACCCTTTTTGGAAATAATTGAGCGACGCTATTATTCTGAGCCAATCATGGTGTTGGCTTGGCGGGGAGCTGAATCTCAACTTTCGTCAGCGATTAAAAACGGTTCTTGGCAAATGGACAGGAAATGTTCACTTCGCTTGAACTTAACTGCTTTGAGTATGGTAGAGGCTGTGTTTCTGGAATGATTATGGAAGATCCCACGGGTTTGGGTTTGAGCTTTACCGATAATGTAATGAATCCTGCGAGCTTTGGTATCTAGTAAGAAATCTTCAATGCTACTTCATGATGATTATCTTTTCATCTGATTATAAGATAGCTCTCCATCCCCTTATTGACATATCTCTCAACAACCTCATCGACCATCCAAACTCACAATATCTTCTTTCGTTCACTACAACTAAGTAATTTACTTTAAAACCTCACTATGCAGTTCTCTCTTCTCTTTCTCTCCCTCGTCGGGGCCGGAAATGCCATCCTTCTTCCCAAGCCAAGCGGCCCCTACGGCACTGCCCTTCGCATCCAAGGCATGACCGACAAAAGCCGCATCGACCCGTATGATCCCAAGAAAGGTCATCGACAAGTCCTAGTTTCAATCTTCTGGCCCGTCGACTCGGCATCTTGCTCAAACAAGGTGATTCCATACATGCCGCCCGCTGCTGCCAAAGCATATGGACAGCAGGTAGCGCAGCTGGGTCTATCGAACGATACCTTTTCAGCTCTTGAGCTCCAGGTCTGCAAAACCCCTGTTCCTCAGAAAGGATGTGCAAGCGAGCAGAAGTCATTCCCCGTAGCTTTCTTTTCGCCTGGTGCTGGTTACTCTAGGTTGCTTTACAACCTCATGGCTAGTTCACTCGCTAGTTATGGGAATATCGTGGTTCTTATTGATTCTCCCTACGATCCTCCTGTTGTTGAATTTCCTGATGGACAGATCATCTATGGGGGAAACATCCCCGATGATAAGAAATCTAATTTGCAGCTGGCCTCGGTGTGTATAACTCTATCGTCTCATATCTCATAATGAATTGACTAACTCTTCATAGGTCAAGGCAAAGGATATGTCCTTTACCATCTCAGAAGTTCTGAGTCCTTCTTTCCAAAAGAAAGTCTTCAAGGGTCTTCCAGGCTCAATGGACAACAAGAAGGTCGTTGCCCTTGGTCACTCCATCGGCGGCGCTAGTGCAGCTATAGCAATGCTATCAGACAACCGAATCCACGGCGGTATGGACTTGGACGGCCAAATCTTCGAACCAGCTCTCAGCAAAGGCCTTGATAAGCCATTCTTCCTCATCGGTCGCCCTAACCACGCCAAGGAGGATATTACTTGGACGAAGTTCTGGCCCAAGCTTCGAGGACCCAAGAAGGAAATCTCTATCAACGACACTACTCACGGATCATTCACCGATTACCCTCAGATCGTCAAGGCTCTTAATCTGCCAGAGGCTGTTGTGAAGGCGTTGCAGGAACAAATTGGAACTGCAGAGCCTTCGCATCTTCAGAAGTTCCTTTCCAAGACTGTTGTGAATTATATGGAGATTTCTTTTGCTTCCAATGGAAAGAACTAGATATGCATTCGCTTCCATGAGTTCGCCCTGAAGGCTGTGTATTCAACACTAGGGCACGATGGCATCAGCCACACTTTTATACCGCTTGGTTAATCTTTATTTCATGTGTTCACCTTGAGTTATATATTACATAGACATATAGTCACTTATAGAAACAGACCCCAACTGTTCATCTTAACTACACTGTAAAGAAATATCGATGCTTCTTAGTGCCCAATCTTGACACCATTCTGGCCTCAAAAATCTATAACATAGTAGGCACCAGCCGCCTCAACCAACACTAGTTAGCCTAAAATGCGACGAAGTCTTGTCGTTGAAATAATACCCAGAAATACGAGCCACATAGAAGGAGTTCCCGTCAGGAACGCCTGTCTGCTGCACAATACGCTCAGCGGACCCCCTCATCCCTAACCGCAACAGCAAGCCAAGATGGCACATAAACCACGTATTTAGCGGGAGGCTTAAAAGTCCACCAGACAATCGTTGACATATATTCGCTCGTAGCTATTGTAGTACATGCTGTGCAGACGTCGAATTATCTAATATGGCCACTTGAAAGAAGTGGAAATGTTAACAGAAAAGGGTTCCGCATCCGTAAGTGACTTCACCCGTCCAAGCATATGCTCCAACTGTCTAAACGCAGCAGGCGGCGCATACTGCGGAACCATATGCCCACTAGTCTTGACCGTCGCCAAAGTGAAACCTCTTTCCGAGTGGACTGATCCCTGAACACTACCACCCGCCCAATTCTCAACATTGCTCTCCGTGTTGTTAATAATCGGAACAACAAACTCTGCACTTGGCGCAGTCTGGAAACCCTGCTTGCCATTCCACTTGAGACCCTGGACCGCGAGGGCTGTTGTGTTTGAAGTGATAATATAATCAGCCATGCCAGATCCGATCATGACGTTGTTGGTCTTCTCGACGAGAGTCTGGAACTTCTTCTCGTGCTCAGCGGGGTCGTATCTGTCGTCATCGCCGACAAAGACTGGGCCTGAACATGATGCCCATTCCTTAGGGGCGGCTGGGGCGTGGATTGCCTTGCGGACCCCGGGGATGTTGAAGAAGAGTGTTGCGCCGGGAGGAGTATACTGAACTGAAGGAAAGCCAAGAACGTCCCAAAGAACCGGGCAGGTATCTTGGATGTGATAAACGTTGAAGCAAGGGTTGATGACAGTGCTGATCTCATCGAAATGAGCCGTGATGTCGCATCCCTCCACCTGAACAGGCTTCCAAGGCGCCGGAGGGGGAGGGTACGTAAGATGAGCCTCACGATACTTATCCAAACCACACTTCTCGTTATCTTTATCAAGAATCTTCTTATTCTTATCCGGAATTGCAAAGACACTCTCCCAATGCCTAAAGAAACCTGGGAAAGCAGCATGGTCGAGACGTAGCTTGTCAGCATACGGCATGACAGGATCGTAGTAAAGTGCGCCCTTGACGTTGTAATACTTTGTATCCTTCTTGTCAAGCATAGCAGCGCCGACGTAGGGAACATAGACACCGGCGTAGCTTTCGCCAGTGATGTACAGCTTTTTGCCCTGAAGGCCGAAGGTATCGACGAGGTTCTTCCACCATTCGACGAATTGGGCGGCTGTTTCGGTGTTGTTCTTTGCTGTTACGTGGCCGGTTGAGAAGCCGGTGCCAATGGGATACTCAACCCTATAATCATTGTCAGTGGGTCATGCTGCTTTTGTGAAGGAAGATCTTACCAGATGACGTTGGCGAGTTTGTGCCATGACCAAGCATTTGGCACGGGCTTGTAAGTTCCATACTTCCACGAGAACGGGCCATTCTCTTGGGTAAGACCTAAAGTCGCGTCAGTCATGAAAGAACCAAAGCGGTTGTGTTGCAATACCTTCTAGAGAGGAGCAGCCAGGACCTCCGTTGAACCAAATCACAACATCGTCCTTTCCAGCTGGGTTAACAGTCGGGAAGAACCAATAGAAGAACTTGGGATCTTGGGAGCCAGCCTTCTTCCAATCAACAGGAATTTGACCAGCATAGCTTTCACCAACATCAAATGAGACTTCAGGAATGCCAGTAGATGGGACATAATAAGCTGGTAAATGTTTAGTCCCGTGTATCAAGTTCGTTGCGCCATCAACTCACGAGAAGTCTTTTTGTTGTAGTACTGGGCATTTGCAGGCTGGTAAGTACGAGGATGAATAGCCGAAGCATTCGTCAAGGCAACGAAGCCCAAACCCGACAAAAGAACTGTTTTCAAACCCATAATGACGTATAAGAATCGTCTAAGGTCGAGAGAAAAGCCCGGTACCACCGGACAAGACAGGCAGCACCGTTGATATTTATACGAGAGTCATACATAATAATTCCCCTAACAATTAACATAGCCCGACGATTAGAGGAACTTTTGCTATGATAAAGTCCTACTCACAAGGGTACACAACATAACAAACAGGCGAGCACGGAAGTTCGGCATGGATACTTATCTGTGCCTTCCTATTGCAGCTATTTGCGGGGTTCGTGATATCAGCATCGTGGTATGATAAGCTCTTCGTGTCGATCGCTAGGCGGGAGGATCCCATTGGCTGGGCCATTTGACAAAGGTTCGAGGGAGAGGCTTCGCTTAGAGTTTTGTAGAAGAAGCTTGTTCTTGAGACAGAATGTGAGGGGGGGGTTGGCTAAGTTGGAGAATGAGACTTCGGTGTGTGATAGACTTTGGGGGATCGAATGTTGACAACGTCAGACTGAGTGTAGGATAGCGTTACATTCTGGTAGAAACTTTAAGAAAAGCCGTTGTGAGATTATTCGCGGGTTGCGATGGACTGTTCGTCATCTGGCGTGCACGACTAGAGTGTTTTGATTTCTATTTTTGCCAACTCGTGGTTTCGTTATGAATCAAGGAACCTGGATACTTAGCAGTATTCTTCCCTGTGATCATCCTCCAGTCCCTTCTTTTGTGTAACTATATGTCGAAGCCTATGTCTTAGCCTTCTGGCCCTGTAGGTATATTCCACCATGTCCCTATCTTATATATCTGACACGCATAAATATACTCCTAGCCCTTCTGCTCCTTGTTGTCTACGCTGATGTATGTTGAATATCAAGCTTATATACGGTACAAACACCAAGACCTTAAATATCCCAGGTCACAAACCCAACCGAAACACCATTAATTCAACCCAAACATCATGACCTAACTCATCTCCTCACGAAGCTTTTTCTGAAATTCAAACTTCCTCTCCCTCCTATCATTCTCCCTCCTTCGAAACTCATCCCTCCTCCTCCTCTCCCCGATACTACTCCTCAAACTTGAATCGGGACTCTCCCAATCAAGCGGCACCTCCTGAAAAATAATCGGCGTCCAAACCGGCAGAAGCCTCATCCCAATCTCACTCTCCGAAGGCGGAAGTATCTTCCACGTCTCATCCGTCTGGATATCTCGTCGTTCGACGGGTATGAACGCTGCTGGCTCTGGTGGATTTAACTTTAAATATGATACTTTTCTATCGCGATCAGAACTCCATTCTCGATATTCAATCTCTGCTTGCGCAGCCTGCTCGTCGCTTAATTCAAGAACAGGTGCTTCTTCTTCTTCTAAAAGAGGCGGTTGTGATTGCGTCGCGTATTTCGGCTCCCATTCTCGAAGCTTGGTGTGACATTTTTCCAGCGCTGACCAATGCCTCTCAAGAGCTTTCGCGCGGGTGTGAATATCGTGAGGTTCGTCGGGAATAGGCGCCCTTCGTCCACCTCTCCTCGCAATAGCACCAATCGTATCCTTTATATCCGTCTCCCTAAGAACCAACCACGTTAAATCACGCCTCGTTTCCAAACTGCGCAGTAATTTAGAGCAAAAGTGATAATCATCACCCGGCAACGACGTGGGAACAAGAGTGTCGCGCAGAACACGATCGATGTATCGCACTTCACACAGCGTGTTCTCAAGCCTCGCGTCTTTGGGGATGTCTCTAAAGGGGTTGCAGCGCTCGAGAAAAGCTCTCCCCACGCGGGCGTTGGAGTCGCTGAGGGGTTTAAGGTTGATTATCCCGGTGATTGGGGGGCTGCGGGCCTTGAAGGCATTGAGAAAGCCTCGGATTGCACTCATGATGCATTTTCTGGCCGAGCTGAAAAGAGGAAATGATGTTTTGAGGCACAGGGTGAGAATGAAAAATGGGAAAATTCTTGTTTTTAACACCCCCAAAGTTGAGAAAAGCTGGGCGCTGCGAGTGATCCTTGTCCCTCCCGTGTTGCTCCGCTTGGCCGTCTCACAGTGAGGCCTTTCACTAACAGTCGGACAATGCCGTGTGCTTTGACCAGTTCAGTGCGATAAATAGAAGCGGTGTATTAAAAGTCTTCACTATTAACAAGGACACTTATTATATCCAGCTTTTACTTCGACAATTTGATAGCTGCAATGCTCTGTGCAAAAGTCTCAACTCCAACATCTCAAAATCTTCAGTGATCGGCGTCACATGTAACCAATTCTGTCCTCTCACCCGCGGGAACCAACCCCAAACGAATCAAGCTCATCGCCACCGCGCCCGATTCTCCTCTTCGTACAAATCATATGAATACCCGTTCCATTCATCCTGCAGAGTGCGAGCATCAATGCTGCTTCGTGTTCCTTGACCAGGGAGTCGACGAGCCTGGAATGAGAGAGACTGGTGGTCCAACCAACCCTCGATGCGACCGTCGCCAAGAAACTCCATCCAACCTTCATTGCGATCCCCGTAAATTACAGGTCCCTGATCTTCACGACCCCGCCATTTGAACCACACGCGATCATGCGATGAGCGCATAGGACGTTCTTCAAAGAGGAGTACGCCTTCGTAGACGCCGAGGTTAAATCTTCCCCAGAGTCTGTTGCCTGATATTGTGAGAGTCAATTGGAACTCGTCAGGGTCAAAATCCCATTGCTCGCCCACATCGAGCGATTCGACTTCGTAGTCGCCATTCAAAAGACCCAAGGGTGCAAGGCTGACCTCGTCGACGTCATCATCGCTGCGATTGTTCTCATCCGAGGAGTAATCTTG